TTTTATCGACTCCAGGATGACCTGCTGTCAAATTATCATGGAATAATCCAAGTACCTTTTTCCTTAATGGTGGTGAAACGTACAGTTTATCCGGAGGTTTCTCCACGGGTGCCTGAGTTTGATCTGCTATTATTGAACAGAAGAGTGGAGAAGACACTTTGGAAATTGTAGTGGCAATAAGACATTCTGGAGGTATGATAGGGAATACCTCTTGTTCAGGAACCTCATCTGTCTCAAATTGCCTTGGTGTTCTTGGTCCCAGGCCTGTACGTAATTACAAAATTGAATCGGGAGAGGAACAATGACCATCTAGCCTGACGAGAGGACAGTCTCTTAGCGTCCCCAATATAAGCCAAATTCTTATGATCAGTGTGTTGAAACCGACCTCGCCACTGGGCATTGGAGAAGACTGATTGCCAGCCTCCTGCCATGTGACTATGGCCCCTGGGATGTATTGCCCTTTAAAGACATTATTTGGGCTTATTGGATTTTGAAACACCTTTTCTGCCCCTTTGAATACATGAGAAAGGTGTGCCCTTCCCCCGTTTCCTGTCTATTGTTCTTCAGCAGGGCATTGTCCCAGGGACACTGCAAGACCAGTTGGAACTTGTTGCTAACCTTTAACCCCATGGCGATTTGACTGTGTTTGTGGGATCTGAGCGCTGTAAGGATATAGTGAGCGTTTAGATCCAAGCTATCTGGGGATAGGTTGAATGTGGGGTTCTGTTAAGTATAATAGGAATGATGTGTTTTTATGTGAATGGGATGTATACTTTTAGAGTTATGAATATTGTGTAAAACTGTGTATTTTCCTGCCTGTGATAATTAAGAGATGCCTCCATTCTTTAAGTGCAAGTAAAATGGCCAATAACTCCCTATTCCCAATGTCATCATTTTTTTTTGCAGATGTTAGTTTTCGAGAGAAAAACCCACAGGGATGTAAAGGCGTATCAAGACTCTCTTTGAGACAGAATGGCTCCTACTCCTGTTTCTGATGCATCTACTTCTAGAATAAATGGTTTGGTTGGATCGGGATGTGTCAGGACAGGTGCTCAGGCAAATAAAGATTTTAATTGCTCAAATGCCTCCTTTGCTTCCTTGGGCCATGAATTGCAATTTGCTTCTTTTTTGGTTAGGTTGGTAATAGGAGAGATTACAGAGGAAAAACCTTTTAAGGACCACTATAGTGCCAGGAACACATACTCATTTTCCTGACGCCAGTTGCATGGGTTCAATATAATATTAGATACACTAAAACGAACATGTGGAGATATTCTCTAAGGACATCGTTAATGAAATCCTGAAACACCGCTGGGGCGTTGCACAGTCCAAACGGCATAAGTAGGTATTCGTAATGTCCCATTCTCGCATTAAACGCGGTCATCCACTCGTGCCCTTCCTTAATTCTGACTAAGTTATAAGCACTTCTGAGGTCGAGCTTAGTGAAGACTCTGGCCCCTTTCAACCTATCGAATAACTCATAAATAAGGGGAATGGGATAGGCGGTTTTTATTGTTATTCTATTCAAACCCCTATAGTCTATACAAGGGCGTAGGTCTCCTTCTTTTTTAGAAACAAAGAAGAACCCAGCCCCTGCAGGTGAAGAGGATCTACGTATGTGACCCTTTCTGACAGCATCCTTTATGTACTCTTCTAAACAAAGATTTTCTTGGGGAGATAGTGCATATACTCCTCCTTTAGGGGGCATAGTGCCTGGTAACAAATTTATGGCACAATCGTAGGGTCTCTGTGGTGGTAATACCTCCGACTGTACCTTGTTAAATACCTCCTTTAAGTCCAAATACTGCGGTGGGATTTCTGTGGTCAAGGGAGGCGCTATAGGTATATTGAGGGTACCAATTCGTTGTTGCACCTGTTTTAAACAAATATCTCTGCATCTCTCACCCCAACTCACAATTTCTCCTTCAACCCAATCTAAACGTGGATTGTGTTTCTGGAGCCAAGGGAAACCCAGTATTATCGGACATGTAGGTGAAGATATAATTTGGAACACCATTTCTTCAGAATGTAAGATACCCACTGAGACAGTGATTGGCAGGGTTTTGTGCATGATGAGAGGCTGGGTAAGAGGTCTCCCATCAATAGCCTCTACTGCTATGGGTCTATCTTTCTGCCTTAAGGGCAGGAGATGTTTGGCAGAGAATTCCTTGTCTAGAAAATTCTCCGCTGCCCCAGAGTCAATCATAGCCTCACACTGCACAGTGGTTTTCTTACAAGACAAAGTTATTTTTGTAAGGAAACGGTTCTTAGTCAATTTAGGGGACATATACATCACACCTAAGGTCGGTCCCCGAACGTGCCTTAGGTGTGCAAGTTTTCTGGCCGAACCGGACATGAAAACCTTTGATGTACCCTTTTGCCACAATACAAACACAACCCCTCGTTGCGTCTGTGTTGTCTCTCTGCCTCAGTGAGTTTAGCAATGCCCAGTTGCATGGGTTCAGGTTCTGGAGGGGGGGGCATGGCTAATTACCACTGGGTTAGAGAAACGAGGGGCTATGGATAAGTTAGAACGTCTAGTACGCTGTTTGTTTTTCTCTCTCTCTCTGAGCCTGTTATCAATGTTTATCATGTATGCAATAAAGTCATTAAGGTTAACTGGAAGATCTCTGGCTGCAGTCTCGTCTTGTATATTTTCCGCTAAACCTTCAGAAAAAGCAGCCACCAAACCGCTATTGGTGCAGTCAACCTCAGACGCCAATGTCCTGAACTCTATGGCGTAATCAGCTACAGAGCGGTTGCCTTGTTTTATTCTCATTAGGGCTCTGGCAGCGTTCTTTTCTCTTCCTTTTGGCTCAAAAGTAGTTTTAAAAGCTGTTAGGAATACATTGTAATCACGGGCAACTGGATTTCCACTCTCCCATAAGGGATTAGCCCAGGTTAAAGCCTTACCCATTAATTGGTTCATTAGATTTTCGATCTATCTGTAGGGAATGAACCAGGGGAAGCTTCGAAGTGATATTCAATTTGGTTTAGAAAACCTCTAAATTCCTTAGAATCACCTCCAAAATGAGGAGGAGGTGAAAGGGTTATGGACGGTGGTTTGTGTGTCACAGGTGCTACTACAGGTGGCGGAGCCACAGGCGGTACCGGAGGTGCCTCCAGATAGGCAGTTCTCTGGAGCAAGGTCTGGAATGCTTGGGCAAATCGATCTAACCTGTGGTCCATATCCTCCACCCTACTCTCACAGGCAATCATATGTTTGTATAGTTCCACAGGATCCATGGCCCTGTCGTAATGTCACGGCTGCTAGTGTGGTCCAACACGCAGAAACTACGTAAACATATACATAAAAAAGGAAAGGAAATAAAAGGACAGAGCATAAACCGGACCTTAGAATGGCCGGACTAATACAATAGAGATATAGAGAATGGTCAAAGGGAAAGCGGAGGTCAAGGAAGCCAGAAATACTCAGATACCGTTTAAACAAGCCAAGTCAGGGGAACCAGAATTCGGAATAACCAGGGAAAAGCCAAGATCAGGATACCAGGAAGTCAGATTCACAAAGATAAATGCACTCTCGGGAACCAGGAACAGGAAACCACGACAGGGCAAGGAACTGGAGTGAATTAGGGATTTAAATATCCCTCTCTGGGATCTGATTAGTCAAAGGGTGACCTCTGACCCCAGAACGTGCTCGTGCGTTGACGTCGTGACATCACGCGCACTTCCATATAAATTTGAGGGGCAGAGCTTGTGGTGTGCACGATCACACGGTCAGTGCCATCTTTGATTTGGGCGCAATGCCCAGAAGACGTGGAGGAGCGGTTCCCAGCTCGCTGGCGAGCAGGTAAGCTCACAATATTGGCGAGGTCATGCCGGTCGGTCACGGCTGCGCCATGCGGCGGGCCGGGAGCTGCAACATATAGGTTTTCTCCATGATGGCATAAGTGATTAAAACCATTTTTGATACCTGAGCAGGGACTAACTGAAGGCAAGCTATTGAGGGTTCCCCAACAATTATCAGAGTTCTCCAATTCTCTGTTTATGTTGCAAAAACTTGGGGTAAGCTTGGTACAATTGCCACTGTGTGTTCAATCATATTAAAAAGGATAAAAGGACCTTTCTCTTTACTCTCTATATTGCTGGACTGTCAATCTAATATTATTTTTTGTTATATTGGTCTAAACTGGTTTTAGGTTATTAGAAATGAACTTCATCATACAACATATGGCTTTTTATGCAAAATTACTTTCTTAACCCCTTGTTAAGAAACATGTCGTGTTCTTAAAGGGTTAAAGTTCTGCACCCAGTCAGAAGAATGGCAGGATATACATAAAAAGTCATATAATATATGAAAGAAAACAATCTTTGATGTCAGCTTAAAAACAACAATAATAATTTATCATTTACGTTGTATACAAATTATTAGCCTTTTTTTATTATCCGTAAACGCCATACAATATACTCTATGTATTCCATAAGTAGTACATCACAGACATACTGCAAACATTATAGAATTTGCGTACTATGTATATGCACAGTACATACAGTACCCAATATATCACACAGAACATGTACATACTAGTTTATACACACATGCACACCTCCTATTTTGTTGAATGAGGTGTATGTCATGCAAATAGTATACAGCAAATAGCATATATCAAATGTAAAGAGCTAAGATGACATCTGAATAATATTCTCAATGTTTAATTCCAATAACCAGGATTTTAAAAAAAATAAATAAATGAGCTCTTTGTGAATAAAATATTGTTTGATTGTAATTTCAGATGTTTACACACACTGTTTGAAGTAGCGATGAGTATCCTACATTGGGGTAGTGGGGGCTTGTACATGATTACATGCTACTATATTCTTAAAGCATATAGAAAACCTCACACCACTACAGTAAAGTGACATCACTGAGAGGTTTATTCAGGAGAGTGATGCCAAGAGGAACAGTAAATGAGATCATGTGTAATGTCAGCAAGGCTGTTTATTTGCATAAAGTATGATATCAGTGTCCATTCATTTCTCTGGTAAATAGTCTCCGAATGTAAATGTCAGGCATGGCCCTCTTGTGTATCAGAGCTTATAAAGCAGTACTGTGAACGTTTTTCTCCACGTTAAAATCAACATAATGTTTCAACCCACAGAGCTTACACTCTCTCCGCCCCCTGGCTCTGATACAGTGTAATTAAATGCCATTCATTGCTTTGTGAGTTCCTCTTATTAATTCACAAATGAGCACACACAGTTTTGGGATTTCCAGTGCCAGGGGCAGACTGTTCCGGCTGCTGATCTCAGGAGTTTTAGGGAACAGAGAAGCCTCGGGGGAGACCTGCTCATTGACCCCCAGATTTAGGTCAAGCCGCCCAGGGAACACATGCTGATTCTCACTCTAGGAAAATACAATCCCACAAGGTCTCTTTCTAATGCTGCTCACTGAATGTGAGGCATAGGCATCGTGACACAACAAATAACAAGACCCACCAGAACGATCTGCATCCTTACTGCATCTAAACCACAGCTCCTGTATCACTGAACTCTAAACCACAGCTCCTGTATCAAAGAACCCTAAACCACAGCTCCTGTATCACAGAACCTTAAACCACAGCCCCTGTATCACAGAACGCTAAACCACAGCTCCTGTATCACTGAACTCTAAACCACAGCTCCTGTATCACAGAAACCCTAACTCCTGTATCACAGAACCTTAAACCACAGCCCCTGTATCACAGAACGCTAAACCACAGCTCCTGTATCACTGAACTCTAAACCACAGCTCCTGTATCACTGCCGCTGTATCACTTAAACCACAGCTCCTGTATCACTGACCTAAACCACATCCCCTGTATCACAGAACCCTAAACCACAGCCCCTGTATCACAGAACCCTAAACCACAGCTCCTGTATCACAGAACCCTAAACCACAGCTCATGTATCACAGAACCACAACCACAGCCCCTGTATCACAGAACCCTAAACCACAGCTCCTGCATTACAGAACCCTAAACCACAGCCCTTTTATCACAGAACTATAAACCACAGCCCCTGTATCAGAGAATCCTAAACCACAGCCCCTGTATCACAGAACCCTAAACCCCAGCCCCTGTATCACAGAACCCCAAACCACAGCCCCTGTATCACAGAACCCTAAACCACAGCCCCTGTATCACAGAACCCTAAACCACAGCCCCTGTATCACAGAACCCTAAACCACAGCTCCTGTATCACAGAACCACAACCACAGCCCCTGTATCACAGAACCCTAAACAACAGCCCCTCTATCACAGAACCCTAAACAACAGCCCCTGTATCACAGAACCCTAAACCACAGCTCCTGTATCACTGAACCTTAAGCCACAGTCCCTGTATCAGAGAATCCTAAACCACAGCCCCTGTATCCTAGAACCCTAAACCACAGCCCCTGTATCCCAGAACCCTAAACCACAGCCCCTGCCTGTATCACAGAACCCTAAACCACAGCCCATGTATCCCAGAACTCTAAACCACAGCCCCTGCCTGTATCACAGAACCCTAAACCACAGCCCCTGTATCACAGAACCCTAAACCATATCCCCTGTATCATAGAACCCTAAACCATATCCCCTGTATCACAGAAATCTAAACCACGGCCCCTGTATCACAGAACCACAACCACAGCCCCTGTATCACAGAACCCTAAACCACAGCCCCTGTATCACAGAACCCTAAACCACAGCTCCTGTATCACAGAACCATAACCACAGCCCCTGTATCACAGAACCCTAAACCACAGCCCCTGTATAACAGAACCTTAAACCACAGTCCCTGTATCAGAGAATCCTAAACCACAGCCCCTGTATCACAGAACCCTAAAACACAGCCCCTGTATAACAGAACCTTAAACCACAGTCCCTGTATCAGAGAATCCTAAACCACAGCCCCTGTATCACACAACTCTAAACCACATCCCCTGTATCACAGAACCCTAAACCATATCCCCTGTATCACAGAACCCTAAACCACAGCCCCTGTATCACAGAACCCTAAACCACAGCCCCTGTATCACAGAACTCTAAACCACATCCCCTGTATCACAGAAATTTAAACTACATCCCCTGTATCACAGAACCCTAAACCACTGACCAATGTACTGTACACAATTGCGTAGGTGGCATATGATCCACAGAGAATTCATATATTTATCATGCAGAAGGCAGATGGTGTATCTGTGTTGTACACATAGTAGTGGGTATATATGTTTTATACAACTAGAGCAATGAGATTCCCTTTAGAATGCACAGAGCAGAGGGTCTCTCTGTATTATACAGAGAGTGGGGGTATTTGTACAATAAACAGTGTGCACATTTCAGGGGATATCTGTATCATAAACAGATTGGGGACTGTTTATGTTATAAATATATTAGCACATACACAGCTGGGGATATTTGTAGTATATACATAATAGAGTGTAACTGTATAAGACACATAGCAGGGGGTGTTTGCTTTGCACAATAAGCACTGCGTACACATCAGGGGTATGTGTATAATATGTGTCTAATAAACAGAGTGGGGGTGTTTGTGTTATAAAGTGTGCAGTACATACACAGCTGTGAATATTTCCAGCATACATATAGCAGAGGGTGTAGCAGTACATACACAGCTGTGGATATTTCCAGTATACACACAGCAGAGGGTGTAGCAGTACAGTAATGTTGTGTGCTACTTGTGAGAGTAATATATTTTTAAAGGGACACTATTGGCATCAATACAACTTTAGCTTAATGAAGGAGCTTTTGTGTATATATCATGCCCTCTGCTGTTTTAATGCTATTTCTCTACCATTTAAGAGTTAAATCACTTTTATTTCTGTTTATACAGCCCTACTGACACAGCCTGCATGGAAAAAAAATTGTTTCACTTTCAGACATTAAGTTGCTTTAGAAGTTTTTATCTCCTGCTTTGTAAATTGAACTTTAACCACACACACAGGAGGCACAGAAATATTATATAAGACAGACTGTACAATACAGGAACCTAGAATTTCTAGGTTATGTTTCAGGAAGTGTTTAGAAAGGCTGTGCAAGTCACATGCAGGGAGGTGTGACTACGGCTGTATAAACAAACTGATTTAACTCCTAAATGGCAGAGAATTGAGCAGTAAGACTGCATATGCATGATCTATATACCAAAACTGATTCATTAAGCTAAAGTTGTTTTAGTATCTGCAATGCATGACTGAATCTATAGCTATTGTATATACATTTTATTGTTTGTGCGATAAGATCCCTAACAATGGTTAAATGCAAAGAACAGTGTGGGTTTTTGTCACTGAACCCATCCAGGGCCAGATTAAGAGCCCAGTGGGCCTGGTGCTGACAATTATGACGGGCCTAATTACAGAATCATATCGACCGAAAACGGTAAAAAACTCCCAAGCATCATGTATCTGATGGAGATGGTGCTGGAGAGAAAGAAAACAGCAGCTATAAGAAAACACATACCCTAGGCTAATCTCTCTAATTTATGTTTTCATCTTTCAAGTAAATCCATAACCCCTAACAGCAGTGTCCAATCAAGCAGGAAGTCAATGGGCATGGTAAAAGGGTGTGCCACTGACACAAATCACGTAACCTGCCAAAAGGGGCGAACATGCCCAAAAAGAGGACATGTCTGCTCAAAGAATTAGAAGGCCAGCCTGGCATGAATGCATGTCAGGCTGCCTGCCAATCATGCAGACAGCACCCTGAGCTTGGCATAAATGCATCTAATGACACGCTCACTCAACACTTTCTAAGGACTGTCCCCTAGCACTCGCTGGTCCACTTGTCTCCTTACCTTCTTACTAGCAGGCAAAAGCTCCTGGTATATGGTCTGGGACAGAGAAAAGCTGTATGTAGTGAGTGTAGAAGAAAGGGAACATGCCACAGTGTTAGAGAGACCAAAGTCAGCATTACCTTAAAGGATCACTATAGGGTCAGGAACACAAACATGAATTCATGACCCTATAGTGTTAACACCACCATCTAGCCTCCCTGGGCCCCTCATGCCTCCATAAATATAGCAAAATCCTACTATATTCAAGCCTGAAGCTGTAACTCTGCATGCTGTTAGACTCATAAAAACAAGCAGTCTGCTGACATCATTAGAAGTGGTGGCCTGATCCAATCACAGTGCTTCCCCATAGGATTGGCTGAGACTGACAAAGAGGCAGATCAGGGTCAGAGCCAGCATGATTCAAACACAGCCCTGGCCAATCAGCATCTCCTTATATAGATGAATTTCATTAATGAATCTCTATGAGGAAAGTTCAGTATCTGCATGCAGAGGGAGGAGACACTGAATGTTTGGATGCATTTTAGGCAGCCATGACACAGGAAGGATCTCTAACAGTCATCTAAGGAGTGGCCAGTGAAGTTATCACTAGGATGTAATGTAAACAAAGCATTTTCTCTGAAAAGACCGTGCTTACAGCAAAAAGCCTGAAGGTAATGATTCTACTCACCAGAACAAATTCAATAAGCTGTAGTTGTTCTGGTGACTATAGTGTCCCTTTAACTATATTCATTGTCAGCCAGTCTACACAAGTTTTGTTCCCATACATCCCTCTTAAGTTTCCATACTTAAGTAAGAGTATGTGAAAAGTAGTTAGGGTTGCCACCTTTCTTGGAAAAACATACCGGCCTTACTAATTTGCATAATTAAATATGTGTGGGTGACATCACATGATATAAATCACAAGGAGTGACATAAGAGAAAATGCTGTAAAATCACCAAAAAACTACTTAGTTTAAATCTGCTGTATAGATGGATTCCTCCCAGTGCCCCCATGACTCAGTGCCCCCATGTGTCGATTACTCCAGGTCTCAGTGTTCCTATGTATCAGTGTTTCAGTGCCCCATGTCTCCCAGTGTCCCCTAGTGTCGTGTCCCCAGGTCTCCCAGTGATCCTATGTATCAGTGTCTCAATGCCCCATGTCTCCCTGTGTCCCCATGTATCCCAGGGTCCCCATGTCACTAGGACACTAGGACGGGGAGACCTGGGGACACGGGGAGACCTAGGGACACGGAGCCACCAGTGACACTGGGAGACTAGGGGACTCAGGCTGGGACACATGGGGACAATGGGAAAATAGGGGACACTTGAAGACATGGGGACACAGACACCAGGGACAAAGATACTAGAGACACTGGCTGGGGGACATGGGGACATTGAGACATGGGGGCACTGGGAGACATGGGGACACTGAGACACCAGGGCCACAGACACTAGGGACACTAGCTTGGGAACATTGTGACACTTGAGGCACTGAGAGACATGGAGGCACTAGGAGACATGGGGACAGTGAGACACTGGCAGACTGGGGGCACTGGGAGACTAGGGGTCACTGGGAGACTAGGGGGCACTGAGACACCAGGGACACTGGCTGGGAGACATGGGGACACTGTGTCCCCATGTGTCTGTGCCATAATGTCTCCCAATGTCCCTTAGTGTCTCAGTGTCTGCCATAATGTCTCCCAGTGTCCCTTAGTGTCTCAGTGTCTGCCATAATGTCTCCCAATGTCCCTTATTGTCTCAGAGTCCCCATGTCTCCTTGCAGCCTTTCCCTCCATCCCTTACTTCCCTGAGCTGTAGGCTGTCTCTGCAGGGTGGGAGTTGCTGTCTGGACTCTCTGTAGCTGCACCCCTGCAGATCAGTGAGTATAGATAGGCAGGGAGGGATATGCTGGAACTTCCTATCCCTGCCTGTCTCCACATACAGCGACCCCTACTGGCCAGTTGCAGAGTAATCTCCATTTATACTGAGAAAAATACCAGCATTTATATTGCCAGTATCACTGCAATATTGGCACCAGCCAGGCAGCCTCAAATACTGGCTGTGCCAATAAAATAAAAGTCAGGTGGAATCCCTAAGAGTAGTGTGTGGAAAAAAAAAAATGTAAAAAAAAAAAAAAAGAAATTGTTTTTTTTTTATTTTTTTTAAATCAATGGGCCTATTCCATGGGCCTGGGCCTGGAGTTGCAGCTCCATCAGCCCCTATGTTAATCCGGCCCTGAACCCATTTGTTTACTGTGCTGAGAGAGAGAGTGTGTTTTACATGCAGAAAACAAAGGTTGTATCGCTGGTCATGGTGTGCAGCACACAGACAGTAAAAACAGTGTGTCCGTGACTAAATCTCATTGTATGCTGCACACAGGGTGTGTGTGTGTTAATCTCTAGCCATGGTGTGCTAAACACTGAAAATATTGTGGGCTTATGTGACTAGATCTCAAATCATAGTATGCTGCCTGCAGTAAGTATTGAGTGTTTGTGTAACTGAATCTTTAGTTGTGTGCTTCACAGACAATGGTGTATGTTTGTGTGACTGAATCTTTGGTCATGATGTGCTACACACAGAAAAGTGTGTTTATGTGATGGACACAAACAATAGTATTTTGAATCTCTAATAATGTTGTCCTAAACACAGAGAATATTGTGTTTGTGTGACCGACTCTCGAGTGCACATCAAATCTGTATATACAGATTATGTGATTGAATCTCTATCTAGTCATGGTCAGCTACACTCAGGGAACAGTGTGTGTTTGCGTCACTGAATTTCCAGTCATGGTGTGCTACACTCAGAGAGCAGTGTGTGTTTGTGTATTTGAATCTCTTGTCGTGGAGTGTTAAAGAGGTATAATATTGTGTGTCCGTGTTAATGAATTCCTAGTCATAGTGTACTCGGCGCAGAGAATACAGTGTGTGTTTGTGTCACTGAAATTCTGCTCACGGTGTGCTACACACAGAATAGTGTGGGATTGTAAGATTGAACCACTACCCGTGGTGTGAGAATCAGAGGCTAATGTGTGTTTGTGTGACTGCATCTCTAGTCATAATGATACATTGTGGCAAGTATCTCCTCCCCTCATTATCTGCTGCCAAGCTTGGAATGCTGGATAATTGTAGTAATTATTAGAGTGTCTGTAGCTACCAAGCGACACACATTCCCCATCAATCAGGAGGATTAGCCTCTGAGAGAGATGTAGCACTTCAACCGTGTGTGATGGGGTGCATTGCCAATGCATGTAATGGGCACATAGAGCAATCCTTGTGCTACAAAAGGCACTCACATGGAGACTAAACGACTTTATGCGACAAAATGTGTGCAAAACACTGAAACCAGCAATGGTTCAGAAATATTGCTTTGCCGTTGTATGTAAGCTAATTTGTACTGCCATTGTGAGGAACATTGGCACAAAAGAATTAAAATCAGGCAGTCTATTCCATTGACAGTGCTATTGTATGTGAACATAAGTGGCCACAGCAAAGGTACATGGGGCACAGGTAATTTCTTATGTGGTGACAATTTCCCTGTCCACACACCCCAGCGTAATATAGCATTGAACGAGTTGGTATAATTGCATCAGTTGTCATTGGTTCCTACATTGCATTGTGGTATAGGTGACACTACTACTGCATGTGGTTCGATACAATGTGTGAACAATTCTGCAAGTGGGTGGGTGAGGGTTTCATCATTACTTAAAATAAAACGAAAAATAATTTTGAATAAATTCCAAAAATACAAACTAACTGCACTTAATTTGTTTACCACCTGAAGATGAACATATTTTTATGGTAAACGCAGTTTTAAAGGTTCTTCACATTGAACGGCCCCTTCAATTCATCACCTAAAATAAATGTTTAAGTAATTAATGCCACAATCTCCCCGACATTCTAAGCCTGCTTCCTTTGACTTACATACCCCTTTCTTTCCAATCTTAGCAAATTATTAACTAACTCCTACCTCTTACACCTATGACCATCACTAGGATCACCAGTTCCTTCATCATCTTCAGGCCTTCTCCTATGCACCACCATCCTGATCTGTAAAAATAATGACTATATAAAACTGAAATATAAAAAATGTCTATGTATTTTAAATATGATTCCTGATACTGATGTTAATATTGATCAGCCCAATGTTATTCACTTTATCAACCTCTGACGGTCGCCTTGACCAACCCATATCATCAATTCATCTAATATTCATGTTCCATGCAGTCCACTTATCTTCTGTTTGTATCACCCACAACGTCCCACTAGTCCATAAGACCAGAGTCCTTCTTTGCAAGTTTGTATCCAAATGTTCTATTGTGTTTCAGTGTTTGTCATGCTATTTATTACCTTATTATACTAGGTTTTGCTGGAGCTTTATAAGTAGAAGAATAAAGATTTCTGATCCAAAATCCATTCCAGTTGCCTATAAGTGTTACGGTGTATTGTGATGATAAAGTTACACAACCTGCAGTGTGGACACATAGTGCTTTTTCATCAACAAAGAATATAATAGAAAATGTAAACATCAAAAGATATTCTTTCAATGTTAACATTTTCTATTTAATTTTTCATCACATTGTATAGTTCAAATGTTATTTTCAATCTAAGAAAATGTTGAAAAATTTTGCCTTCATACACCATACGTCATTTTATATAAAGGTAGAATTACTGTCTACAAAGCAGATACTGGATGCTATTAAATGATCATATATGCCTTTAGTAAACATGAGAATTGCAAATCTTTTTTAAAGTGGCACTGTCACTGTCTGGAAGCTGTCAGTACCCCTACAGTGACGTTGCCGCTGGTGGTCGGTTGGGCGTGGGGAACAGGTAAAGGTGAAATTACTTACCTAAACCGGTCTTTTGTGGGCGTCAACATCTTTCTCGCGTTGCTCTTCTTCTGAAGCGCCAGGAGCCGATGTCACTGCTGTACTCTTGGAGGACTGCGGGATCCTCCATTAACACAGACAATTCCCAGCACTGGTGATGCTGTCAGGATTGTCATTTGGATTCCCCCTGAGTCTAAGAAAGTCAGGCGGAGGAGAAATACAGAGACAAAGCAGTCCTTACTTTGTCACTGTATATCTCTTTACTGGGTTGAAATTTCAGTTAAATTCCAAGAGTCAAAAGGAGTATTTCATAAAGACTCTTAATGAAATACTCATTTTTCAGGGGGGGGAGGGGTTACAGTGCCACTTTAAATTTAGTTATTTTAATATAATTTTGATGATCCAAACTGTATTATGGCTTTAATAAATAAATAACCTGTCTCACAGTGCCAACTGTCAGTACTCCTATACAGCGTGGTCTCAGGCCCAGCAGGTGCACTTCGATGAGGTGCGTTCGACGAGGCCCATGGGAACGCTGCCAGGTATCTGTCTAACCTCAGCAGCGGGTGCGACTGGAAGGATGAGAGACGCTGACTGCTGCACGCAAGAGCCTTGTCCAATATGACGCTCTTAAATGTGCGTCCGTCGTCATGTTGAGCACGCATGGTCTGACATCACTTGACCTTAATTGAGAAATCAGACACATTTTTGGGGTATTTAACCACAGTGTGATTTTTTTTTTTGAGTGCCCTGTTGTGGTTTCCTATTTGGTTATCCGAGATTGTGTTATTTCTACATTAATGTTAAATCTGGCCATTCTAAGGTCTGGTAATTAGTTTTAAAGGGTTTCTGATTTATAATATATTTATTAACTTAAGTTCTGAGCGTTGGGTATTGGACTATCCTGACACCCTGTCTGATTTGCAGATGTACACCCACCAAAATGGCAGAAGCAAATACCATAAACTTGCATCATCATAACGTCCGGTGATAGCCAGCTCTATTGAGCTAATAAGGCAAAATAAGATAGGCAATTTAAGTTTGCTCAGGAGCCGTACAGTATTTATTTAAAGGACAAGCACAAATGAAGACTACAATATTACTACATTGTTGAATGGGTAAGGCAGTGGCCAAGTGACAGGCAACAAAGGGTTGTAGTCAATGGAGTATATTCAAAGCATGGGCTTGTCACCTGTGGGGTACCTCAGGGATCTGTACTTGGACCCATTCTTTTTATTAGTGATATTGCAGAAGGTCTTGATGGTAAGGTATGTCCTTTTGCTGATGATACTAAGATATGTAACAGGCTTGATGTTCCAGGAGAGATAAGCCAAATGCCAAATGATTTAGGTAAACAAGAAAAATGGTCAGTGTTGTGGCAACTGACATTTAATGTGGATTAGTGCAAGAAAATGCATCTTGGACATAAAAACCCAAGGGCAGAGTACAGAATATTTGACAGAGCCGTAACCTCAACATCTGAGGAAAGAGATTTAGGGGTGATTATTTCTGATGACTTAAAGGCAGACAAGGTAATAAAGCAGCAGGAAATGCTAGCAGAATGCTTGGTTGTATAGGGTGAGGTATTAGCAGTAGAAAGAGGGAAGTGATCATGCCATTGTACAGAACACTGGTGAGACCTCACTTGGAGTATTGTACGCAGTACTGGAGACCGTATCTCCAGAAGGATATTGATACTTTAGAGAGAGTTCAGAGAAGGGCTACTAAACTGGTTCATGGATTGCATGATAAAACTTACAAGGAAAGGTTAAGGGAACTTAAAGGGACACTATAGTCACCAGAACAACTACAGCTTATTGAATTTGTTCTGTTGACTAGAATCATTACCTGCAGGCTTTTTTGCTGCCAACGCTGTATTTTCAGAGAAAATGCAGTGTTTACATTACAGCCTAGTGATAACTTCACTGGCCACTCCTCAGATAGCTGTTTGAGATCCTTCCTGGGTCATGGCTGCCTAAAATGCATCCAAACATTCAATATCTCCTCCCTCTGCATGCAGACACTGAACTTTCCTCATAGAGATTCATTGATTCAATTCATCTCTATGAGGAGATGCTGATTGGCCGGGGCTGTGTTTAACCCCTTAATGACCAAACTTCTGGAATAAAAGGGAATCATGACATGTCACACATGTCATGTGTCCTTAAGGGGTTATATCATGCTGGCTCTGCCCCTGATCTGCCTCCTTGTCAGTCTCAGCCAATCCTATGAGGAAGCATTGTGATTGGATCAGGCTACCACTTCTGATGATGTCAGCGGACTGTTTGTTTCTTTTTAGGCAAACAGCATGCAGAGTTACAGCTTCTGGCTTGAATACAGTAAGATTTTGCTATATTTATGGAGGCATGATGAGCCCAGGGGGGCTAGATGGTGGTGTTAACACTATAGGGTCAGGAATACATGTTTGTGTTCCTGACCCTATAGTAATCCTTTAACACGTATAGCTTGGAGGAAAGACAAGACAGGGGGGATATGAAAGAAACATTTAAATACATAAAAGGAATCAACACAGTAAAGGAAGAGACTATATTTAAAAGAGGAAAAACTACCACAACAAGAGGACATAGTCTTAAATTAGAGGGGCAAAGGTTTAAAAATAATATCCGGAAGTATTACTTTACTGATAGGCTAGTGTATGAATGGAATAGCCTTCCAGCTGAAGTAGTAGAGGTTAACACAGTGAGGTAATTAAAGCATGCGTGGGATAGGCATAAGGCTATCCTACCTATAAGATATGGCCAGGGACTAATGAAAGTATTTAGAAAATTGGGCAGACTAGATGGGCCGAATGGTTCTTATCTGCCATCACATTCTATGTAATAGTGTAATATGTTTATTGCAAAACAAGATCAAATCACACACACTATGTTACACTATTGTGGTCTTTGTCTGTGCATGCCTCTTAGACAAAAGCTGTATTTTTGTGGAGTGTTGGAGGAACAAAACAGAGACTTAACAACATTTGGAGACGTGTTTCCTATGATGGACTGAAATGGATGAGTCAAACAGAAGTTATATAATTATGGAACATTAAGACAATGCTTATTGCAATACAGAAATACTGCCTAACTGGTGATACAGTCTATTTGCAAAGAATCAGTGTTTTGGATATTTCTTACAAACAAGCATACTTCTAAAGACCCCCCTCCCTGATTCACGGTCTTAACAGGTTTAATAGACAGGTGGAATTATTAAAGATATTCTGCTACCATCATTTTTTCCAGTGTCTGCACAGATCAAAATTTGATGAAAGACTTCAAATGTTTTAGATCCACAGGGGGGAATTAGGGAATTAAAGAAATATACCAATTAGCACCTTCATAAATATTTCTGATTAGCAGAGACATAACTGCCATATCTGTGTTGGGCAAATACTGGGTTGAAAAGCAAACCATCTAATGGTAAAGTTGTCATTGTCTTGCAATACATAAAATGAAGTCTCAACACAAGATTAGTGGATTTCTCCTAATCAGACATTTGTCATCATTTGTATTTATAAATCGCATGTGTAAATAATTGCGATGGCGTTATGTAGAAATTATGCGCCTGAAATAAACAAATATATTGTACGCACAATTTGCATATTACATGTTTAGCGATGTAATCTCTGTCAGCAGGTCCAATCTATCATAATTTCAATAAATAAATGTATGTTAAAAATTAAATAATATTAAAATGGGAAGAATTTATTCCCTTTCATAAAACATAAATTGTGCCAGAAGCTAGAGACGCCATCATGTGGTCATAAAACAGGATAACATGTTATAAAAAGTATTCGAATGCAATGTGAGACTGAACTGTGTTTCTCATGTTATGCACTTTTGCCGTCTGTAGCTAAAATCCCTAACTCTTCCTATTACTCCATATAATTTCTTACAATACTTACTGCTGCTCAGCCCTAGTGGAAAGAAGCAGTGGATTAATCCTGCAACAGGATGTGGGCCCTAAAAACAGCATTTGTCCAGATGAAAACTACAGAAAGAAAAAACATTGTTTGGGTTGGCCCTGCAGAAGAGTGTATCCAGTTGGCCCTCCAGAACAACGTGTTTGGGTGGGAGGAGAACAATAGAAAGATGTGTCCAGACTAGGGGTCAGCTCTGCAGAAGGACACGTGCAAGGGGTGGCCCTACGGAAGGCCATATTTGGGAGGGTTAGTCTTGCAGAAGGGTGTACCGATGGGCTGGACCTGCAAATGGGAGTGTCTAGGGGGTGGGCGGGGGAGTCAACCTACTGAAGGACATATCTGGGTATTGGCCATACAGAACAGGGGGCTTGTAAAGTCAGCCCTGCATAGGGTTGTGTCCAGGTTGGCAGTGCAGGTGTGGGCATGTTCAGGTGTGAACCAATCCTGCAGAAAGCCATGTCTGGGTCAGTCTTATGATAGGAAATATCCATTGTCGGTCTTGCAGGAAGCAGGAATCCAGGGTCAGCCTGCAAGACGAAGGAGTAGAATGTCTGTTCAGAAGAAGGAGCAACTGGCTCTCTGCTTGAGAGGATGACGAGCTCTGCGGAGAATTATTAAGGCCAGCTCGGGTTTTAACAGTGCTGATGCATAGAAACCCAGTCCAGTATATGATGCAACCAGCGCCCAACACGGGAAGATCGGACACGCAGAAAGAGTTCATATAAGTAAAGTTGTCCCAAATAGAAGGATTCTGATATTGAGATGTGAGCATAGGACCAGACTGAGACAGCATGTTCCTTGTGGTATCTGAGGAAGAGAGATTTATTACACAGCATGAAATTCAGTTTGCATATAAAAATATTCCTTTTTATGGTGAGAACACGGAATAAACTTAAAAGTTCAGGTGACATGTTTTCTTTTGCCTTCTTTCTCTCTTTTCCCCTCCCAGTTTGGTTAGGTTAGATATATATATATATATATATATCTGGCTGATAGTTGAACCTTTTTGCCAAACTACTCAAATCCCTACATTAAAAAGTAGTTGTTATGGTGCTTAGAATATCCTTTTAATTATACTACTGTATTGTTCTGAACCCCACATACAGCGCAATATTATCTCATGCTTTGTATTATGACCTTCGTCAGCATGCATATGTGGTGAAAGAACGAGGGTCTTCTACTAATTGACGGTCACCCAGTTCATAGCAGGTCCTGTGTCCCTCTTTTGTTTATTTTATTTAATGAGAAAATACCCTTCTGGACTTTTCAAAATATATTAGGATCTTTGTGCAGCATCGCATGGTCCAGGTAAACCTTGATAGAATACTGACCTGGAAATAGCTCGCACGCAGCAGCGAGACATGCTGAGGAATGAGCTGGAGCTGGCACTGGTCTGCAACGTGGTCTCAATCCCACGGAGGAGGTCATTAGTTTTGAGGAGAAGGAGCATTTGGCGTGGGACTTGAGAAAGGAGCTGACTGATCTGAGGGAGGTAGGTGGCCGCATTATTGCGAATCTCTAGAGCCTACAAAAAAAAAAGAAAAGAGTTCAGAAGACAGAGCACAATACGTTGCTGTTCATGAGCTCAAACTTATTATTGTCACAATGGGGAGCGAAAAAAAAAACCAAAAAAAACAAACAGGTTAGGAAAAAGAAGAAAGAAAATCTGCGGAAATCATACAGAGAATTTAATGGAAAAACAAATCCACAGAGGGGGCAGGCGATTGACAAAGGAAAAATCAGGGGTGACAGAAAGTGATTGCAGAGGAGCTACAAAAGAGAATCGGTGAGAGAGAGAGGCAAAAGAGAACCAGAGTATCAAATTAGAGAAAACGGGGGAGAGGCACAAAAGAACAGAAGATAGCAAATAGATGCAAAACTGAGGTGGAAAAATGCATGTATAAAAATATCATGTATAAATGTATTATACATTAACACACACACACACAAAAACATCTATAGAAATACAAATAAGTAGGCCAACATATATAAATACACATGTATGCAAATACAAACATTAACAAGCATGTACGATAACATACACATAAATACATATACATATGTAAAATAGGATTAACACACACATACTCTGGCACCAAAAAAGGTTATGTTATCCAGAAGCTCCTGAATTAGATGCCTGTTGTACACTGAACAAGGAACTCTAATTACAGACACAGCTAATTACACCTTATCTAAAGCAGGATGATCCGAAGCCAGCTGCAGACATGTTGTATGACAGTTAAACAAACAAAGGGGGACACAATCTGTGAGTATGTAGTGATGAGATTTAAGTTTTTAGCTGTCTTAGGTTAAGTCAAGTCTATGTGCCCTCCCAATACACTTTATAACAGCCGCAAATACACGCATATTATTTATAACGTGTGTGAAAACATATATGGGTGTAATATGAGTGTGTATTTACACATATACAGTTAATTAGCTTGGCATTCATATACAATTAGCCACACTCAGTCCATTAGCCACTGATTTTCACAAATACATAACAAGTCCAGGATATTTCTGATGTCACCTCCAATATCGATCAGCTGTTTGGAGAGGTATTTATGCAGAACCAGGTAAGGGGTGATACTGATTCATTTGAGAAATGCATCACCTGTTCTGCCTAAACATTGGGGGGGGTCTTTGTACAATAGCCTACCAGGACAGTACAAAGGCCACATTTTGTGCTATGCGTTGTCAGTGTAAATTTAATCTCTTGCCCTGTTTTTTTGTTTGTATTTTCTGTCTAATTCTGTTTGCCTTGTATATAGATTATCCATAATCCATACTCCACAGCATGGTGAGGTGAGATAGGAGACTGATACAGTACAGACGCAGTTGAAAGAAGGATTAGCTGAAAAAGAAAGGGTGTATGTTCTAGGAGAGGTAAATGTAAAAATAGGGATGAGACAGGAGAAAGAGGTGAAAGGACAATTGGTGAGACTGGATGGATAATAATCAGATGGCAGAAGATATATAAATATGGAAATTCTGTTTAAGGTTTAACCTATTGGTCACACTGGCCTTATTTTTGGAAATGTATGGCTGATTTTGTAGCAATTAGCATTATAAAGGCCTCTATTAAATTATCCAAACATGTGTGAGAACTGCCAGTGCTCAAACAATGCTCCCCAAATAATATCCCCATAAATGTTACTGCCCTGACCTTCTCCATTCTAGAATGTAGCAGTAGTAACCTAATATCTAATTATTGATTCCCACTGAGCTGGAACATTGTGCTTTAGTCAAACATAAATCTGCATATTCACACCTTAGCATAAATATATTCACTTTATTTATAAAGTACCACACACAAGAAGCATTCGCATGATCAAAGTGAGAATTCTGAAGTGTCATGATCACCCACTGGCTCCCCCAATGCATGGACCATGTGCGTGCCACTTACCTCCTCTTTAGTCACAGAATTTTGTTTTATCCCTCTGTTCACAGAGTTCCAGGAACGGGCAGTTAGCACGCAAGCAAAAAGGGGGTACAGTTCTCCAGCTCCCAATCGCTGACTGTATTTGCGTATTCCCTCCATATTAACATCAATCAACGCTTGCCACAGGTGGCAGTAATCCAATCTGAATGACTCTGTCAGTACCTGTGTGAAATATATGGAGAGGAGTGAAAGGTGGGTCCTACAGACTATGTCCAATATACTGAGATGATGAGATGACCTGTAGGTAAGCCCTGAAAACAAAAGCCTTGTAAAAAGTTACAGTTTGTCCTCTCTACCATTTTACCTGGTACAGTCCATGATCCAAGAGAATGATCTCAGGACTATTTGTTTCTAGGTTCTTTCGAACCAGCACATTGCCGGGATGAGGGTCACAATGAACAAATCCATGGACAAAAATCATCTCACTGTATAATTTTCCCAGAGCCTGAGAAACCTGAGGATGATAAGAGGAGAACTTAAAACTGAAGTGACTCCCATACGCTGTATCCCTTACATACCTACTCCTACTACTTTATCCAAATACCATATGCCAAAATGTGTCCTTCCCTAAAAGAGGGTAATAACTCTGCACCTTGTATCATTCAGGTATGTATCACAAACATGAAAGCAGTGAGAGAGGTAAGTGCAGAAGGTTCTTTAACAAATGCCATAATGAGGCATATATTAGCATGGGGCTCTGAAGAAAAAGTTGGTGTATTCACAGTACACTTTGAAGAGATTCCGTTTGCATTGTACAGAAACAGCAGAATCCCTCCTCTTTGTAGTACTCCTCAGATGTTATCCCTTAAATCTTGTCATTCTGGGCACTTGTGCTGTTAATCTTAGTGAAGGCAATTAGGATCCTGGGATTTCGATGGGGTATCCTGTCCTTGGAATTATCACTTTCCCTTTGGACCTTCATTCTTGACACCTCACTGAGTCCACACGCATTGCCCAAGATATTCCCTACTGTGCCCAGTGCACCCAACATATCATTGATTTATTGAACAATAAAACAAAATACAAACACATAGTGCAATTTGTTTAAAATAATGTTGAGAATAATAGGTTGAAACAACAGTCATATTACAAAGAGCCACGTTCATAACATTATTACATATATTTAAACATTGTTGCTAATACAGCTAAAAACTGGGGAATCCCAGTAGCTAGCAAGAAAATAACTTGTGTGTTTTGATATGCCGCTTATGCTGGTCGTGATCTGTATTTTACTGAAAAAGCAACAGTCCTCCTACATGTAGTACTCCCCCAATTTTACGGTTTAAATCCTATAAAGCTGGGTAATGGATGCTCTGAGTCACAGCTCAGAGTATGGGGAATCCTGTAGTGATCTTATTTCAGTGATTTCTGTGTGTCCGTCCCCTCTGTTCTCCTATGTGTCCCCTAATGTCTCTATGGCAATGACAATATCATCTATTCTATTTATTTTTTAAATGACATGGTATTCATATATGTAGTTCCAATTAGTCCTTTTTTCACTATGTCTCTCGCCTCACTTATTCACCACTTTTTGTATATAATAAATGCTATTATCTGGGTGATCTTACAGCAGAATCTAAAGGCATACTGCCAGCAGAGATCAGGGTATACTATGCCAGGGCACTGCCCAGTGGCATTCTCGAGGTTTATTCAAATGACAGCCAGAGTCAGTTCTCACCATTTCTCTGAGAGGGACAACTACAATCTAGTTGTGCATAACAATTTATTTCATCTTGAATTAGAGACCAGTGTTCTATTGGTGGCAATCCAGGCTCGGGAAACAGCTAGTGAACATATACCGGCAGTGGGTTTTATAACGATAAACAGTTTAACATTGAAGAGTTAACTAGTTTACAATTTATAGTGCTAACGTAACATTTGTAATAATTATTACTTTAAGGTAAAAAACAAACAAACAAGTATTCCAACCAATTAATTTTTTTTGTCTTGACTTTGCAGTTTAGTTTCAGAATTCATAACGTTAACAGATATTGATTCACAAGAATACTAGATTTTTCAGTAATAAACAGGCCAAAAGTCACAGGGTTAATATTTTTTTGAAGTAGTAACCAGTTGAGGTTAGGGTTAACAGATTTTGAAGTGATAACTGATAACATGAAACAGCCCCCTCCGGTGGTTGCTGTCAGTCACACAGAGGATGTAAAGCTTTCTTAGTGCGGTGTTAAACCCTCACATTAACCATGTCATTGTATTAATTACAGCTTTGAGAACACAAACCCGGCAGGGGGTGTCCCAATGACATCAGGAGACTCCCCTTCTGTCACAAGCATGATACAGACTTATTAGCCCCCTGCTTACCACAGCCATAGGAATGTGTTGTTCTCACCTGATTCACATCGATTTTATTCTTTTCCATGTAATCCTTGTTATTTACCTGCCCCCCTTCCACATATTCCATCACTAAGACCTTTTCCGTGCTTAGGTCCCAGTGAATTTTTGGTATCTGAAACAAGCAAATAACACATTAAGATGAACCTGTTCAAGAGGGGGTAAGCAGGAACGATTGTGCAGAACACAATAGGGTTATTTTATTGTAATCCAAATGTTACTTAGAATTCTCAAATTAACAGCTACCATGCAAATTTAACCAAAAATTGAAACCTGGATTTAATTTATTAAAATACTACTCCCAACTGTGTGTATTCAAATCTAGGTAAGTCACCTAGGCACAGAAAAATAGAATTGGCCCACTGGTTGCACAAGCAGTCATCAAGAAGAGACTTAATTAAAACAAGTGAATACGAAGCAACTCACTGTGGGGGATAAAGGACTTCGGTATACCCTGTTATTTAAGACGGAGCTTGGTAGTGTGCGGGTAAATTTAATAGAGTGGGTGGGCTTGTGCGTGCCCACCCTCTGCTCCAACTAAACACATGTGCATCCAACCCCCCAATCACGCAGACTGCCACTGTGCCACTGACACTATAACAATAAAATACAGGCTCCCTCTCAAGTGCAGGGGTTTATGCCCCACCCCCACCCTCCCCCTCTGTACCAAGTACATATAAAATCACCACTAGTAAACTGCCTAAGCTTCGCTCATTAGATGTCTATTAAATAGAATAAATCATTACTTCTCCATTGGCTCAATATGTACTGGAATGGGGGGGGAAGGGGATTTAAAACCTTTCCCCCCAAAAATAAAAACCCCAAATAAAGCTTTAAAACAAAAAAAATATTGTACTTATAAATTAATGGATGTCAAAGTATGCACAAATGATATACGCATCAATTAAAAATAATAATTGAAATCCAACAGGCATGTTTAAATTGATATAATTGATGTAATCTTGACTTACTCACTCTGAGAAATGGGAACGCTCGAACCATTGTGGCCATTCGCTCGGCATTGTGCCCTTCATTTAAGAAGTTCAGCTCCAGAGGAAGGTTTTTCTTTGCTTCATCCACAAGCCACATGAACTCAAACTGTGGGAAAACCACCTTCACAACACGCAACAGAATCTGAGCAAGACAAACAGAAAATGCAGACACAGCATGGGTCAGACAGAGTAGGGGGGCATACTTGGCACGCATAAAGGCACAGGACAGACAAGATGCACAGAGAAGTGATGTGGCAGAAAATGCATAGAGAGCAGCATAGAAAGAAAACGTAGACAGAAACCTCAGGAAGCACGCAGGACAAATAGGATTGGCAGACACGCACAGGGCAAAAACGGCCATCATGCTGGGTGCAAGGCAGATAGAACACAGAGACGAGTAGAGGAGCACACCAGTTGGGTAAATATAAAACACAAGGCACATAGGATGTGCGGACAGAGCACTGGGCCATAAAAACGTGCACAAATAGCGCTAGCTCAACAGAACATGTGGACAAGTCATGCAGACACCGTATGGAGCAAACAGAACACAGATAGATAATAGACAGAGAGAACTGAAAAATCAGAACCTGCCGACAAGGCATTGAACAAACAGGACATAGAGTAAGAGTACTGGTCACACTGGATATGCAGATAGAGCGCTGGGCAGACAGGAGAGGTAAGCTAGAAACCCATACTATTTCAATATCTATGGATGTGAACACTAACCTCCATGAGAAAAATGTCCTTTTTGCTCTGCGACTGCACCTTTGGGTGTTGCACTTTTACAGCAACTGTTCTCCCATCCCGCAGCACAGCCCGATGCACCTGCGCCAGGGACGCTGCACCTAATGGGGTCTCATCAAAATGGAGGAAAAGGTGGGACGACTGGGGAAATTTAAACTCATATTAGCTGCATAGAAAGTAATCCCCATACACCATTTAGTAAAAACCTTTAATTTTGTAAATGCTGTTAGTGACCATATTGCTGAATATGGTTTACAGTTCTAATTTACCATCAGTAATCCCCATTCCGTCTCAACATTTCAGTTCACCTTGCTCATTTTAGAAAACATTAGTACATAAGAATAATATGGGTACAAACACAGAAAAAAAAATACTTCTTTTCATTTGAGAAAATGTAATCAATTATTCACCTTCTCTAGAAATTACACCAATGAATAAAACAATATAAATTATCTAATAACATTGGGCAAACTTTTTTTTTTTTTTTTTTTTTCTTCATGTGTTGCTAAACTAATGTTTTAACAATTACAGTAATAACCTAGTTCAGTCCAAGAAATACCTGGGTACACGTTGCATTGGAGGAGGGAAAACTAGGGAAGATTCAACAAGTAATTTTTTCCCATCTAAAAAGTTTGCATTTATCAAAGTATTATAAAAATGGTCTAAAAATCATCTGCTTTTCCTCTGTTTTGTCATAAATAGCCATTTCAAAAATGACTGCCAAGTTTATAGTGAAAAAATAAATAGAAGTGAATCTTTTCTGGCATAAGAATGACTGATAAATCGGGTGGATTGCAAAAAAAAAGGTAGTCCAAAAAAAAGGGCAAAACCGTTTGAGATAGTTTGATAACATCCCTATTTTGTCTGTCTGTCCTCTTTTTTTTCTATTTTTTAGTTATGTGAACTAGTAGGTGCAGAAGGCAGACATTCTAACAATGCTTGATGGGGAGCCAAGATGTGTACATTCCTTTCTAGGATATAGGTAACACAGCAGTGCTTGATTTAAACATTTAAAAGAACATTATAGTCACCAAAATAACTTCAGCTTAAAGGACCACTATAGTGCCAGGAAAACATACTCGTTTTCCTGGCACTATAGTGCCCTGAGGGTGCCCCCACCCTCAGGGTCCCCCTCCCGCCGGGCTGGATGGCGAGGAAAGGGTTAAATCTTACTTTTTTTCCAGCGCCGGGCAGGGATCTCTCCTCCTCCTCTCCGGCTGAATGCGCATGTGCGGCAGGAGCTGCGCGCGCATTCAGCCAGTCTCATAGGAAAGCATTCATAATGCTTTCCTATGGACGCTGGCGTCTTTTCACTGTGATTTTCACAGTGAGAAGCACGCAAACGCCTCTAGCGGCTGTCAATGAGACAGCCACTAGAGGCTTTAGAGGCTGGATTAACCCTATAATAAACATAGCAGTTTCTCTGAAACTGCTATGTTTATAAAAAAAAAAAAAAAAAAAAGGGGTTAATCCTAGAGCGACCTGGCACCCAGACCACTTCATTAAGCTGAAGTGGTCTGGTTGCCTAGAGTGGTCCTTTAATTAAGCACTTTTGAAGTATAGATCATGTACCTGCAGTCTCACTGCTCAATTCACTGCTATTTGGGAGTTAAATCACTTTGTCTATACATTCCCTAGTCAGCCCCTCTCTCCCCATCCCTGCATGAGACTTGTGCAACCTTCCTTAACCCATCCTGTAAAGAGAGATCTAATGTTTACACTTCCTTTATTGCAAATTATTTTTTAATGTAGAATTACTCATCTCCTACTCTGTTAATAGCTTGCTAGGCCATGTAAGAGCCTCCTGTGTGCAATTAAAATTCATTTTACAGATTAGGAGATAAAACATTTAAAGTCAGTTACATCTGACTGAAAAGTAAACCATTTTGTTTTCATGAAAGCTGTGTCAGTCACAGCCATGGTAGTTGTGGTTAGGGCTGCATGGACAGAAACAAAAGTGATTTAACTCCTAAATGGCAGATAATTGAGTGGTGAAACTAGAGAGGCATGATCAATACACAAAAAACTGCTCCATTAAGCTAAAAAGTTACTTTGGTGACTATAGTGTCCCTTTAACTTAATTTTTCAGATCTCACAACCATATATGAGTAGAAGTAAAACTAATGTTAAAAATCATTGTTGATGTGTTATTTTCCTGGGAAAGGGCAAAAGGATAGGAGAATTCCTACTTTATATCTCTGTCCTATTACCTGTCAAGATACCGGTGAGCTTCTCTCAGTCAAGCTACTTGGTCTATCTGACTCACTGTGAGTGTATCTCTCATATCTGTCACATTCCATTTGAGTCTATCTCCACTTTCTGTGAATCCATTTCTGCATTTCTCACCTACTGTGCCTTATTTTCTTGATCTGCAGCACATCTCACATTAAACCTCCACTGAATGGGCTAATTTTATTGCTCCTTTGCCTTTAACTATGGAGTAATCAAGCTAATCTCATCCCTCTCCAGACTGCAATAAGTGAAGCAATAAATCTCATTGTGAATGTCTGCTGATATAAGTTTTATGGGGAGAGGGACATCAAATTATTAATATACAATGACCCTGTCCAGATGCTCCTATCAAATCCTGTGTATGGCTGATAAATGATTGCTTATAACAAACTTGTGCCTAGCATACAAACAGTCATCCATCACTACCTCCTCCCCCACTAATATGGGTGCAGTCATCAGCAGGCATGCAATATCCACCTGTTAACCCTAAGCATCCCATGACAACAAAAATATAGACTATATTCTCAAAATCAATAATACAGCTTCTTTACATGGTGCTATTACGACAAAAGCGCACCAATAAGTTGTGTTTTAAAAACCAACACTATTACCAAAATCAATGGTAATACTTTTGATAACTTAGGAAATATTAAGAGCTGAGAAGACCTGCAGGGCATTGAACCAGTTGTTTGCAATCAGTTTATAGTCCCAATGATCTATATTCCCTGATTTTCGATTGGCCCAGTCTGTTAGCATATTACCTTTTCACCTAGCTCCTCCTTGACAACCTGTAGCACATCTATCAGTGGGGTGACGGGCGCTTGGCTGTGCAGGACACTCAGAGTACGAGTATATTCCGGGGGCAGCAGATATTCGAGTGCACCCAAGTGTTGCCCAACCTTAATGAATGTGCCACGGTTGGCACAGCACAAATCTAGCAAGCGCTGAGCTGATCGCATGTGAACCTGAAAATTAAAAATGGGTATATATTTTTAAAGTATGCAGTGATCTTGCCACATTGAGATCAACATTGAATAAGCTAGAAATGTCTTAAAGAATTATTGTTTGCAAACATTAAATTACGGGCTTCTAAGAGTCTGACTGGGACTTGCAGTAATTATGAAGATAAACTGGCCAGCCATACGCTGGCAGATAGATTAGTGGCTGGGTTTAGATGGACATAAAGCCATGCCTGTAATGTACATTTGAAGGAGAACAGTTCATAATTTCTACCAAAGAAAAGCGAAACTCCACTCATCGCAGTGTCTCTACCTGTGATTTAATGTCTTCATATTTCTCTGGCCCTCCTGGGACATGTCGCAAGTGAGTGAGGTAGTCAATGCTAATAGCTGCTGTCTGAAAAAAGGCAAACACGCGATTAATAGGACATCAAATATCTAGTAATATAACGGGAAATTCATCTATGCAAGGTACTCACCGTAATAACTGCTCTTCCTATACGCACCACCCCAAAATCACTGGGGTCCAAGTACTGAGACTTGTGTAATAAAACCCCAGATGACAAGAGAGTGACTGAGGTAAGGGATGCGAGTCTGTAAAAGCCTATCACCATTTTGCCTGCCCTGCAAAAAATAAATCCACAATATAATAATGCCGGTGTCCTCAAAACATTCCTTATTTCACTAAATGACACAGCTCACCTGTTGCTTACTTTTTATCTCCCAAAATTTTAGGACATGGTTGCTTTAATAAGTTTTAGGTGGCTGACTAATAACGGTTTATGCAACTAAAATATAATTTTAACAATGCATCTTATTTACACACACGGATTTCTAAACACATTTATTGTAGTTTAAAGACACATCATTGTTAGTATTTTTGTTGTGGAGCTCTGTTACACACTGAGATACAGTAAAAATATGTAGCTCACAGAAAAGAGAAACATTAGGATAAAAAAGGGACCTAGGAGTGCGTGGCCAAGCAGCGGAGCAGAATGGCGGCTTAAGTGGTGAACTCCTCCAACCCTGAAATGCCAATCGTGTGACTGCATCCACAGAGGCACCCCCAAACCATCAGGGTCCAGCCAGACTCGCTTCACCCCTCCATGCGGCAGTACTTGGCCTCGCCGGCAGATCCAGCCTCCCAGGCATCATCTGAGGCCTCCCCACACTCAGAGGCCTCAACATCGAGCCAACAGACTGGCTGTCCTTGCTCAAGGCACTCCCCACCCGGGTAGACCTCAATCAGGTGACCTCAGCACTCCATGCGTCCTTCAGAGCAGATCTTCAGATGATGCAGTCGGACCAGCAAGGAATGGCGGACCGCATGGCCCAAATGGAGGTGGATCACGACGGCCTCCTGGCAGCCCAAACTGCAACTACCTCTACACTAGAACGCCAAAAAGCACAGCTACAAGCTATGGCATGTCAAATAAAGGAACCTGACAATAGGGCCCGCAGGCAAAACCTGAGAGTCAGGGGCCTACCCGAAGGTGAAGAAATCCCAGATCAATTCAAAGGCCTACTTACTACAATCGTTAATGGCCTCCTAAACCGCCCCAGAGACACTCCTATCGAATTTGTCCGGGCTCACCAGGCAATGAGACCCAGGGGCCCACCTGATTCCCCTCCATGGGACGTAATATGCTATCTGGCCCTATATTCTCTCAAGGAGGAAATTTTACATACGGCACGCAACAAGGGTGACATTAACCATGCGGGTCAACCCATTCAACTATTCCCGGACCAATCACGTTGGGCTACCGCAGAGCACTGAAACCCCTTACCTGCGCACTGGTTGCCGACACGGTATTACAAACAATACGCAGAGGTCCTCTCCCCCTGCCTGCTGGCCGCACTCAATTCACTCCAAGAGGGAATCCAAATTCCCCCACAGGCCTTAGCGTCGAACAGCTCTCTGATACTCGAAGAGGGCAAGGACGCGGAGCAATGCGCGAATTACCGCCCTATATCACTGCTCAATTGCGATCTAAAACTATTCACCAAGATCCTATCCCATAGACTACAAGCCTTCCTCCCTGACCTGGTCCATGGGGATCAGGGGGGATTTACCTCACAACGAGAGGCACGGGACAACACGATCTGGGCACTTGCCCTGCTGCATATGGCTACCAGCAGGTCGGAGGGCCTTCTCCTGCTCTCCACAGACGCGGAGAAGGCCTTTGACCGAATTGACTGGGGCTTCATGTTCTTCATGTCTTGGAGACGCTGGGCATGGGGCCCTACATGATTTTCTAAATTAAATTTTTTGATCGTGCAAGAACATTCAAAAGTTGGTTTTAAAGATGTGAGTTTTATATTTTATATGCTGATTTAAACCAGACACGGAATGAAACACATAGTGCTCATTTGGTCAGAATTGCAAGATAGAGATGTCGCGAACTGTCCGCCGGCGAACAATAGCGTGTTCGCGTTGGGCGAACATATCCGATTTCCGGTCCGCCCCCTATACGTCATCATTGAGTAAACTTTGACCCGGAACCTCACAGTCAGCAGACACTTCCTGGGAGGGAGGGTCTGCTGCTGATTGGGTGGAATGTGTCTGCTGGCTGTGAGGTTCCGGGTCAAAGTTTACTCAATGATGACGTATAGGGGGCGGACCGGAAATCGGATATGTTCGCCCAACGCGAACACGCTATTGTTCGCCAGCGGACAGTTCGGCGGACAGTTCGCGACATCTCTATTGCAAGATTTTTACCTGATTTGGCTATAGTAAATACGAGAATTGCTAATTCAGTCAGCATCAGTAATTTTCACCAAATGTTGTCCATCCAGACAAAATTCAGTGGTTAGTAACTCTGAATGTGTTTGTGGTGCTCCATTGTGTCACAACCCCCCAGTTACTGACACACCATCACAGAATGGAGCTCCCCCTCAGTTACTGACACTGTCTCAGAATGGAGCTCCCCCCTCAGTTACTGACACTGTGTCAGAATGGAGCTCCCCCTTCAGTTACTGACACTGTGTCAGAATGGAGCTCCCCCTTCAGTTACTGACACTGTGTCAGAATGGAGCTCCCCCCTCAGTTACTGACACTGTGTCAGAATGGAGCTCCCCCCTCAGTTACTGACACTGTCTCAGAATGCAGCTCCCCCCTCAGTTACTGACACTGTCTCAGAATGGAGCTCCCCCCTCAGTTACTGACACTGTCTCAGAATGGAGCTCCCCCCTCAGTTACTGACACTGTCTCAGAATGGAGCTCCCCCCTCAGTTACTGACACTGTCTCAGAATGGAGCTCCCCCCTCAGTTACTGACACTGTCTCAGAATGGAGCTCCCCCCTCAGTTACTGACACTGTCTCAGTATGGAGCTCCCCCCTCAGTTACTGACACTGTCTCAGAATGGAGCTCCCCCCTCAGTTACTGACACTGTCTCAGAATGGAGCTCCCCCCTCAGTTACTGACACTGTCTCAGAATGGAGCTCTCCCCTCAGTTACTGACACTGTCTCAGTATGGAGCTCCCCCTCAGTTACTGACACTGTCTCAGAATGGAGCTCCCCCCTCAGTTACTGACACTGTCTCAGAATGGAGCTCCCCCCTCAGTTACTGACACTGTCTCAGAATGGAGCTCCCCCCTCAGTTACTGACACTGTCTCAGAATGGAGCTCCCCCCTCAGTTACTGACACTGTCTCAGAATGGAGCTCCCCCCTCAGTTACTGACACTGTCTCAGAATGGAGCTCCCCCCTCAGTTACTGACACTGTCTCAGAATGGAGCTCCCCCCTCAGTTACTGACACTGTCTCAGAATGGAGCTCCCCCCTCAGTTACTGACACTGTCTCAGAATGGAGCTCCCCCCTCAGTTACTGACACTGTCTCAGAATGGAGCTCCCCCCTCAGTTACTGACACTGTCTCAGAATGGAGCTCCCCCCTCAGTTACTGACACTGTCTCAGAATGGAGCTCCCCCCTCAGTTACTGACACTGTCTCAGAATGGAGCTCTCCCCTCAGTTACTGACACTGTCTCAGAATGGAGCTCCCCCCTCAGTTACTGACACTGTCTCAGAATGGAGCTCTCCCCTCAGTTACTGACACTGTCTCAGTATGGAGCTCTCCCCTCAGTTACTGACACTGTCTCAAAATGGAGCTCCCCCCTCAGTTACTGACACTGTCTCAGAATGGAGCTCCCCCCTCAGTTACTGACACTGTCTCAGAATGGAGCTCCCCCCTCAGTTACTGACACTGTCTCAGAATGGAGCTCCCCCCTCAGTTACTGACACTGTCTCAGAATGGAGCTCCCCCCTCAGTTACTGACACTGTCTCAGAATGGAGCTCCCCCCTCAGTTACTGACACTGTCTCAGAATGGAGCTCCCCCCTCAGTTACTGACACTGTCTCAGAATGGAGCTCCCCCCTCAGTTACTGACACTGTCTCAGAATGGAGCTCCCCCCTCAGTTACTGACACTGTCTCAGAATGGAGCTCCCCCCTCAGTTACTGACACTGTCTCAGAATGGAGCTCCCCCCTCAGTTACTGACACTGTCTCAGAATGGAGCTCCCCCCTCAGTTACTGACACTGTCTCAGTATGGAGCTCCCCCCTCAGTTACTGACACTGTCTCAGAATGGAGCTCCCCCCTCAGTTACTGACACTGTCTCAGAATGGAGCTCCCCCCTCAGTTACTGACACTGTCTCAGATGAGCTCTCCCCTCAGTGCCCCAGCACTGTCTCAGAATGGAGCTCTCCCCTCAGTTACTGACACTGTCTCAAGTGGGCTCCCCTCAGTTGACACTGTCTCAGAATGAGCTCCCCCCTCAGTTACTGACACTGTCTCAGTATGGAGCTCCCCCCTCAGTTACTGACACTGTCTCCAGAATGGAGCTCTCCCCTCCGTTACTGACACTGTCTCAGAATGGGCTCCCCCCTCAGTTACTGACACTGTCTCAGAATGGAGCTCCCCCCACTCAGTTACTGACACACCATCACAGAATGGAGCTCCCCCTCAGTTACTGACACTGTCTCAGAATGGAGCTCCCCCCTCAGTTACTGACACTGTGTCAGAATGGAGCTCCCCCTTCAGTTACTGACACTGTGTCAGAATGGAGCTCCCCCTTCAGTTACTGACACTGTGTCAGAATGGAGCTCCCCCCTCAGTTACTGACACTGTGTCAGAATGGAGCTCCCCCCTCAGTTACTGACACTGTCTCAGAATGGAGCTCCCCCCTCAGTTACTGACACTGTCTCAGAATGGAGCTCCCCCCTCAGTTACTGACACTGTCTCAGAATGGAGCTCCCCCCTCAGTTACTGACACTGTCTCAGAATGGAGCTCCCCCCTCAGTTACTGACACTGTCTCAGAATGGAGCTCCCCCCTCAGTTACTGACACTGTCTCAGAATGGAGCTCCCCCCTCAGTTACTGGCTTGCTGTGTCTCAGAATGGAGCTCTCCCCTCCGTTACTGACACTGTCTCAGATGGGCTCCCCCTCAGTTACTGACACTGTCTCAGAATGGGCTCCCCTCAGTTACTGACACTGTCTCGGTATGGAGCTCCCCCTCAGTTACTGGCCTGTCTCAGAATGGCGCTCCCCCCCCTCAGTTACTGACACACAATGCTCTCAGGAATGGAGCTCCCCCCTCAGTTACTGACACTGTCTCAGAATGGAGCTCCCCCCTCAGTTACTGACACTGTCTCAGAATGGAGCTCTCCCCTCAGTTACTGACACTGTCTCAGTATGGAGCTCTCCCCTCAGTTACTGACACTGTCTCAAAATGGAGCTCCCCCCTCAGTTACTGACACTGTCTCAGAATGGAGCTCCCCCCTCAGTTACTGACACTGTCTCAGAATGGAGCTCCCCCCTCAGTTACTGACACTGTCTCAGAATGGAGCTCCCCCCTCAGTTACTGACACTGTCTCAGATGGAGCTCCCCCCTCAGTTACTGACACTGTCTCAGTATGGAGCTCCCCCCTCAGTTACTGACACTGTCTCAGAATGGAGCTCCCCCCTCAGTTACTGACACTGTCTCAGAATGGAGCTCCCCCCTCAGTTACTGACACTGTCTCAGAATGGAGCTCCCCCCTCAGTTACTGACACTGTCTCAGAATGAAGATAATGATTAGTTCCCAGACTGGCCTACAGCTTCTGTCTCCTCTTCACTGACTGACACTGGCCCTTTAAATGACACTGTTTCCAGTTATTGGCTCCAGCATAATCACACACAAAGAATGAATACTAGTTTAATATAATATTCTAAAACCTCCGTTAGTTTCCCCTCTTTACAAAATACCCATCCTACTCCTGGCACATTCTGCCAGCCTACACATTCATTCTGACCTCTGACTGCAGAGCTCCCCCGCGGCGACTCGTGGTACAATCCGGATAGCTGGGTGCAAGAAGGGAAATGTAGTCCTGGGCGGCTACAACTCCAGCCACTTAGAATCCCAGAGAGGAGAAGGGGCGGCGCTGGGACGAACCAATGTGAAACTCACGGGGAAACGTGCGGTTATGAAATGTGTTTCATAATTAGTGTGGGAAATAGGACACCGGTTATACAATGTATCCAGGGACACTCTGATCACATTACACAACTAACACAAACTCACAATAACACACTCTGATCACAATACACCACTAACACAAACTGACAATAACACACTCTGATCACATTACACCACTAACACAAACTCACAATAACACACTCTGATCACAATACACCACTATAACAAACTCACAATAACACACTCTGATCACATTACACCACTAACACAAACTCACAATAACACACTCTGATCACAATACACCACTAACAGAAACTGACACAGACTGTCTCACAATAACACACTCTGATCACAATACACCAGTTACACAAATTCACACAGACTGTCTCACAATAACACACTCTGATCACAGTATACCAGTTACACAAACTCACACAGTTTGTCTCACAATAACACACTCTGATCGCAGTGTAACAGTTACACAAACTCACACAGACTGTCTCACAATAACACACTCTGATCACAATACACCAGTTACACAAACTCACAATAACACACTCTGATCACAATACACCAGTTACACAGACTCACACAGACTGTCTCACAATAACACACTTTGATCACAGTATACCAGTTACACAAACTGACACAGACTGTCCCACAATAACACACTCTGATCACAATACACCAGTTACACAAATTCACACAGACTGTCTCACAATAACACACTCTGATCACAATACACCAGTTACACAAACTCACAATAACACACTCTGATCACAATACACCAGTTACACAGACTCACACAGACTGTCTCACAATAACACACTTTGATCACAGTATACCGGTTACACAAACTGACACAGACTGTCTCACAATAACACACTCTGATCACAATACACCAGTAACACAAACTGACACAGACTGTCTCACAATAACACACTTTGATCACAGTATACCAGTTACACAAACTGACACAGACTGTCTCACAATAACACACTTTGATCACAGTATACCAGTTACACAAACTGACACAGACTGTCTCACAATAACACACTCTGATCACAATACACCAGTTACACAAACTCACACAGACTGTCTCACAATAACACACTCTGATCACAATACACCACTAACACAAACTGACACAGACTGTCTCACAATACACCAGTTACACAAACTGGCACAGACTGTCTCACAATAACACACTCTGATCACAGTATACAGTTACACAAATTCACACAGACTGTCTCACAATAACACACTCTGATCACTGTATACAGTTACACAAACTCACACAGTTTGTCTCACAATAACACACTCTGATCGCAGTGTAACAGTTACACAAACTCACACAGACTGTCTCACAATAACACACTCTGATCACAATACACCAGTTACACAGACTCACACAGACTGTCTCACAATAACACACTTTGATCACAGTATACCGGTTACACAAACTGACACAGACTGTCTCACAATAACACACTTTGATCACAATACACCAGTAACACAAACTGACACAGATTGTCTCACAATAACACACTTTGATCACAGTATACCAGTTACACAAACTCACACAGACTGTCTCTCAGTAACACACTCTGATCACAATACACCAGTAACACAAACTGACACAGACTGTCTCACAATAACACACTTGATCACAGTATACCAGTTACACAAACTGACACAGACTGTCTCACAATAACACACTCTGATCACCGTATACAGTTACACAAACTCACACAGTTTGTCTCACAATAACACACTCTGATCGCAGTGTAACAGTTACACAAACTCACACAGACTGTCTCACAATAACACACTCTGATCACAATACACCAGTTACACAGACTCACACAGACTGTCTCACAATAACACACTTTGATCACAGTATACCGGTTACACAAACTGACACAGACTGTCTCACAATAACACACTTTGATCACAATACACCAGTAACACAAACTGACACAGATTGTCTCACAATAACACACTTTGATCACAGTATACCGGTTACACAAACTGACACAGACTGTCTCACAATAACACACTCTGATCACAATACACCAGTTACACAAACTCACACAGACTGTCTCACAATAACACACTCTGATCACAATACACCACTAACACAAACTGACACAGACTGTCTCACAATACACCAGTTACACAAACTGGCACAGACTGTCTCACAATAACACACTCTGATCACAGTATACAGTTACACAAATTCACACAGACTGTCTCACAATAACACACTCTGATCACTGTATACAGTTACACAAACTCACACAGTTTGTCTCACAATAACACACTCTGATCGCAGTGTAACAGTTACACAAACTCACACAGACTGTCTCACAATAACACACTCTGATCACAATACACCAGTTACACAGACTCACACAGACTGTCTCACAATAACACACTTTGATCACAGTATACCGGTTACACAAACTGACACAGACTGTCTCACAATAACACACTTTGATCACAATACACCAGTAACACAAACTGACACAGATTGTCTCACAATAACACACTTTGATCACAGTATACCAGTTACACAAACTCACACAGACTGTCTCTCAGTAACACACGAACTGTATTTCAGCTCACACAGTGTACTTACTGCAATGGATTAATGGCAGGCCATAGAAAATTACCCACAAAGGTGAATAAACACTGCAAATTACCCACAAAGATATACAAACACTGCAAATTACCCACAAAGGTGTATAAACACGGCAAATTACCCACAAAGGTGTACACACTGCAAATTACCCACAAAGGTGTATAAACACTGCTAATTACCCACAAAGGTGTACACACTGCAAATTACACACAAATGTATACAAACACTGCAAATCACCCACAAAAGGTATATAAACACTGCTAATTACCCACAAAGGTGTACACACACTGCAAATTACACACAAAGGTGTATAAACACTGCAAATTACCCACAAAGGTGTACACACACTGCAAATTACCCACAAAGGTATACAAACACTGCAAATTACCCAAAAAGGTGTACACACACTGCAAATTACCCACAAAGGTATATAAAAACTGCAAATTACCCACAAAGGTGTACACACTGCAAATTACCCACAAAGGTGTATAAACACTGCTAATTACCCACAAAGGTGTACACACTACAAATTACACACAAATGTACACAAACACTGCAAATCACCCACAAAAGGTATATAAACACTGCTAATTACCCACAAAGGTGTACACACACTGCAAATTACCCAAAAAGGTGTACACACACTGCAAATTACCCACAAAGGTATACACACACTGCATTCTACACCAGTCTGCTTTATAATAACAGATAGAAAAGTAACTGTACTCTTATTCAGTTAAAGGGGGGGGGGTCTAGGTACCATAACTATTATGGGCCCCTGTATTAGTTATGGTGCTAGGAATCTCCTAATGCAATTCCACAATAAGTAATAAAACCATAAGTAGACAAACAGTTCTCTAATAATTTGACACTTACTTGGGTCTCTCATGCACCTCCACTCCCGCCTCCTATTATGGTAGAACATATATGCAACTGACTATTTCTGCATTAGTGATATCAAATATGCCCACGTTTGGATGGAATTCATTGGGAAAAAAGGGAATTAGGGGGCACGCCGGGAACACACATTTTTCAGCAGTGGTGCTACAGATTTACTGAACGGAGCACACACAAACATAAAATATTATATTTTACAGGGCTCTACTTAAAAATACCTATCACAGCAAACAAATATGGGGATTCAGTTCCACCATATGGCCATATCGTGTTAAGCCCACCACGATGCCACAGTACCCCAATATCTCTCGACAAATGAGCCAAACCTGCATGGCAGGGCTTAGTTCAGGGGAGCTATTGGAAACTCCTTACAGGGGTTTCTGGGATCAAAGGGATGTGGCTCATGGCGCACAGTGGACTCCTGGTAAGCTGTCAAACCATTCTTAAATGGTTTGACTACTTCCACTGGAAGGGCATCAAGGCACTCCTGACACCACTATAGCATGCTATAGTGGTTATGGTGTTTGGTGTGGTCCTTCAACAATTTTAGACACAGAAGTACACTCCAAATATAAAGCATACCTCAGTTTTCCTCCTCACTGGAGATCCTAGGATGGGGTTGTGTTCTTTGGGGACTATGGTTTCAGATGACCGGCATCTTCTTGTAACCTCCATAAAGAAATATTTAATCACATAGAGCTGTTGTCCTACTCATGAGTGGTTTTGGCAAAGAACATTGATGCCAGGTTGACTATCCCCTTTCAAGATGACCAACCCCAAGTTGTCACCAGTGATTTACTTTGCTCTACCGAGGGGGTGCTATACTTGCTCACTTGGATGGTCAAGTTTGTTCTAGTCACCATCAAATTAAATTTTTATAAAAATGAGAAGTGACAATGCCGCTCTCATTGCAGTAAAATACATGCAAACACACAGACACACAAAAGTAAAAATTAAGAATTTAAAAAAATAGAAAAGGATAAATATTTAAATTGAATTTCAAATTTTAGGTAAAAAAAAGTCAAATTGGAAAAACCCTCCAAGTCTACTATGTTTACTTTTGGGCTATTTCTGGTCCATATTCTGAATTTCACTTTTAATTGTAAACACTTCACACTTTTTTTGTGAATAACCCAGACCTATTGGCTAAAATAAATTTATTTTCCCCACTTCTTGACCAATCTCCAAGCACTAGGAGTAATAATTAAATGAAAGAGTGATAATTAAATTGGGTTTGCTCTAGGAGGAAACACACCACTAACAGTGATATCCATAACCACAGTCAGTAAGCAGAAACTGTAACTATGCTCAAAATTCCCCCAAAACCCCATGAACTACTACACAGAGCAACTAGCACACAAAACTACAACTCCCGGCATTCCGTGCGGCAACGGGCAAATCAAACCGGAAGTAGACAAGGCCAACCTCACATCCGGTTCGCCATAGCCAGACTTCCGGTGTGTAAAGAACGTATGTGAAAATGGCGCTCGCCAGGTGAGTCGCGCGAAGGCACCGGGACTTCTATAAACATACTGTTCCAGGAGGGATTATACGGCGTGGGATAGGGTGTATGTGCTGTAATAGGTCGGGGGGTCAGTGACTGAGAGCTCCTACTAAGAAGGCTGGATCAACGGGGGGGTTCGTGGAGAATGCATGGGGGGAGGGGAGGGACTGGCTGAGAGAGGGACACTGGCTGAGAGAGGGACACTGGCTGAGAGAGGGAGACTGGCTGAGAGAGGGACACTGACTGAGAGAGAGAGACTGGCTGAGAGAGGGGGACACAGACTGAGAGAGGGACTGGCTGAGAGAGAGGGACTGGCTGAGAGAGAGGGACTGGCTGAGAGAGAGGGACTGGCTGAGAGAGAGGGACTGGCTGAGAGAGAGGGACTGGCTGAGAGAGAGAGAGGGACTGGCTGAGAGAGAGAGAGAGACTGGCTGAGAGAGGGACTGGCTGAGAGAGGGACTGGCTGAGAGAGAGAGAGAGACTGGCTGAGAGAGAGAGACTGGCTGAGAGAGAGAGACTGGCTGAGAGAGAGAGAGACTGGCTGAGAGAGAGAGAGAGAGAGAGAGACTGGGCTGAGAGAGAGAGAGAGACTGGCTGAGAGAGAGAGAGAGATCAGCTGAGAGAGAGAGAGAGACTGGCTGAGAGAGAGGAGAGACTGGCTGGAGAGAGAGTGGGTGAGAGAGAGAGAGAGACTGGCTGAGAGAGAGAGACAGACTGGCTGAGAGGGAGAGACTGGCTGAGAGGGAGACTGGCTGAGAGAGGGAGACTGGCTGAGAGAGGGAGACTGGCTGAGAGAGGGAGACTGGCTGAGAGAGGGAGACTGGCTGAGAGAGGGACACTGGCTGAGAGAGAGAGACTGGCTGAGAGAGGGGGACACAGACAGAGAGAGGGACTGGATGAGAGAGAGGGACTGGCTGAGAGAGAGGGACTGGCTGGTCAGGAATAAAACACACATCCACAACTTTTCCATGCTTGCTTGAGTATCTGCTTAGAAAGTGTCATACCAGCATGTTTGATGCTCCCTACTTCCATAGTATAATACAAGTATATGTATCAGTGCCACATTGCACATGTTGGTATTATAATAGTTACATTCCTTTACACTGCCTGGGCCAAATGTATTGACCTATTTTTAATAGTCATCTTTTGTAGCGGAGAGCTAGTATAATCCACAGTATCTCCGCTGGTAGACAGGAAAAACATACAATAATCCAGTAAAGCAAGTACAGCATACAATAAAACCCGGTAGCGTTATAAGGATCCTTCCCTCCCAAGAACTAGACGACACATAGGCTGGGAGTCAACTGATGGTTTTTATTCATAAGCTCCAGTATTTATGTGCTTCCCCATGCAAGGGGTTTCCATAATTACTTTACAGGGGTTGTACAGTAGGGGACTACATGGGGAACTGAATATACAGGACATTTCTCCTACCATGCACTGCAGTATGAGAGGGATACTCCCATAATAATATCCTGTTAAGTGGATTATCCCTCTGTACAGCAGAACTGGCTTTTTACTTAAAACTCCATAACTTATATACTATTCGTGCCTTTGTACCGAATGACCGTTCGGCAGATAGCTGGGGTATGAGCGCATACTTCGTGAAAGTACCGCTCAGATCTTAGCCGAACGCCGCACGAAATACACTTTAATATAAACTCATAATTCCTCAAAGTCATGAATACACATGTAGAGAGAAAGTACCGAAAGACCGTGGTCCCAAACGGCCTGGAAGTCCAGCGGTGTTCGTGCCGTCTAGTAGCCGATTTTAATTCCAGGCGCACGACGACCAAACACCGCTGGGCTAACAAAGGATCCAAGATGGCCGCCGCCGCGTGGTCGGTATCCGAACAGTGGCCACCCTGAAAATCTATTAACTGCAGAGAGATACATTGTTGCCATCCGTAATGGGAGCCACACGACCCCCTGTGTGTGGTCTCCCATTTGGTACTTTGTTCGTTTCACGAACAGTGTTGAAATTCACTGTTCGTGAAACTACTATATGAATGCTGGCAACTTTCCTGCCGCTAGCATGCGAATGCTCTCGTTCATATACAACACAGACTAGGGAACACGGACATATCAGGCAGTCTGAAAGCAACAATATCACATAAAGGTAAATACAGTCTTAAGTGGCTAGGTTTGCCACATCTTTTCTTTAGAATGTAATTTAATGAGAAAAGTGACATTTTAATTTCTGCAGAACCAAGAAAGTGGTGCGCCGCATTATTATTAGTCACATTGCTCTCTTCTCCCCCACAGTTTTTTGCCAGCTCCAACACAGCTGTCTCAGGATCAGCTAGAGGCAGAGGAGAAGATAAGAGCCCAGAAGTCACGCCAGACAGCACTGGTTGCATCACGAAGAGAGCCACCTCCATACGGACATCGAAAGGGCTGGGTTCCGCGTGCTCCTGAGGTACGTTGCTTCTTGCCGAAAAGGAAACGTTATGAAAAATTACATATATTGTAGCTAGAGAAAATATTGGTGTCTGGCTAACTGAGCCCAAAATCTTAAGGAGACAAGCCCCTCTATGTGACTAAATCTGCACGAGCAAAGGCACAAGTTGTCAAACATAATATCTTAGGTGGCAGAACGCGAAACTATGGCGTTAGGAGTTAACCTGCTACATTGGGGGACTATCAAAAATATTGCCAAGGGGTGTCCTTAATATTGTCTCTGGTGGGGCACAATCTGCAGATTTATTGAACTATGAAAGTGGAAACTTAAGCACAAGAACTTATTTGAAACTAACAAACGCTAAATGTAAATACTTTTTTTAATACTGTGTATCTCACGTCTGCTACTGGAAATTATTAGCAGTTATGCTTACCCAACTGTAGGGTTTACTCACTATAACAGTCAAGTGTCGACTGGAAACTTAATTTGCATGTATTAGACCATAATAGCTAAGCCTACGCTAAATTTTGCAGCACTTTTAGATTTAAATCTTTTTTTCAACGTATTACTATCCATTGTTTAGTGTATAAACTTCCTAATGTGAAGAAGGACGTGAGAGGTGTTGAAGGAAGATATGACTGGGGTTGTTTACCTTTAGTGATGCTTTTTGAGGGGTGTTTGGTATTTCTCATTTATTCTAACTGTCTTTTCCTCTGCTTAGGATTTCGGAGATGGAGGTGCATTCCCAGAAATTCATGTGGCACAGTACCCACTGGACATGGGTAGAAAGAAGCGTGTGTCCAATGCTTTGGCTGTTCAGGTTGATGCAGAGGGAAAGATTAAATATGATGCCATCGCTCGACAGGGGCAATCAAAGGATAAGGTAAGGAGGAACTCCAAGTCTGTGGCTTTATATGTGGAAAGAGAAGATTTACATTAACGTTGCATCAACATTGTTTCTAGACTTTGAACAAGAAATGGGAGACGTCTGCACACATAATTAGATATAAATGTACAAGAGTATTGTTTCATGAAAAAAAACAGGGTATCCATAAAGGGTAACATAAAGTTTGGGTGGATGGGAATTTACGGGTAAAATATAGTTGTAGATGCATAACATGCTCTCCCAGTGGAGAGCAATAGTTCAACAGAGTTTGAGGTGCACATTGCTGAAAACATTTCAAATATTCATTTTCTCTTAAATCTATTTGTTTAAGCAAATGCATGCACTTGGGGCAGGAGAAATTAGGCATATGGTCATAGTATGAGTGCTGCAGGAGAGTTTATTAATGTCAGGCACAGGCATTGGGACTCTTAAGACTATGAAGGGTCAACTGAGGTGTTTTGGTCTATTCATTTCACTCATTGTAGTCAGATGACACGACGATTTCTGCCTTTCACTCTTGTGTATGCCTGTGAAAAAGGTGACCTCAGTGTGTCTTTGACCACTGAAATGCGTGTATACCATTCATATTGTCTTGTATGTGATTCAAGTGCCCCAACTCTAATCCCAGATTTGTTTCTGCTACAGGTCATTTTTAGCAAATACACAGACCTGATACCTAAAGAAGTGATGAATGAAGATGATCCCGATTTACAAAGACCCGATGAGGAAGCGGTTAAAGAGGTAATTTATCATTCATCCACCATTTTGGATTGTTAAACTGGAATTATCCTAAATCATTTCAAGACAGAGGGTCAGAATATTGGGACAGGTGCTATGAGGAAAGTACAGTTCATACAGATAGAGGATGGATATTTGGACAGAGTGCAGGTTCTATGTGAATGATGAGGGCAGTGTCACCATTTGACTAAGTAAAAGTGCAAAATATTCCCATAATATTATATGTATTGTTGTATCTAGTGTGCAGGCCATACACACTAACCGTCAGCTTTTTTTCACCACTCTTAGCTGACAGAAAAAACCCGTCAGGCTCTCGATAAGGCTGTATCCCAAAAGATAGCAGCCGCAATGCCAGTCCGGGCAGCAGACAAGCTGGCACCAGCACAGTACATCAGGTAAGCTGGCATAAATACTGAAGCTATTAATAATTTGCACAAAAGATATTGGATACATTTAACGGTGGTGGCATTTATGTTATTGATCATTTTTGTTTTTTTGGGGGGATTTTGTGCGTTTATGACCTACAATAATTAGGCATATTTTTTTTTGTTGTTCTAATTTATTTTTTATTTGCTGCATTATTTCATAATGTGCATTCATACATATTCATATAGATCTTGTGATCATGAAATTATCAAAAGTTGATTGGATTCTGCAGAGTTCCTTGGAGTTAGTTGAGGTCCAGCAATAGACTGGTATGCCCAAGGTACAGAAGGTGCCTCCAACCCACTACTATGAACTAAGGCATCTTATTGGATGAAGCTAACCTAGTAAATGTCATAAACTCTATCTGCACACATGTTCTGCTTATTATACGTTTATAAACTTGGCGTATTCACTGTATAGTCAGAAAATGATGAGTGTGGACCATAATATGCATGTTTGTCTTCCTATAGGTACACTCCATCGCAGCAGGGTGTCGCGTTCAATTCTGGTGCCAAACAGAGGGTAATACGAATGGTGGAAATGCAAAAGGATCCAATGGAGCCACCTCGTTTCAAGTGAGTTGTTTTTTTTGTTTTGTTTTTTAAATTCTTTAACTTGTGTTCTTTTTGAGCTGTTTATGGTAAAATGCATCATGTTCTATTAAGGGAGTCCCTATAGATATATTGTAACAGATGAGTGGGTTGTGTTGAAATGTGCAGGGAAAGGATCTAACATGTTTTTTTGTTTTGTAGAATTAACAAAAAGATCCCACGTGGTCCCCCGTCCCCTCCAGCCCCCGTCATGCATTCTCCAAGCAGGAAGGTAAGTGTCATGCTCTCTGATCAAATTGATCTAATGGCCAAAGGGTCATGTTTGTCCCTTTGTTAGTTACTATGCAGCTCTTTGAAGCGCTCCTTGCATTTCACAGAGTTTAACAGCATCTTGCAAATCCTCATAGGAAAACATTGATCAATGCTTTCCTATGGGGAAGGCCTAATGTGTGAGCATAGCTTGCTGTGCGTGTGCATTAGGTTTCCTCTTGTGCTGACTTTCGGAGGAGTTTGAGACAGAGTTTGAGACAGAGTGTTTTGAGAGATTTTTTTATTTTATTTTTTTTAACCCTTTGATTGCTGTGGTGGCAGAGGGACACTAGTGTTGGGAATATAGCTGTGTATTCTTAGCACTATAGCGTTCCTTTAACTTTGTATCTGTGCAACAGATGTCACTTGTCTCATAGAGGCTGCATTGTTATAGTTTATCACATTTTTGTAAATGTGTTCAATTAGTGTCTCTTGTAGCTCCTCTGAATCACTTATAAATCCCTTAAGTTGAGGACATTTTCTTCTTTTGATGGCCCCTCTTTTATTTTGTACATCACCTCTTAGAATCTGTACCACATTCATGTTACCTGCCTGTTTATTTTAAACCTTTGTATCAGCAAATGTGCCGGGCTGTGCACTGCATTTGTAGGGTTACGTTCCAAATTACCTGCAATATCATGGAAAGCATTTGTGTGTTGTTCAGCTGTGATGCAAAATGTATTTATGTTAACTTTTTGTATTTCAGATGACTGTCAAGGAACAGCAAGAATGGAAAATCCCTCCGTGTATCTCCAACTGGAAAAATGCCAAAGTAAGGTCAAGGCTAGAGTGTACTTCAATATAGGATGTATAGAGAAATGCTGTTGCCATCAGGTGGCTCATAAATAATCAGGTTGCCTGGCAACACCATCAAGGAGCTGGCTTACATTTTAATTTTAAAATAAGTATTACTTTTCAGAATTGTTGGATTTAATACAGAGGATATAAAGTTATATTTAATGCAGTAGGAGAGCTGTATTTTAGTGTTTCCCATTAATGTGGTGTAGTTTGATCACTTATCACTTTCATGTGATGTTATTAATTGCTGATTTTGAATACAAATGTTTCTTGGTGCGTTGGCTACATTTCTTCCAACACAAAGTAGAGCAAACATATAATTAATTAAAAGAAAAAAGTAAATATTAGAAATGTTTGCTCTCTATGTATAGTCCTGCCTCACAGATTGTCTGCATATGTGTTTGAAGGCTAGTCTATCATCATATTGCAGATGTAGCTATTAGTGGATTGAAGGAATTTACTAAATGATTGCTTTGGTATTTGTATTTAAACTGTAGATACTCAGTGTGGTATGGTCAAATAAACACTTTTTTTCTCTCCTTTGTTTAACGTAGGGTTACACTATACCACTGGATAAGCGTTTAGCAGCAGATGGCCGAGGGCTGCAAACTGTTCATATCAATGAAAACTTTGCCAAGTTGGCTGAAGCCTTGTACATTGCTGACAGAAAGGTATGTGTGTCTGACAGTGAAGGGTCAAACTAACAAGAACAGAATGTCTGTGATACTCATTTCAGCAACTGCAATATTACAGGCATGTTAGGAGTGTCTTAGTCATTATAATTCTGTCAGCTGCAATATAAGATTTTTTTTAATTCTAGATATCTTGCGACAAAAAGCCTGCTCTATACACTGCATTGGAGAATGATTGAATTCCACAAGAATATGTTGTAAAACCATTCATTGGCTTGTATAAAGGGCCTAAGCACAAGTTTAGGATATCAATAGACTATATTGCATGGCTGTTTTATTTTTCCTTTAAGATCCTTGTCCAAGTGATACACCTTTCTGTTTCTTTCATTGGTTTGTTTAGATCCAAACCAGAACACAGTCTGAAAAGCTGTACTTTAAATAGTTGGAGATTGCTAAGGGAACTTGGAAATGGGGTCAGGAAATTCCGTTAACTATTCACAGTTTATTGAATGGCATTATTGTTTTGCATGCCATCCTGACATTGCCATTCACTAAACATGGAAATGTGGATATTTCACAAGGGGATTGCAAATTTTAGACCAAATTATTGAAACAAGAAAATCCACTAATTTTCCAGCTTTAGAGAGGTTTGCTAAAAACCTAAATCCCTTCTCAATTTGCAAAGTCTTGGTTTTATTAATAATCCTGTTAGGGCTTTAGAAACGCAATGATCGTGAGTCAATGCTTACAGAGCAGATGTATTTAGAGACCTTAGTGTATTGGGATGTGTATTGTACATGGTGTATATATCATGAGTGTCTTTCCCCAGGCACGAGAAGCTGTGGAGATGCGAGCGCAGGTTGAGAGGAAGATGGCTCAGAAGGAGAAAGAGAAGAAAGAAGAAAAGCTTCGGGAACTGGCGCAGATTGCAAGAGAGCGCCGTGCTGGGATAAAGTCTCATGAAGAAAAAGGTGGGAATCAGCAGCTGGGGTTAATGTGTTTTGGAAGAGTAGTACAATGTGTGTAATATAAAAAAAACAATAAACAATGATACTAAGTGAAAATAAGATCCAAAAAGCATTGTCTTAAACTGTTAATTGGATTTTCTGCCGCTTACACCTGCTGTGTTTATTGATGCAGTAAGACTGGTGCCTTAAGTCTGCCACCCTTAACCGTGCCTCTCCACCATTTCTACCTGTCGCTTTTATGTGCGTGTCCATCGCTTTTATTTGTTTCCAAACATGCAGTGTGAAGCTGGTGAGGGGGATTATAGTATAAATGGTCCATCCTCCGTGCACTAATTCCTAATTACAGTGGTGTCCGAGGTCTGAGCAGATACTGGATGGAGATTTTGGTGGCAAAGTGTTGTTGTATGATAACCTGCATTTTAGTTTGTGGTTTGTACCGATTGCAAACTGAAATGTCAGTAAAAAATGTCCTGCAGCAGCTGAGGTAAGTGAGTCACATAGAGAATAGTGTACTTAATGCCAAATGGTTATTAACCAATTCCTAAAACAGAAGACTGAAAAAAAAAAAAGTATGCGGAACTAACTTTGCAGATTTTAACTCCACTTTGTGCTAATGCATAAAAAGTTATTTACACCCAGTATGTTTCAAACAAATATATATATATATAATATAGTAACCTTGCAAATTTACTTCTGCAGAGGATAGTGAAGCGAGAGAGAGGAATGAAATCCGTGACACCAGGCGTAAAGAGCGACAGCATGATCGTAACCTCTCCCGAGCGGCTCCAGACAGGAGGTGAGATAACATACTATGTTCAAGATGTCTAACCAGGGACCTTGATGATTAGACTCAAAACTTTTTTTTTTTTTTGTTTTACTTTTATTTTGCTCATTAGGCCCAAACTGCAGAGAAACGAGGATAGAGATATCAGTGAACAAATTGCTCTGGGCATTCCCAACCAACGGGCATCTAATGACATTCAGTATGACCAGCGACTTTTCAACCAGAGCAGGGTAAGACTTCTCTATGTATTTACACCATGTCTGCATTAAATTAGATGTTGATCTACAATCTCAGCGCTCACACGGATGTGTGATATAATGTCTGATCTTTACAGTTGGATCTTGATAATTTGTTAAGAATCAGTAGAATTTGTCTGTGGGAGACTTCAAAATAATAGGCGGTGGAGATGGTGGTTGTTGGAATTTGATAGCCAAAAAGACTGGTACGAAATTAATAGGTTTCTTGTTATTTTATGCAGCCAAAGTTACAGGTGAAAATAGTTTAGCTGGAATTTTATTGCTAAAATGGCTTTTAGTGCAGTATTTCACATCTAAATTGGAGTTGTAATGTAGGCATTTTGGTGCACTAAATGTCCGGGGATGTAAAAAGATGTATTTCCACTGTTGCATCTGTTTTGGCATATGTGAGTCTTCAGTTAAAGGGACACTGTAGGCACTATAGCTATTTCATTAAACTGGATACAATGCCTGGAGTCCATTGGCACTGCCTTCATTCATTGTTAAATAATTTTCTAGCATTATAAGTGAATGGGATCCCTGGCTTCCCATAGCGCCAACCCCGCTGGGGAGCATATGGCTAAGGAGAATTCATAACAGCAATGGCACCGATAGGCTGACACTCTCAACCAATCACAGCTGCCTATTGTTGCATATGCGAATGATTCCTAATTATCCCAAGTAGCACAGAGGGCATTGGTTGCTGGTGACTTTTTAAAAAAAAATTTTTTTTTTACGGTTAAATCATTTAAAAACGGTTCTATGCTGAATGCAATGACAGCACCTGGGGACTCTAGACACTATTACCACTTCAATGAGATTAAGCAGTTATGGTGCCTGCAGTGTTCCTTTATGTATATATTGCATAATTCTTGCATTTTGTTAATTTCATTATTATAATCTTTTAAGTTTAACAACCTTCCATTCCGTATTCTCTTTCAAGGGCATGGACAGTGGGTTTGCAGGAGGAGAGGATGAGGTTTATAACGTTTATGACCAGCCGTGGAGAAGCAACAAGGAAATGGCACAGAACATCTACCGTCCCAGCAAGAATACAGATAATGATGTGTATGGTGCTGATCTGGATACACTGATGAAAACTAACAGGTGAGAGAACTAGAGCAAGTTCTGGCTGGTAGGAGAGAATAAAGTTTATTATAGTTGTTCCACATGGTGTGAGATCATGTGCCTAAATGAGTAACAACCCTATACGAAATTCTTGTTACAACATCTGCAAATTGGACTCTTAATTCTAATACATGTGTCTTGGTTATTAAAACAAGATGGATTGCTTTATGATGCTAATCAGCCTATTTTTTAAGAATCATGCAAGGATTATTTTAGCGAATATCTTCACTACCAGGTTATTTAAAAAAAGACAACTTATTTTTTTTTTCTTTCATGTTGTTTCATTGGGCATTAACAGCATTCAGTACTAAACAGTAGCGGGAAAAAGCTGAGCAAAATAATAGAAATATTTATATAATAAGTTTGTATAGAAGCAGTCATGATATGTATGCATACCTCCGTTGCTCATGTCTGTGTTTTTAGGCATGCAGAGATTAAAGTAATTATAGGAGCACCATCTTCTGGAATGTGTATGTTTCACTTCTTGTAATCCCAGGGGCATCACGCTAGTGCTGGAATAAACGTTATCAAATGAGAATGTATTTTAAGGTTATTGGATTAGGTTTGGAAATAGAAAGATTAATTTGGCCACACTTGTTGTATACTCTTATAATATGAATTCATATGTGATTGGAAGATTTTATGATGATGTCCTCAGAGGTAGTGAGCAGCCTGTATGAGATATATCTCTTAGCCAGTACAAGTGGGACTTTTGCAGGTTCTATCTTCAATGTTATTTATTTTCTACAGGTTTGTTCCTGACAAAGAGTTTTCTGGCTCAGACCGCCGGCAGCGTCGGGAGGGAGGACCTGTTCAGTTTGAAGAAGATCCCTTTGGCTTGGACAAGTTTTTGGAAGAAGCCAAGCAGCACGGAGGATCTAAGCGTCCCGACAGTGGCCGTGCTAAGGAACATGATCATGATGGAAAGAAACGCAGAAAAGAATGAGGAGCCCTGCTCCTTATATAGGACTGGTTACTCTGCTGGATGGTCATGTAGTAGGGCCCCTTTCTTTAAAGACACATTTTTAAAAGCAGAAATGTATTTTCCAAATCTACCTTTAGGTTTTGTGTAAAGAAACAGGACAGGAAGGTAAGAATCTACAGGTCCCAATTGTATATAGATTTATATATTATTTTTCAAAGGCAGGGTATTATCTACTACCAAGCTTGCAATGCTACCAAGACAACTAACTGGGGAGCATAAGGGATTTGTGTACATAAACTAACTTTTTTTTCCCCCACCTCTTCCCCTGAAGTGAGCACTTGTTTAATAAATGAATGTCCTAAAACAAAAACTGATTTTCCTTTAATGGTTAAGATCTAATGGCATTTTTCACTTGTGACCTAAACAAGGCTATAACTTACTGCAGGCTTTGTTTTTGGTGGGGCGGGTGATGCGACACCTTCCCAATAAATTCAGACATCGGTATTGCCGTGATAACAAATGTATCATTCATTTTCTGAGAGGTGATATCAGGACTTTCTCAACAGAAAGCAACCTTACTAGGCCCTTGTCTCTAATATATATTACACACATTTTAGAGACAAACCTCGTATGGCATATTTAAATATAGTGGCTTAATGAACATGTCAAATATTTAGACTAAGCATACTGGAAGAATGAAAGAGTTGTCAACTTTAACTTGAGCTTTGAAAAATGAACCTTGAATTCCCAACAATTCTCTCTTTAGTAAGTAACCCTGTATGTTAGATGTAGGATGTGCTCACCCTTCCAGGAGTGCAGTGAAAGTATTCTTCTTGCACTCAGGCTATCTTTTCAGTACTTGTGTTGGAAAGGAGGAGAATATAATTCAGTTTTTATTTTGTTTTATTTTAAGTTTTTAAATCCTCTATAATAAAGCACTGTTTTCAGTCTCGGTCAGGGTTTCTGGGCAGACTTCTTTTCAGTTGAACCTGGAGCTGAAACAAGAAAATAAGACTGTTACATACATCATAAGGAGTGTTCTGTCTATTTCAAACAAGCAGGTTTGTTTATGAAAGTGAGAATTTAAAGTCAAAGAACCAAACATTTTCTATGTTGGCTATGCTTTCAGTTTGACTATTTCCTTAAAGGGACACTCCAGCTACTTGAAGTGGATGCTGTGCCCCTATTACACTTAGTGCCGCAATGTTAAACACTGGGGGGGGGGGCGCTTCCGTAATCTAAATAGAATTTTGGTCCGTTATCTGACGCTGGACGTCCTCTGCGTCAGATAAGTAGCTGAAGAGGCCCTGCAGGTTTTTTTTCTGGCACTGGCGAGTCCCTTTAAAAGTAAAATTCACTTTAAATTCTCACTTTAGTAAATAACTCTCAAAGTACTGAAGCTCGCAATGCTCCCTACAAACCATTTTCTCAAACACGGACGGTACAGCAGCCTGAAATAAAACTGTCCTAGGAGGTAGATACAGAATATCTTTGCAGATGCTGGCAAAACTATAGGTTGTAGTTTTCTAAACTGACTTAATCCTATAAACCTCTTTATTCATTGTTAGATGTAGCTCAGTCTCCAGCTGCAGTACCAGTCAGATGACTAGTGCAAAAGCAATGAGTAACACTGTTCCTCCAAACCCTTGCAGCTGGAGTGAGAAAGGGACTCGCAAATTCCAAACAAGTTGGGTGTAACGCGAACACACACAAAAACCACAGCTACTTCATCTTAAAGAAAAATTGCAGTCTTATGGCTCAATAAATTTGCCTAAAATAAGCATTTGCTAGGGCCTATTATTTCCATATTTAATTTCTCCTTTGCTGACTACCAGTTGAAATGGATGGGAAAAACACATAACAGTAACTGTCAGCAAAGATGGAAGTTTTCAGTTAACAGATAAAGGGATGGTTAAACATTAAATGTTAAGATCCACAACCCAAATACATATGTTAAATATACTGCAGATTCTAGCTAGTATTTTCTTTTCTACCTTTGCTCCTTCGATGAGGTGTGTGTCCTTTTGAAGCGTGTTCTGCAACCCTTCTTCTGACGTGAATGTGACCCAACTGTATCCTTTGTGGAACCCAGTCTCTTTGTCCTAGGAAATAAAATACAAAGGTTCATTAACTATACTGCAGATTGTTTTGTAACATAACCAGTTACCTGCACAGACCGACCAAAATCCAGATTATAGGAAAGTAGTTTGGACTTCACAGATATCCTGATATGCAAGTTACTCTTTTTTTCCATTGACTTCGTAACAGCTTAAACATTTGCATTGTTCGAGACAAGAAGAGATACCAACGCTTGCTTTAGAGTGAGTAACACACAATAGCATTAAAGGAACCCTCTCCCCCTTCTGCCAGTGAAAGGGTTTGAAAAGTAAACTAATTTAATCCAGTGACGACACTAAATCCACCTCCTGTGAAGTCATCATTACTGAAGACATAGATGCAATCAGATGCTTCAAACAGTAAAGCAATGCATATTATTTTTTAAAGAGAAGAGTTTAAACGAATGCTTCTCTGTAAAACACATGTTGATCAAAACCAGTCTGTAGAATAATTTATAGATTTCAACTGCCTAGATGTTTTTAACTAAAAACTATTTTCCCATATTTAGTCTGAAGTGCAACCCAATGGTCCATAATTTCATATCACGCTTAGTTTCTTGTTGACTGCTTCTAAAGCATCACATGTGTTCCAAAGCTGCTGCCTAAACCAAATACAATAGAAATAGTGGATTACACAATTGTTTCGTCTTGCAGACTGTCACAAATTACTTGTTCTTACTCGTTGAGGTGTTGTGTACGGTGATGCAGCCCAAGATCTCCCTTCCAAACATTTTAAGGAATTTCAAACTTATCACATTGGTAATATCACCAAACATATTTGTATATAGCCCTACCAGGAGCAGGCTTTTCTTCTCTTCAACCTCAATTTCCATCTCTGCAGTGTGAGTTTATGAAGAAGTACTTGGGAATATGGTATTCTGCAGATTTATCTGAGCTATATGAACACTGGATATTTTGTCTACGAACAGGAGTCTTTACTCCAATATTCAATTTAAGTAGTTTGGTCAAAGCGGTTTTCTAATAAAATATATTTTCTTCACGTTCCCAGTTTACATCCCTTCCGGTTTTTGTTCTTTAAAGGAATACTATATGGTCAGGAACACAGACATGTATTCCTGACACTATAGTGTTAAAACACAATCTAGCCCCTCCTAAATATAGTAAAATCTTACCTTTATTCTAGTCTGCCGCTTGGTCTTCCACTTGATCTGCCGGCTTGACTGACATCAGAAATGTTGATCAAAGCCAATCACAATAGCAAAGCATTGGATTGGCTAAGGTTGCCAAGGAGACCAAACACAGCCCTAGCCAATCAGTATCTCCCCTTTATAGAAATACATCGAATCAATGCATCCCTATGAGGAAAGTTCAGTGTCTCCATGCAGACGGTGGAGACACTGAATGGCAGTGTGCAGCACTGCTCCAGGAAGCACCTCTAGTAGCCACCTGAGGAGTGGCCAATGGAGGTAACCCTACGCTGTAATGTAAACAATGCATTTTCTCAGAAAACAGTGTTTACTGCAAAAAACTTGAAGGGAATGATTCTACTCACCAGAACAAATACAATAAGCTGTAGTTGTTCTGGTGACTATAGTGTCCATTTAAATTATTAATTAAGACAATAGATTTCTCATGGTGTAGTACACAAGCATGTTAGAATGACACTCTTATTTTTCCAAGATTTACCTTTCAATTAATAGTGTTTATTAATGGTCAAAATAAAAAACCGAGGTGCTGGGTGTAGTTGATGCATGTAATTCTTACGTAATAGATGTAGTAGTATGACTGATTACAGCATAGTAAGGGTCAAATTGGACACCTGCAACCAAGACCAATGAGGTAAGCAGTGTCTCGTAAGTAATTGGTTGGAGTAAATTATGGTACCCTGTTTATAAATTGCCTTGGTGGTGGCAGCTTTTATAAGTGTGGATGGTGTTAATGGGATCTCTCCCTTACGAAAAAAACTGAAATTTGGGGCTTGCGTAAACTGAACATTCCATAAATGAATTTTACTGAAGACGGTTTTGTTAAATCATAGTAGAACAGAAGGAACTCGTTTTCTTACAGTCTTCTAATTACCGAAATGTACACTGCTTTTGATTAATCACAAATTTTCAATTTTACCCACGCTATTTCACCTGCTGAGAAACTGGCACTCCCAAGACACCAGTGCTGCATTGCACCTTGATACTGTATAGATGTCTTATTTATCTGGTTAGAATTTAGCTATACCCAATACCTAGGAAAAATAGTATAGTGGTATGTAATATAGAAGTAATGAGAGTCTTATTTTCAAATATGTTACTTACAAATGGCAAAAGACATTTCTTTATTGTCCCAAACTGTGAAAAATATTCCTTCAGTTCTCCTAAAATGAAAGAAAAGACACTGTCACACATTTCTGGAAATCATACTTGCATCATGTTAAAAATAAATAAATCATGAATAATCTTCTACACATAGAGCCTGGAACATATCACATATTTTAATAACTTGTTTTACGTAGAGTTGGTGCAGTGACCCTGGTCTACAGTTTTTTTACTCCAGATACAGTTAATACAGAGAGACAGAAAATGTCCCAGACTACACAGGTTATCCCATTACAGATGCAACACTGCCCTAATAAAAAAAAAAAAAATGGTACAGTTAATACAGATAGCCTGGAATAGCTCCTGGGTTACACAGTGTATTTCAGGTAGAGTTAGTACAGACACACACAGTGTATTTCAGGTACAGTTAGTACAGCCACACACAGTGTATTCCAAGTACAGTTAGTACAGCCACACACACAATGTATTCCAGGTAGAGTTAGTACAGCCACACACACAGTGTATTCCAGGTAGAGTTAGTACAGCCACACACAGTGTATTCCAGGTAGAGTTAGTACAGCCACACACAGTGTATTCCAGGTAGAGTTAGTACAGCCACACAGTGTATTCCAGGTACAGTTAGTACAGCCACACACAGTGTATTCCAGGTACAGTTAGTACAGCCACACACAGTGTATTGCAGGTACAGTTAGTACAGCGACACACACAGTGTATTCCAGGTAGAGTTAGTACAGCGACACACACAGTGTATTCCAGGTAGAGTTAGTACAGCCACACACACAGTGTATTCCAGGTAGAGTTAGTACAGCCACACACAGTGTATTCCTGGTACAGTTAGTACAGCCACACACACAATGTATTCCAGGTAGAGTTAGTACAGCCACACACAGTGTATTCCTGGTACAGTTAGTACAGCCACACACACAATGTATTCCAGGTAGAGTTAGTACAGACACACACAGTGTATTCCAGGTACAGTTAGTACAGCCACACACAGTGTATTCCAGGTACAGTTAGTACAGCCACACACACAGTGTATTCCAGGTAGAGTTAGTACAGACACACAGTGTATTGCAGGTACAGTTAGTACAGCCACACACAGTGTATTCCAGGTACAGTTAGTACAGCCACACACAGTGTATTGCAGGTACAGTTAGTACAGCCACACACAGTGTATTCCAGGTACAGTTAGTACAGCCACACACAGTGTACAGGTACAGTTAGTACACACACACAGTGTATTCCAGGTACAGTTAGTACAGCCACACACAGTGTATTCCAGGTACAGTTAGTACACACACACAGTGTATTCCAGGTACAGTTAGTACAGCCACACACAGTGTATTCCAGGTACAGTTAGTACAGCCACACACAGTGTATTCCAGGTACAGTTAGTACAGCCACACGCACAGTGTATTCCAGGTAGAGTTAGTACAGACACACACACAGTGTATTCCAGGTAGAGTTAGTACAGACACACACACAGTGTATTCCAGGTACAGTTAGTACAGCCACACACAGTGTATTCCAGGTACAGTTAGTACAGCCACACACAGTGTATTCCAGGTACAGTTAGTACAGCCACACACAGTGTATTCCAGGTACAGTTAGTACAGCCACACACAGTGTATTCCAGGTACAGTTAGTACAGACACACACAGTGTATTCCAGGTACAGTTAGTACAGACACACACACAGTGTATTCCAGGTACAGTTAGTACAGCCACACACAGTGTATTCCAGGTACAGTTAGTACAGACACACACACAGTGTATTCCAGGTACAGTTAGTACAGACACACACACAGTGTATTCCAGGTACAGTTAGTACAGCCACACACAGTGTATTCCAGGTACAGTTAGTACAGCCACACACAGTGTATTCCAGGTACAGTTAGTACAGACACACACACAGTGTATTCCAGGTACAGTTAGTACAGCCACACACAGTGTATTCCAGGTACAGTTAGTACAGCCACACACACAGTGTATTCCAGGTACAGTTAGTACAGACACACACACAGTGTATTCCAGGTAGAGTTAGTACAGCCACACACAGTGTATTCCAGGTACAGTTAGTACAGACACACAGTGTATTCCAGGTACAGTTAGTACAGACACACACACAGTGTATTCCAGGTACAGTTAGTACAGCCAGCCTGGATTGGCTGAGATTTTGATTACACCCCACTCCCCCCTCTCTGAGTGCACACTCCCTGTATTTATACTCACTGGTGGCCAGTGTCCATGGGATCTGGGACACGAACACTTCATACACCTTCCTCGCCTGAGCCGCCATCTTGGACACTGTGACCTCTAACCCCGTGACCCCGTGACGTTAGCCAGGCCCCGCCCACCCCTGCCATCTTGTTTCAGGTGGTCCCTGCAGCCCCAAAACCCTCAATACTCGCGGGTATCGCAGCCATTCTAAAGCCGCGGCCTAGGCCCACACTAGTGGCAATACCTCTTAAGAAAATAGTAAAAAAATAAAACGTGTGACCCTGAACTGAGAGCTTGTGGGGCTCACTGTACGGAATCTCCTGCAAGATGGCGGCGCCCAGTGTAGGTCAAACCCCAGGCAAGATGGCGGCGCCCAGTAAGGCATGGGGAAGATGGCCGCCTGCAGGCTGGAGCAAGGGGAGGATGCCTTCAGAAAGATATTCCGTCTGTATAAACGGAGGAACCCCCCACCTGACCTCAGTGGGGTAGTAGAGTTTACCAGAGGACATCCTGGAGTGAGTTAATCTGAATGTTACTGCTCTGGGATGGAAGAGTCCTTATTAACCATAGTCACCTGTGCCTGCAGTCAGAATTGCAGTGAGAAATGCAATCTTAGCAGACTAATAGTATAATATTAATGTTTATTAATGATAATAACAAAGTGTTATAAATGCTCTGCTTGCTGGCTTCTTACCTTCCACATGTCTGTTTTACCCTAATTATAGTGTCAATTATTTTTGGGTCAAACTCTAGAGATGGTAAAAATGCCAACATTGGCAGCCATGGTTAAAAAGTAAACACAACCACCATTAAAAAAATAATAATAATAATTCTCGTTATAATTAACTATTATTACCAATGTTCAGGGCAGCTATATAATTCTATGGTATAAGCATGTCTGCTATATACAAAAAAAATGTGCATTTATACTGTATGCCATGACTTTGGACACTTGTTTTTCACTATGCCGGTTTGCTTTGCTGTTGTGGCAGCAAAAAAAAAATCATATACACAAAACACACGAACTTTACATAATGTGTTTTCAGGACCTACTTAAAAGAATTACAGAATGGAATGCCCAAACAGGGCAGTAAAATGTTTTAATCAGTGTAGGATCATACCAGGTTAATGTCTGTTTAAATGTTACATTTAAGGCCAAAGTGAACACATTGGATTATGGAAATTCGAATTCAAAAGGACTATTTTGACCTAATTTTGCATTCCCTTATCAGTTCTGTTTCAAAGAATAACCCTAATCCGAATTAAAGGGGCACTATATTTACCAAAACAACTTTAGCTTAAAGGGACACTATATGCACCCCGATCACTTCAGCTTATTGAAGTGGTCTGGGTGCAGTGCCCCTGCCAGTTTAACCCTGCAAATGTATTTACTGCAGTTATTGAGAAATTGCAATAATTACCTGGCAGGGTTAACTCCACATCTAGTGGCTTTCTTCCAGACAGCCCCCAGAAATGCTTTTGAGTCATTGGGTGACTTTTGGTCGCCTAACTGATGCTGGACGCTCTCATGCTTTGCACAAGGACATCCAGTATCATCTAAAACCCCATATGAAAGCATTGATTCAACTTTTAAAGTATGTAACATCGGATTGAAAATTAAACTATTTTGCCACGGCCATGAGAGTTGTGGCTAGGACTGCATAGACAAAGTGATTTAACTTCTAAATGGCAGAGAATTGAGCAGTAAGACAGCAGGGGCATGTGCTATACACGAAAACAGCTTCATTAAGCTAAAGTTGTTTTGGTGACTATAGTGTTGCTATAACATAAGTATGTGTTGTGCTTTTGTTGATTACATCTTTAAAAAGGGATTGTTGCACCATGGAGGAATGACATTTATTTAGTCTGTTTGATTTTATTGTGATACATTTCTTTCACTTCCACAGGTAAAGCCCAAAGAGCTGACTATTGGTGCTCTCAGTGACCAGGATGCATGCAGAGCTGGTTTACAACCTTTGGACCAGTGGAAGGTTTATGGCCTTGAAGGTTACCCAGGTACAGTAATTAATACTATACAGACTCAATAGAATTCATATATTCCAAGACACACTGTGCTTTAAACATGTGTTTAAATTCACCTTTTTCTCACGTCGCACTGGTCTCGCCGTGGCTGGCATCTCAATGGGGAACATTCAGCACCTCCATGCAGAGTGTGGGGACGCTGAACGCGTGCAACATTGGTTTAAGAAGTACCTCTAGTGGCTGTATGAGTGACTGCCAATAGAATTGTTACTAGATCCCCATGTAAACACTGCCTTTTCTCTGACAAGCCTTTACTTTGAAAAGCCTGCTGGGACAGGATCTAGACACCAGAACCACTACATTAAGCTGTACTGGTTTTGTCCCTTTCAGTGATTTTGAAGCGATCATGGCACCTAGAGTCTGTATGTACAGTGTTTCACTATGAAACGCTGCACATGCAAAGATTAACCCATCTTCTGTCAGATGTGTAACTCCACCTATAGCAGCATCACTAGGGTGTGATTAGCTAGTCCAGAACGTTGACTAATGTCAAATATGTGCATATTCCTATGCACAGATTTGCCATTATTGGCTGAGTGAGGTAAGCTGTACTAAAGCTGGATGTACGTCACAGCCAGCCTTAGAGGGACACATTACTGCCCAAATACAAAACACAACCCTCCCCCTAAAAATGATTATTTAGTAAATACACCCCCAATGAAAATACATCTGCATTTTTCTGTTGGGGTTATCTATAAACAGCTTGCAAAAGCTGCAGATCTCTTATCTGCAGCTGTTGCAAGACCTCACCTTTTTCCCCAGCCGAGAGTTTCTGTGACTGTTATTTTACAGACCAATGTAGCTGAACAAGAAGTCTTTGCAAAACAGGTGTTCTGAACAATTACCTGCCTCTTGATTTCATATAAATAACCATTAAGTAACTGTACTGGTTGTCTGATTGACATCCAGGTGGATATAACAAGGTTAATTTAAAACACTTCACAGTTATATTAAAATCTGCGCTTTTTGTTAAATCAAAAAACAAGAGAACAAACTCTTCTCTAATGTAAAGAGTGCCTTTTAAGCAAGTTAAAGTGCTTTAGGGGTCTGGAGTGACCCTGTAAAAGAGATCAGTTATCTGGAGCAACAGGTTCCAAAACTGTTTCATCCATTACCTAGAAATGGGGCCAGTTTACTCTTGGCTCCCGCTGTAGTGGTTATAATGTTTGCAGTAACCCTTCAAAAGATGGAAACCAAGGAGATATATATATATATATATATATATATATATATATATATATATAACATCATTTCTATTAAAAAGAAGATGTGTATAATATTTCTCGCTCTAACAATGAAGGTTACTATGAAACCAATAATTCTACAGAGCTGAAAATGTACTATAAATTTAATGTACAAATGACTAGTAACGGAGCTGAACTCTCAGAATAGTGTCCAGCCAAGAAGGAAAAGATGAAATAATAAAAGCCTAAAGCATTGCTGTTACTAATAAGTATTGGTAAAATATAAATTATGGCTGTCCCTAAAATGCATTTGTGGGTACCTGCCACTAAACTAGTTATCATCACCATACAGACTACTAACTACACCTCCAGACTAAGTGTCCCTACTGATCATACAGAAAAACCGAGATCTAAGTAAACAAAGAAGGCAAAAACAAGCGGCCATTCACAAGGTAAAATATATTGGCTATATTTGCAAAGTAAGGTCAAGCCAGCTAACAAGCCCTATTCTATAGCCTTCTATCGAGATGTCACTTTGTCAGTGGAGCTAATGTAAAAATGGTTAAACACTGAACAGTGGGGCAGTGCCAGGGGTCTCCAAGTAAGTACCTAAAGTGTATCTTCAATAGTGTTTTTATGGTGTTGCTTGTGGTCATACTTGCAGTTTCACATTGTATCTCGTACACATTCCTCTACCGCTTGCTGATTTTGCAGCTGTCAACTTTATGGTCACATGGATTTTAGACTGGTTAACTGCCTCAAAAGTAGTAATGAATGTTTGGAGTAATCCTTTAAGTTTTGCGCACCATCAAAAATCTCTTTAGAAGTGGTCAGAAGCATATCTGTTTTACCTAGCATTCAGATACTACATACCTCTCTTTGTTTTCCAGGATTTCTTTTTGTATCAAATCCCTTCCTGCCTGGTTGGCAGCATCGCTGGGTGAGACAGTGTCTAAAGGTTTATCCACAGAAACCAAATGTATGCAACCTAGATCTTCATATGAGAGCCGAGCAGACCGCCAACATATGGGAGAGTAGCAAGGAGCAGCTCAGGTGAGCAATTAACTTAGAATGGCAAGAACCACTATCTATCTCTGGATTTCAATAGCCCTGTTTTGTATGAGCTCGTACCATCAATGGAACATTTGTAAGGAAAAAAGAAGGAACGTATTGGAGCGGATCAGACAGACAGAAGTTATTATGGAGTAAGCATGTCTCTCGTCTTCCAAAATGTTGGTGGTTATAAGCTGTTCCTATTCTTATCAACTCATTAACTAACTATACTCTTAGTGTCTGTGTTATTGTTTGTGTATGTTTTTATTTCCCCACTGTCCCTTAATGCTCCAACACTGCTAGGAGTGTAGAGGTGGAAGCATCTTACTCTGAAGGGATCTTTCAAGAAATTTAAAAGAGACATTAAAGAACACTTCAAGCACCATAAACACTATAGTCCAGTGGTTCCCAAACCAGTCCTCAGGTTCCTCTTTACCAATCCAGCATTTCGGTATTATTTAGTTTTGTCTAAAGTGTTTGGTGACTGGTACGGGGAACGTGAAATGGTTTAGAAACCACTGCTATAGTCTGTTGCAGTGAATTTGTGTTGCTTGGAAGCAGTACCTGCAAAAGAATATTTTCAATATCTTGTTATTTCGCTACATCTGCAGTGTCCAGCTCCCTTCCCATTGATGTTAGTTGGAAAATATCACTGTTTGCAAAATGTTTCTCTGTAAGAGACACTCCAATCCTTCATGCCACATTGTTAACTTACTCTGTTTTAAACTTTTATTTTTTCTTTGCATAATGTAGATTGCATTACCAGTGGCACGTTACAAGTGTCACAACCTTGACTTATCTATTCATAACCCTATCCAAACAATGTGTTTAGAAATTATTTGAAGTCTCTTACACAGCCATCTAACCTCAAATACACTTTCTATTGGGACCACATTACTCTGATTCCTGCTTAAAGTATCATGTAGCCTCAGTGGGTGCAACACCCTTTGTAATACAGTATACAATATTTTCTCATGATAATAGTGATTTTAAAGGCACATCGGCTTTACTGAACCACCATCCACAGGCAATGTATACATAATTTACCAAATAAACTTTTGAGAAACGTTAACTACTTGCCTTTACTCCAGTGCCACCTTCGCCACAGCTTTGCGAGTGTAATACTGTTGTAACACCCATATATGGTACAACCTTGCTACCACCTGTTTTCTGATAGGTTTGGCTTAGCATGTTGAACACCTCCCACACAGGGCAAATCTTCCCCATGACACTTGGCATGTGAGCAGAGGAACATCAGTCATTCCATTACTATACTACTCTAGCACACACATTTGTTCTAGTCTCCTTAGTTAGGCTTTTACGTATTAGGTTATATAGACCTCTGGCTCTGTGTCATGGAGGTCTAAGCAGAGGATTGAGTGACAGGAAGAGAAGTAGAAACTGCCTATGACAGCTCGCCTGTATACCCCCAGCAAGTGTTTCTCACACTTTCAGGTGGAGTGTAGGATTATTATTATTATTATTGCCATTTATATAGCGCCAACAGATTCCGTAGCGCTTTACAATATTATGTTAGGATGTTCTGACGGCGGTGTGGTGTCAATGAAGCCAGCTGTTGACATTATTAATCCACACAAATAGAAAAATGAGGGGAGCGCAAACAATTGCAAATGTGCACACCAAGTTCTACAAAAAGATTTATTTACATGGACATAACGTACAAACTTTTCGGGATATCCCCTTTATCAAAAGGTACGTTTGTACCTTATGTCCTTGTTAATAAATCTTTTTGTAGCACTTGGTGTGCACATTTGCAATTGTTTGCGCTGCCCTCATTTTTTCTATGTTTGTGGATTACTTTACCCTGGGTGTAGCTGTAGAGGGAGGTGTCGGCAGCACAATAGGAAAAGTTTGTATTTCGATTTTCTCTGGGTTCTTGCAGTAACGCTTACCTCAGCTATATACTGGTCATAACTGTATTGGCATTATTAAGATGGTTTGCCCTGCATGTCAAATAGTCCAAAAGGAGGGCGTAGAGCAGCAGAACAGGGGCAGCAAAAGATGGTGGTTTTTAGTCTAAAATTCATAGACCTCCCAAATATATCTCTATTTCATACATATTTATCAAATATATCAGTTTAATTTTTCACTTAAGATAAATTATAACATTATTACTTTAATGAACATGCCAAGCACCAACCATTACAGCCCACTGTTTTTTGATTTGTTTAAGCGCTGTGTACACTAAACCTGACATGACAGGTTCACTTTAAACATTAGTGTTATATCTTCTAACTGTTTTGTCCATCCAGAGAGAGAGCCTCTCATCGCAGAAGCCAGAAGAGCCTGTTGGAGAAGCTGCGCTGGGTTACCCTTGGCTATCACTATAACTGGGACACTAAGGTACCCAATCCATTACCATTTCAGCTGCGTTAACCTCTCAGTAGTACATTGTCGGACCATTTTTTTGGTCTCTTATGGATTTATTTACTAAAGTGAGAATTTAAAGTGAATTTTGCATTTAAGGTTAAAATAGCAGAACTGGAAACATTCTCTAATTCAGCTTTGCTTAAGGTTTGGCTACTCTGGCCTTAAATGTAACATTCACTTTGAATTTTCACTTTAGTGAATAATCCTGTTAGTCTCTCAGCTTGCAATGGTCATTCATTATTGATTACTTTCTCTCTGTAGAAGTACTCAGTCGACCATCACTCCACCTTCCCCCCAGACTTAGCTGAGCTTTCACGCTGTGTCTCCCGAGCTTGTGGTTTCTCCAAGTTTCAACCAGAGGCAGGGATCCTCAATTACTATCACATGGACTCATCTCTTGGAATTCACGTGGATGAGTCCGAGCTGGACCAGCACAGTCCCCTCCTCTCTTTCTGGTAAGTCGGTGACTCTGACATCATCCTGGCAGAGCCCCATAGAATTTCACATTGCTTTTCAAATTGCAGGGATACGTGTAAAATATTCCTCATTCTCAAACGTTTTTTTTTATCAAATAAAGCAATAACTATTTTATTTTCTATATTTAAATGGTCACAGTATGTACATTTACAGACATAGATGCTGCTATCTTAGCTATGCACTGCCTGCTGGACACTACTGCGTACAATTCAAAGGAACAGTACAAGTACAATTTTACCTGCTTTGTATTCTTTAAGCATTGTCACATGTACTTTTACCAGAAAGTGGCTGCATTCTCTCCGATTTGCAAATGACATCAGTAGGTAAAGCACTGCGTGTGATTTTGTATACATGCACTGCTTCTTAGTAGAAACAATACGAGCCAGCCATGCAGTATATATGTTAGGGCCTTCATTCACTTTTACAAATGGCATTGTGACGGTTCTGCACAGACTTCCGATCACTGTGCATCAGAGAGTATGCAGTCCTGCTCTCACCACATGTTTTCTAAATCAATTAAAAGAAAATTATTTTACATATTTGCTTGTATGCACTCATCTAATCGTCTTCAGTCTTCCTTTCATGCATTCATTTATTATTTCTTATTTAGATTATTTAAAAAAAAAATCTTTTTGTGTTTGCCCATATTTAGAAGTATTGCGCATAATCTGGTAGTCCTAAACTAACACCAGGTGGCAGCAAATGTGCATTTTTTATTTCTTTTCTTGAACATTTCTGCTAATTGAAAATCTCAAGCTGCATTTTGTCATATCAGCTTGATCTACGATATCATGACAATCCATCCAGCTGTGGACTGGTTCTTGTCTAAAGGCGGTGTATGTAGGCAAACTTAGTGCACAATGAAATCATTGCGTATGACCTAATAGATTGAGTGTGCTATTATTTGTTTTGTATTATAGAATGAATGAGAACCTTTTGACTGTTTCACTGAGCACTTGATATTTTCTTGTATTAATTCAATCTCCTTTTCATAAAGTTATGTTTTTGACCTTCAGTTGTCCTTTAGATATACTTTGCCTCCCGTCTTTACACTGGTGCTGTTTCCATATACTCTATCACCTCATGCAATAATCTAGCCTTTCTTGGTTTCCTGCCTTGCAGCTTTGGACAGTCCTGTATATATTTGCTGGGAGGTTTGAGCAGGGAGCTGGCTCCCACTCCAATGATGATGCACAGCGGTGATATCATGATAATGGCAGGTCCTAGCCGACTATTATACCACGCTGTGCCAAGGATACTTCCCCATCCAGGAGGTGGCCTCTTACCTCCAGGTCTAACTGTGCCACCATCTGACAATACTCCTCCTGCTCTCACTGAGCCATGTTCCTCCCAAGACTGGGAAGTATGTGCACAATATTTACATGACTCCCGTATTAACATGACGGTCAGGCAGGTACTGGAGGATGGCTGCAGCTTTCCAGTAGGGGAGGACATGAGGCGTGAACAGACCCATGCAAACGAAGAAGACTCTTATCACCAGAATGCACCAGAAACACCGGCACAGGAAGGTGAGGGACAGCACCTACTCACCAAACGCATTAAGACCACGTAGACCTGGAAATGCTAGAAAAAATGTAGTACATAAAGAAGAATTATTTAAGCTGGGATTAAATTGAATTGTTATTCTACCAAACCTCTTTCTTTAGTGCAATGAAATGCAATAAGCACTTGGAGTGCAGTAGACAGATGTATTTTTGGTTTTATATATATCGCAAACAAGTTTATTTGAAAGCTCATAAACACATTACATTGATTTTATAAAGGTCTCATTGAGATATCCTGGTTCCTTCACCATGTCACCATGTCAAGGGTGATCAGAGCCATACAAATTCCTTGCATTTGAAAGAAAACTATGCTTTGTTTAACCTGTAGTTTCCAAAACTACCTTCCTGTTAACCCCTTAAGGACCAAACTTCTGGAATAAAAGGGAATCATGACATGTCACACATGTCATGTGTCCTTAAGGGGTTAAACACCTGGAAAATCTCTACAGCTTCAGAAGAGCTACCATTGTTTTCTGCCTATATATGACTTTTTACAATCTGGCTAAGTCCACATCTCCTTTGTCCTCTCTGTTTTGAAAGGCACCATGTTTTGTATTTTTGAGCAGTATGTTTGGACTGATAAACTCTGCAGAATGATAATTTTACAGAGCAGTATCTCAGTCTCCGTTTAATTGTCGATGTGACGAATATCTGTCCCCCCCACATACAATTATTATTAAAGGACCACTGTACTGCCAGGAAAACAAACTCATTTTCCTGGCACTATAGGGTCTTTAGGTCCCCCCCACCCTCAGAGTCCCACTCCCGCCGGGCTGAAGGAGGAGGAAGGGGTTAATCACTTACCTTTCTCCAGCGCCGGGCTCCCTCGGCGCTGGGGAAATCACCTCCCTTTTCCGACATCAGCGTTGAATGCTCATGCACGGCAAGAGCCGCACGCGCATTCAGTCAGTCCATAGGAAAGCATTTCTCAATGTTTTCCTATGGATGTCAGCGTCTTCTCACTGTGCTTTTCACAGTGAGAATCGCGGAAGCGCCTCTAGCGGCTGTCAATGAGTCAGCCACTAGAGGCTGGATTAACCCTAATGTAAACATAGCAGTTTCTCTGAAATAGCTATGTTTACAGCTGCAGGGTTAACCCTAGATGGACCTGGATTTTTTTTTTTTTTTTAACCCTAGATGGACCTGGCACTCAGACTACTTCATTGAGCTGAAGTGGTCTGGGTGCCTACAGTGATCCTTTAAAATGGGGAAAAGTTGTGCAGGACAGTGTTTTTCTGGGTAGAGCAAATAATGCAGTGGAGGTGGTTCAATATACAAAACCTACCTGTTACCAAATCTAAAGTGGCACAAAATTGGAAAAGAGGAACAGAGCGAAATTTGGAGTATAATTGTAAATGATAAACATTGAATATTTGTCCTAGTAAAATAAATTTTTAGAAATGTTAAATGAAGGCTAGGTACTTCTGTCAGGACCTGCCAAAAATGGTGTACATCAGCATTGTGACAGACCTATGCAATGTATGATCATATACTTTACCTAAATTCTCTTTATTTCATCTGTCAAATTTTTGTTTGTCCGAAGTCAGGTGTTTTCTAAAAACATCAGATATAAGTAACAAGTTTTAATAAAATAAAACAACAAAAAAAAACCCATTAAATTCTGTGAGCTTTGATGCTGGTGTTTATTGGGTGCACTGGACTCTGTTATGTGTTTATATATTTTTTTACGACTTGGAAATACTAAGTGCCTGTGTCATCTCTGTGATTATTAAAGTAACAGTGCTACTTCTAGATACTCTGGAATCTTGTCAGAGCACTATTGGTTTTTTTTTCTGCTTCTTTCTTTGTTTATGTAGTTAACATGACAGACACTACAGGCTGTAGGTTGAGATAAGATATCATGCAAGTGTACAGTATCTCTTTTGTCACACTTTAGCTGTATATCTATATTTATGTAGTTTAAAAATATTTAATGTTTAGCTCTGTTAAAGCGATACTCTGTAGTGGAATTATCATCCAATAAATATACATTTAAAGGAAATTATAGCCTTTAAAGTATAGGTATTAGGTATAAATATGTATACCTAATGCTATGGTGCCCTAGTCACCATTTAGGTGACCGGGCCAGCGCCACCAGGGTTACTTTTTATCTCCTTGGTGAAGCTCTGCATCTTTCGCTGAGATCATAAAGATCGATTATCTCAGTCAATCCAATGCTCTCCCATAGGATAATGGGTAATGGTCACTAGTGTTAGGATATCAAACAATTTTCTGGAATTTGGGGAAGGGAGTGGCGTTTGGCTGCAAAATTATATATTTTGTTGCAGCAACTGGTCAACGTTTTATAGTCATGTTAACATCGGCTAAGGTATTGTACAATTAGCTTAAATATGTATAAAAAATAAGTTCCGGTGGCTGTAATGTCCCTTTAAATATTGTAACTGACTTCTATTTGTGTGTGCATTTATCCACATTTTGGAATATGAAAAGCCACTAAAGTCACCCAGATCACTTTATCTCAATGAAGTAATTTGTGTGCAGTGGTCCTGCACTAGAGTCTCTCACCACTGGAGCACCAAGATTCTTCATTCCACTCCCTGGCATGAGTTAATAAAAAAAGGCATTGGAATATTAAAAAAAACACTCTACTGCCCAAATAAAAATAAACATTTTTTAGTAGATATTCCCCTAATAAAAACCATGTATGCATTTTTTTCACTGGGGGTCGATATAAACACAGTTTGCAAAAGCTGAATATTTCTTGCCTAAAGAATTTGCATGCCCTCCCTTCTAACCCTGTCCATACTTTCTGTATCTAGCCATTTGCATAATTCCCAATTCTTTCTAAAAACAAAAAACTGCATATTTTACATTGCAGAGTTAAAAGGATAAGACCTTTGCAGATATGCCACTTAATTAATATGAAGTGGCATGGGTGACTTTATTTGACTTTTTAATAAAAGTAGTATGAAAAATAAAATATTAAATTAAACTTCCCGCCCCCTCCCACAGTTTGGCCCACAGAACTCATAGCCCATATCTCTCCTCACGCACAGATTTACATACACACACACACATTTATTACAGCCCCTATAAACACATACATTTTCTCTCTACAGCTCCTAGCCACACATACTACGCCACAAACTGAAACAGACCTATTTATATGCACCCTACACCACAAACAGTCTCAAAATACATGCACAATGCCAGAAGTAACAAGGCACAAATGTGCCAATAAATTCACTTACGATGTCCAAAACATGGGCTTTTCCCCATGCAAAGCCCTTTGGCAGGGCTCTGTGCATGGGCTTCCCTGGTAACAGAATTTAACTAAAATGTTCACTTTGAGACAACAAGTGTTATTGGTGATGACACAAATGCCCTGTTTCTGACTGCCCCCCCTCCTACTGGGTTTCACTGATTCACATGTGCTGGGGAGGGGGAGAGGGAGTTGTAGCTGTGTGGGAGTACATATTATTATTATTATTGCCATTTATATAGCGCCAACAGATTACTTAGTGATTTACAATATTATGAGGGGGATTTAAAGGACCACTATAGACACCCAGACCACATCAGCTCAACGAAGTGGTCTGGGTGCCAGGTCCATCTAGTGTTAACCCTGCAGCTGTAAACATAGCCGTTTCAGAGAAACTGACAGCCGCTAGAGGCGCTTGCGCACTTCTCACTGTGAAAATCACAGTGAGAAGACGCTGGACGTCCATAGGAAAGCATTGAGAAATGCTTTCCTATGGACTGTTTAAATGCGCGCGCGCAGCTCTTGCCATGCATGCGCATTCGGCGCTGACTGCAGGAGAGGGAGGAGAGTTCCCCAGCGCTGAGGGAGCCTGGCACTGGAGAAAGGTACGAGTTTAACCCCTTCAGCCCAGCTGGAATGGGACCCTGAGGGTAGGGGGGGACCTGAAGACCCTATAGTGCCAGGAAAAAGAGTTTCTTTTCCTGGCACTATAGTGGTCCTTTAATTATAAATAGGACAATTAAAAAAACAGTTTGAAGAGGACCCTGCTCCAATGAGCTTACAGTCTATATCTCTCTGTATATGTGCGAATGCATCTCGTGGTATGTCACTGACATGATCTTTTCCTTTGTCCCTCCGCCTCCGCTGCTCCTCCCCGACATCGGGAACCTAATGCACATTGTGGCAGTCGCCGCAATCGCGTTAGGGCTACCCCATAGGAAAGCATTCAATCAAATAGTGTCCCTTTAACCCCTTAAGGACCAAACTTCTGGAATAAAAGGGAATCATGACATGTCACACGTGTCCTTAAGGGTTTAAAGGTGATTTTCAGTTAGAATTCTCTCTTTAGTGAATAATCCTGGGAACCTTACTGTAGGGCAATTGGCTAATTATTATGACAGTAATGAGTAATGGGGGGGGGGGAGGGTAAAGAAGCCATTGTCACTGGTGTGGTTTTTATTTAGTTTAGTTTAATTTATTCTTATATGCTTTTAATGGCTATTTTTTAATCTAATGAAATTTGAAAGATAATAAATGTAGTTTCTGAGGAAAACCCCCTCCTGTGAACAATCTTTCACAACATAAGGGCAGCTATCTCATTACAGTCACCATGGCCACGCCCATAAAGGTTACTACAGTTTATCGAGTGAAGTTTGTCGGTGTGACGTCACGCGGGCCGCTCCCTCGCAATCCCCGCCCACAGCACTCTCTGGTTGGCGGATGACTTCCTGTCGTGCGTCGGCCCCCCGTAGTGACGTCAAGAGCGCTGATTGGCTGCGCTGAAGTTCCGGTTTTGGAAGCTTGGCAGTGACAGCAGCGCAGTGCAGGCTGGGAAATGCCGCGGTACAGTGCTGCGGAGGCCCCCGGGGGCCACAGCTCCCCCTATAAACCGGTAATGAACGGCGTGCACAAGACCGAGAGCGGGGGCCTGAAAAACGGATATAGGGGAGCCCTGGATGGAAAGGTAATGGCACCCCAATAATATAACCTCCCCCAATAATGTCATCCCAATAATATAACCTCCCCCAATAATGTCATCCCAATAATATAACCTCCCCAGTAATGTCACCCCAATAATATAACCTCCCCAGTAATGTCACCCCAATAATATAACCTCCCCAGTAATGTCACCCCAATAATATAACCTCCCCAGTAATGTCACCCCAATAATATAACCTCCCCAGTAATGGCACCCCAGTAATATAACCTCCCCAGTAATGTCACCCCAATAATATAACCTCCCCAGTAATGTCACCCCAATAATATAACCTCCCCAGTAATGTCACCCCAATAATATAACCTCCCCCAATAATGTCATCCCAATAATATAACCTCCCCAATAATGTCACCCCAATAATATAACCTCCCCCAGTAATATAACCTCCCCCAGTAATATAACCTCCCCCAGTAATGTCTTAATATTATAACCTCCCCAGTAATGTCACCCCAGTAATATAACCTCCCCAATAATGTCATCCCAATAATATAACCTCCCCAGTAATGGCACCCCAGTAATATAACCTCCCCAGTAATGTCACCCCAATAATATAACCTCCCCCAATAATGTCACCCCAATAATATAACCTCCCCAGTAATGTCACCCCAATAATATAACCTCCCCAGTAATGTCACCCCAATAATATAACCTCCCCCAATAATGTCATCCCAATAATATAACCTCCCCAATAATGTCACCCCAATAATATAACCTCCCCCAGTAATATAACCTCCCCCAGTAATATAACCTCCCCCAGTAATGTCACCCCACACAGTGTAACCCCTGTGCAATGGCACCCCACAATATAACCCTCCCCCACAATGTCATCCCACAATATGTGCAACCTCCTGCACAAGTGTCACCCCACAATATAACCTCCCCAGTACATAACCTCCCCAGTAATATAACCTCCCCCAGTGCAATATATATAACCTCCCCAGTAATATAACCTCCCAGTAATGTCACCCCCACAATATAACCCCCACAATGTCATCCCACAATATAACCTCCCCAATGTCATCCCACAATATAACCTCCCCCCACAATGCCACCCCAATAATATAACCCTCAGTAATGTCACCCCAGTAATGGCACCCTAATAATATATAACCTCCCCCAGTAATGTCACCCCCAGCCACATAACCTCCCCAGCAATGCTCACCCCACAATATAACCTAGTAATGTCACCCCACAATGTCACCCCACAATATAACCTCCCACAACATGTCCCCCACACACAGGCAACCTCCCCCAGTAATGTCACCCCCACAATATAACCTCCCAGTAATGTCACACCCCACACATAACCTCCCAGTAATGTCACCCACACATAACCTCCCCTAGTAATGTCACCCCACAATGTCACCCCCACAATATAACCTCCCCAGTAATGTCACACCCACAATATAACCTCCCCAGTAATGTCACCCCAATAATATAACCTCCCCCAGTAATGTCACCCCAATAATATAACCTCCCCCATTAATGTCACCCTAATAATATAACCTCCCCAGTAATGTCACCCCAATAATATAACCTCCCCCAGTAATGTCACCCCAATAATATAACCTCCTCCAATAGTCACCCCAATAATATAACCTCCCCCAATAATGTAACCTCCCCAGTAATGTCTCCTCAATAATATAACCTCCCAAGTAATGAATGTCAACCCAGTAATATAACTTCTCCAATAATTAACGTCGCCCCATATTACAACGTCCCTAGTAATTAATGTCACCCCTTATTATAACTTCCCCAATAATGTCACCTCAGTAATATAAATTCCCTTAGTAATTGTCACCCCGTTATAACTTCCCCAGTAATTGTCACCCACCCATTCTATAACTTTCCCAGTAATGAATGTTACCCCAGTAATACAACTTCCACAATAATATAACTTCCCAGTAATTAGTGTCATCCCAATAAATTAGTGTAATCTCAACACTATTACTTCCCCCGTAATGCTGATATACTCCCCACTTGGCCCCTCACAAGCCGATACATGGTGGAAGGAAATGACATAGCCGTGATATAATAATAACAAAGTGTTTAACCAGGAAAGATATTCTCTGGTTTCCAAGTACGGCCTGGGGATTTTACTTTTGCCTAACATCAGGGGATCTTGTCAATCTTTGTTTTATTGAGATATTGAGTAGATACTGAGAAAATATACATTTTATACTAGGATGTATCAGCATAGTTAGTAAGCGTGATACACTTTACTGTTAGCTCATTTTTTATATATTACTAAATTGGTAGATTAAGTTGGTAGATTAACTGGAAGCATAACTGGTATTTGTATGAGTGTAATTGGGCTATACAGAACTCTTCGTGTATTCGCTAATAGAGCGTGAAGCTGTCTAGCGATCAGTATTCTTTTATTTTATCACGGGCTTAAATAGTCATTGGTTGAGATGTCAAAGAGATAAATATAAAACCTGGTGGGCAGAGGAAGTGCCCTGGAAGACTATACGACTCCCTTTCGAAGGATTGCTGGGTACCTAGGATGTTGAGAGCTGTTGGCAAACCAATTGTCTCATTGTCTCTGGTCCCATTGCTACCAGTCAGGTATGCTTTCAGGCAGGGACACCATGCTCCTCAGTCAGAGCACATCAGGTTGTTTCAAGTTGTCCAAGATCCCAGACGGAGTACAATTTTCTATGCAAAGTAATTTCCGCCCTTACTTCTGGGCATCCAGGTATGGAAGCTGTGCTTGTGTAGAATAACCCAAATTGCCCACTGCCTGAAGAAAATTGGCCTCTCTCATCAAGTGCAATTTTGCCCTGTAACTGAAGAAAATAGGGACCCAGAGATTCTCCATAGCCTCCGTCTCAGTAAGTCAGAGCGTGGCAATGAAGAGAGCTGTGGTACATTAGGTATAGATTTGGTCGCTAAGTCTGCACAAAAAGAATTGCATGGTTGGTCAAATGCCTTTAGTAAGTACCACTCAGCAAATCAGACACATCAGTCATTTTGGAACCTCCAGGTAAGAATATTGCAGTAGCAGTAACAAACACTCTGTATCTGGCCTTGTGAGTTGCTGAGTTGGTCAGTGTAGGCTGGGGTCACCCACACCAGCCCAGAAGATAGGGGGACAAAGCCCATGCAATTGCAGGAACACCACTGAATGAGGTGTTGGACACCTCCCAGTCCAGTAGGCTTTAGAAAAGTCTGTCAAGAGGAAAAAAACAACAAAACTTTATACACTTACATATATTTCTAAAAAGCAGGTCCTCATGATGCATGAAATGAAACTGCATCCCACTGTGAAACTGGGACAAGCCCTCAGGAATATAACTTGGCTAAAAATGCTATAGGTCAGTGAGTCACTGCAAGGTAATAGTACCTCCATTATAATACCAGTGTAGCTAGATGTAAGTGATCAGAGGTTCTTCAAGGATAAATTCAGGGCTCCTAAATGTAAGATATAGTTAATGGCAGCTCGGTCCTCTAACATTGTAATAAAAACTACATGTGGAAAATGTAATCTATTATTCCTCACAATACAGATATTGTAATCTAACAGCGGGTCACCTTGAGAGGCTACAAGGGACTCTAAATAAAGCCGCATGTGGCATATATTGGGCCAGTGAGTGTAAGATAATGGCATCCCCATTAATATAGTTGGGGTATACAGGACTGTTAGCAGATTCAGAGAAAACAATATAAGTAATTTGGTGTTGGGGAACGTTTTTTTTTTTTACTACTTCTGTGTTAAGCCACTTCATTGAACTGTCAGTAAGCCAGCGGCAGTGCTCTCTTCGTGGCTGGTAGTATCAGGTGTGTGGTACATTTGTGTCGTGTACAAAGCACACTAACCCCCAAAGATCCACTTCTCAGACTATTAAACTCTCTAACTCCCTGGTACACTGAAATTATAAATCCTTTCTAGTTCTTTACCTCTGCCGTTCGTGGGTGAAGAAATCTGAAAAAAAACAAAACGCAAGCCACTCTGTTTGGAATTTGTCCCTTCAAATTGGGTGCAAGAGGTTGCCAGCCCTTATTGACTATAACTATTTTCCTCAGTGAGGTTGTTGCTGATGCTTGTGGGAGTTAAAATATATATATATATTTAAGTTTCTTTATTTTGTCGTGCATCGATTATACAAGTTACATTTACGCCAGCAATGCCACAACACCTAATGTCAGTTTCCATAAACTTATAAAGACAATTGGCATGAATAAACAGTGAACATTTTTTAATTTAATAGGAGTAGACAGTAGTGTGGTAAAAGGCTGTGTAGGCTTATCCATTGACTGTTAATAGAAGTGTAACAGGCGCCTGGTGAATGAATCGTGTATGTAAAGGACTTAAACTTGCTAGGCATGCTATATACAGTCATCTATAAATATGTATTCGATTTAATGGAATAATTACATATATTTATATAGCGCCAACATATTCCACAGTGGTGTACAATCTATTAACCAAGATAAATGATTCTAACAAAACATGCTTAACCGACAAGAAAAGTAGGTTGAAAAGGCCCTGCTTGCAATCTAAAAATAGTTGGGCAGCCGCTTTCTAAATGATGTGCAGAAAATAACTCTAATCAACCATATGCAGTGGTTGGCTGAGCCTGATAAGAATTATATGTAAAAAATACATTTTTATATAGCAAGTCGCCATTTTAATGGACACATAAAAGTTTAATATTTAAAGGGACACTCTGCACCAAAACCACTAGAATGCTGTTTCTTATAATTGGCAATGTTTATATTTGTCAGAATGCTGCTAATGTCTGTCATTCAGACAGCCTTTAGAAGTACAATCTTCACATTTAGCCTCCTTACACACTGTGTGCTTGGTGGAAAATAATCTAGACCTCAGGGGCACCAACTTTACAAACTTTTTTTAATCTTTGTGTTACTTTTAACCCCTTAAGGACCAAACTTCTTGAATAAAAGGGAATCATGACATGTCAGACATGTCATGTGACCTTAAGGGGTTAAATGGCATTTGAACCAATACTGATGATTTTTTTTTAATATATGTAATAACTGTCCCTAAATCTCAATAAGCCACCAAGTTCCTATTTGGCCTGGATATTTATCGTCAAATGCAAAGGGTTGAGTGTGGGTCTTTTTTTTTTTAATTTTTTTAATTTTTTTTTTAAACTGCTGAGGCCACTTTGGCAGCTAACGAAAGGTCCATTTTAGGTCTTACAAAAACATTTTTGCAAAAATGTACTATATAATTTTTTTTTATTATTTTTAAAAATTATGCACATCTTTGGACATCGAGCCCTGCTGTAGCACATTTAATTTAATAAAGGGGTTTTATATGATTGCATTTTAAATAGAGGATTAATCCTCTAGAGCCTGTTATGTGCTTGCCATCCCTTATTGGTGTTATCTAAGCTTGCATTGTTTTGAATGAAATGAAATCATGTGCCTGTCAGATGGACCCAGTGATAGCACTTGACTGTTTGTATTAACATTAACCCCTTAAGGACACATGACGGAAATATTCCGTCACAATTCCCTTTTATTCCAGAAGTTGTGTCATTACGGGGTTAATTGGATGACGGCACACTTCACTGAATACAAACCATACTGTATATTTGTATATACATTCAAACATATAAAGAGATCTGTAGTGGATCTTGACTGTAAGCACTTTTCAGCACTACTTTCTTCACATCTCACACCTGTCATGTTTATTTTGTCCGTCAGTTACTTGCTGTTGTACGTCTCTACTGTATTTGAAGTGGCTGCCGAATCTGTTGTATAACTGCTAACAATAGGAACATCAGGCTAAGGGGGGATTGTCGTGCACTCATAATTTTTTTTTTTTTTTTTTTTTAAGCGCATTACATTTCATCTGTACACTGCTGGCGTTTTTGCTAGCAAGTTGTATAGATTGGGAGGGAAAAAAAAACGATTTTAAAAATAGGTCTTTCTCCCACTTCTTTTTTCAGCACTGACTCAATACAATTTGACTGACAAAGGAGAGCAGAAAAGACCACCCCAGGTGGTCCTTTTGCTCTCCCAAGCATAGTAATCATAGTACATGCGCTGTGGTTGTTATAGAAATAGCCTACCTAGCGCTAGGGAGATCGTGGTATACTGACCTCACTGAGAAGGTTTGCTCTGCTTGGGGAAGTACTCCCAAGCACAGCAAATCACAGAAGACGGCATACATGAAAATCTCGGCGCTGGAACGGAGGTGAGTATATCTCTGTATTTTTCTGATATGATATATTTGGAAGCCATTTAATGCAATTTGGTTTTTACATTAGATGTTCACTTTAAATCTACATTCAAAGATTGACATGATGGCATTTAACCCCATGTCTCCCCCATGTGTTTTATTTATTTATTTATTTTGTGTTATCATTTTTAACATTCTGGTTATTTTACTGCTGGATAGTATAAGGCAGGGCTCAAAAATTCTAGTTGCCTACTAGCCTTTGGTGAGTGTCTGTTTGCCATTTACCATACAGGCTTGCAATTGCGAGTGATATTTTGGCTTGCGTAATAGCAAAGGATGTCAAATTTTGAGCCCTGGTATAAAGTATTTTCTTTACCAAGTTGTGTTGTAAGGATGAATGTTACTACAATCCAGAATGTAGAAAGTATTCAGTTGCTTTCTGGTTAAATGTCCAGCATCCTCCCCACTCACTGAACTATAAACCGCTGTTTCCAAAGAACGCGTGGGTGTTTCCTTTCCAGTGGAAAACATTGACTGTGGTATGCATTGTGCATTCCATCCGTGTATTTGCAATATGCTTGGACTGCAAGCTCTTAATGCAATGTATGGGGGGGGGGATCTGTGACACCTTGTGTCTGACAACATTGTAACTTTTTAAAGCGGATCTTTTACTTCTGTGTATTTCGTTTATATGTACTCTTTATAAACTACTAATGCTGGCTGTTGGAATTTTATTGAAAATCTAACACCCCCCAAAAGTATCATAAGACAAATTAGAGACTACTAGGAGCCAGAGTTTGACAGGATGCAGAGCTCCCCATCAATTCTGTCAAATCCCGGCAGCCTTTACAAGTGGCGGCTGTGGGATTGAGGCATTGTCTTGATTACTGTGAGGTTCTCTCGGGATCCTCCCTAGATCTCAATGTTATACTATTGTGCATGTGCAAGAATACAGCACTCTTGGCAAATGTAGCTTATAATAGTGTTCCTTTAAGGCCACAAATCCCTTTTTAGATTCTTGAAATTGTTTCACAATTTGTGATACATTGTGTATTATTGCCATGATTGTATACCTATTGAGTGACCGGGACTATTGGCAACTTTTTGTTTTGTTGTAAACTGTTTGATTTATTTATTTATTCATATATCCTGATGTGGCATTATGACATTGTCATATGTATGTCTTCAGAAACATGCATGTTTCAGTGTAAGCATATCATTACAATATGAAATATAGAAGTAGTTGTGTCTGTGGGTTTTCCTTATAAATTATTCACGTATGCATGTATTGGTCTGTGACTTTACTGATAGATTGCAGGCAGAATTTCACATTGTACTTTTATTAAGCCTTGAAGTCACTAAGAGGGTTAATAGGCTTACTGAATGTTTGTTGCATACTTGTCTTGTTAATGTGCCCTGGACCTCCTGTGCTTTGTCTAATGCAGTGCATTGCTATGTACACAGACACGACTTGTGATAGTTACTATGTATGTGTGGTATGTACTTTCACTTACATTGAGACCGGCATTGCTGCCTGTACCATGTTATCCCATACCAAGCCAGATTGTGGGTTGAAGACCAAGCCCAGGGTGAGGTTTGATGGGGGATTGTGGAATGTGTGCAGCTAAGTACGGTTTGTAGCAGGAGCTTAGCATGTTCTGAACTGTAATGCCAGAGTAATGTAATGTGATTTGGAGTTCCATTAATTACATTTCCCTGCCTTTAATTCAGACTGTTAATACTTGGTTTTACTATTTTATTATAATTATGATCAGCATTTGTAGAAAACAAGTTTATTCTGCAGTACCTTACAGTTATAAAGTGGGGATATATAGCAGCAAGAACTTGACAGATACTAAAGGTGAAGAGGGTCTGGTCTTTCTCAAAAAAGTATAGTGTGGAATATTTTCAAATAATGTTTATTAACAGATTTTAAACATTTCAATAAAATTAAAAACTAATAGTGATTTTTTTTTAGGGAGGGGGGAATGGATTATTTATTTTTTAATTTTCTCTCCCCAAGTTTAAATGGTAATCCAGGCGTGCACCCCTTGCTCACAGTGCCTAGAGGTGTATCTGCTATGCCTAACGTGGCTTAAATTAATATTTAGGGTTGATGTTTCTCCCATGCAGAGAGAGACCCGGCCTGCATTTCAGATCTGTACCATCCTTGTGGGTGGGATCAGTCTAATATGTGAATAGCTCCCAGGCTCTGCTTGCAAAGGAGATGTAAATATGCCTTAGCAGACTTCAGTGCGCTCTGATAATCTGTTTTACAAAGAATTGGCATGTGGCAGTCCAGAACATGTGCAAATATCTCTAAATATGCAGCATTTTAATACAGACTCCCACCAACATGACCATTTCAAATCACTGAAGTGATCATGGTGGTTAAAGTAACTCTTTAAAATTTGAAATCCTTTTTGGAATAACCCTAAAAGTGTTTCATGGTGACAGGTTTCTCTTGAATTAGGTACAGCACAAGGCAATAGTGCTAAAGAGACGGAGGGCCTACGTTGGATGTTTTGTGTACTGGTTTAATTGCTATAGCATTTGTGTTGTAATCCTGACAATGGACCAGTTGCCAAGGACAGTATACACAATGCAAATAGCCTATCTCTGGGTGCAATTCCACTTCTAATGCACAAATGGTGACTCCTGCCTGCAGGGTTCTCTATTTCATCAATGCACGATTTTTTTCTTCTATGTTTTGCACCGTGTACAGCTTGTACAGAGGGTAAACTCTTTCATACTGACTGGAACAGGACCCAACCCCCATGTTTGCTTATCTGGGTAGTCCAGTATACAGTGTATTTATATTCAGTCATGATATTTTACTTGTCCTTTTTAGATGCAAAATAACTAACTATTGCAATTTCTACTTGTGTTTTTTTTTTTTTTTTAAATGTATTTTTTTTTTTAACTGTCTACCAAATGCACGTACATCCTATAATATTTCTGTGGACTATTGCAGTTGTTTGTTTTCGTATAGTTGCCTGTCTAGGAATAAAACTGGAGCGTCTCTTAAATGAGGGGTGCACAGTATTCCCAATATTAATATTTATACACTGAATGTCTACAGTAAAATACTGACACCAGTGGCACACCATTGACTTGGCCCACACTGTGGAAAGACTAACATCACCAATGACCCTGTCTTCTACTAGATGCACCATACACTTTGAGTATTAGACCAACTTACAAAATAGTGCTCTTGTGGACCTGTTAAGTATTGCTTTGTTTTTATCTGTTTTGTGCAAGCCACTTTTTTTTTTTTATATAGAGAAGTGCATATTGTGGCTGTCTGACTGCTATTTAAAGAATTCTGACTGATAAATGTAAACATTGTATTTCTCAGGAAACTGTAATGTTTGTTTTAAGTGTGTGTTTTCCTAACTCTATACTTTTTAAAGGACAACTGTCACCTCAAAACTGTTTTACTATAATAATCCTTTCATCAAGTTTTTTTGAAAGTAAAAATATATACCTATTTTATTTTCATTTTTTTTTTTAAAGGGAAAAAAAAAGGGGGAGAGAGAAATTTCATCTATGCCATTGTATATTACATGATCCTGCAGCAATATACGTGTACCTTGGGCCAGACTGTGTTTGAAAACAGACCGTGCTTTGGAAGATTATAGAGTCTGCCGGTTTTCAAACACTATCTAACCCAAGGTACATCTATATGGCTGAAGGATCCTGTCATAATGGTACGGATAAGTGTTTTGTTTTTGTGTATGTATATACAGTGCATATACGCATTCTACACACACAGTATTTACTTGAATCTAATACGCACCTTTATTGTCAAAATAGTCTCCAAAATTTGAATATGCATTAGACTACGATTTCAGTACTAGCAAAAGCACAGTGCAATAAAAACAAACCGTTCATGGGTACTACTCTCTAACTTAACTAGTTGCTCCTCACTTTACAACAACTTCGTGATACGGCATGCGATGCAAATTTGCTGGGGAATCAAGACGTGGTTTCTGTGTACAATAAAGCTGTACCTCGTACCTCGCAGAACTTGTATCTATTTGTAGAAATGCATGTTACATTTGTCAACGAAAACTTTTTGCGGCTTCCAGGTTTCAAAATTTAATTATGCATTAGATTTGTATAAATATATGTATGTGTCTCATATTTAATTTTAAATAATAATAATTACGTTTCCTTTTAAATCTTGATGAAAGGATTATTATATTAAAAAATAGTTTAGGAGACTGTTGTCCTTTAATCTAGCTATGGTAGTGACCTCACCTCTGTGTGACTTCTCGAAAGGTGACATTTACTTATAACTCTCAGCCCTTGTTGCACTGGTCTCCATCCTCCTGGCATGTCTCCTTGCCTGAGATCTTTAAGATTAATAATCTTGGCCAATACAGTGCTTTCCCATCGAAAACCATTGGGAGTTTAGTGTATCATCATGACAAAATGCCGAGCTGTGCCAATCAGTCCCTTAGGCTATCTGATAGAAATAGCTTAGTTTCACTCAGAAATTATGACTTGTGGCTCACAAAATGATTCACATTACGCATTCCACCTCTTCCTTTCATTGAATTTTATCTGTGCTACATTCCTCTAATCTATTTGTTTGACGTAATCAGGAAATTTAAGTAGGAATGTTCAAAGGTTCTTTGACAATTACATCATCAGTTGAGTCACAATGCAATTAAGTGCTTGATTTGCGCCCTTTGCCTGTGGCTGTTCCCTTATTGGTTTTTGTTGGTTCTCCCCACCTCCCTTATGGGTGCAGTAAGCCCCATGTAACAGCCAAATATATACTTTATTTTTTTTTTTTATTGTACCTGAAGGATATGTATTTCCACTATATATTATGTAGGTGGGATAAAGCTGAGTACTTAGGCCCCACGTGAAGAGTGGGGAACATATTTTTATTTTTATTTTTTTTAATTATAACAGATTTCCAGTAAATCTTATTATTATAGGTGCCAGTAGTAACCCACTTAGACTTAGTTTTACATAAACTTACCAGTGCCATCCTGAAACCTGCGACTATTGTTTCCTCTTGCTGGTAATGTATGACACACATGTGACCTAACAGAGCTTTTTGTTGTCTAGTAGGGCATTCACTTATATATTATATTTAAATAAAGCCATTTCACAGCTGCAGCCACTTTGTGCACTCTGCCCCCTAGTGAACAGATTTTAAGAAAAAATATAAAGTGTAACAAAACAAATACAATGTTGTAGCTATCTCATGGTTCATGGGTGTGAAGTGGCTTGCTTTTGTGGTCACCGGTGTTTTATTTTTATTTTATGTTTATTAAAATCTGGACAGATGTTGGAACTTGTCCGAGCATACATATTGATTTGTGGGGTTATGAGTGTGTGTGCAAATGTGGCTTTACTTTGGTTACCTCATTGGCTACCTAACATTTTGAGTTTTACTTTGAAAATAGGATTCTGTATCCATGTGAACAAGTTTGAATAAGTGTTTATCTTTTGGAGGGTGGGGTATAGTGTCTTTATGCAACCTTCTATAAAGAATTGAGCTTTTTTTTGGAATGTTGGTGGTCTCGGTTTATTCAAAGGTCTATAAGGTTTGGCAGATTCAGGATAGTAACCATTTGTATGTGTGTTTATTGTGAGGATTATGTTCTCAGTCTGTGTACAAAGGTAAATGTGTAGGGTTGGTTTACAAGGGCTGGTTGGGTTTCAGTGCCCATGTATGTTGGGTTCATATAAGTTTTAGGTTTCACTTGGCAAGGTGGGGTCCTCTCTCTGTAAATAGGTTTTGTTTTTTTTCTGTAGAAGTGAATCACTACTGACAGACAGCTCCTTAAAATAGGCAGGTACGTATGAGATCTGGTTACACAGGTGACAGTAGGGGTGTAACCACCTATTAGCTTTCACACATAACCAGCTTCTTTTTTTTTTTTTTAAGGTTGATTTGCCTTATAACTGGCTGTGTGCGCTCAAAACAGGACTTCCTGGACTGTGTGCTGTCAAAGGATTGTGGGGATTGCCTAACCCTATCTCAAAGCTAGATACCTGGCCTTTATTCAGATTCTGCTAATGAGTCACTTTAAAAAGGTTGCTGTAAGTAGCCTTGAAAATGTAGGAAGTTATTTGGCTCAGGCAAGATCTAATAGTCCTGTGTCTGTGAGCGCATTTAAAGGAACACTCCAAACACCTTAATTTGTACCTCTTTCCTAGGATATGTGTAAGGGGCTCCTTGTCCTTCTGTGTACCATGACGTCAAGGCATTAACAGAATGGTAGTGTGGTCCCTGGGGCACTGGAATCAGGAATGCATGTTTGTCTTCGTACAAATTCAGTGAGCATTGCGTTTCCGCCGTACTTCTTACTTCCTCCTATTTCCTACAGGAAATAACATTTTCAGGCTTTAATAATGCCTCAACACTCCACATCTAATGGGATGTTAAATGCTGGAAGTGATTAAAATTTTTAATGCATTAAAATATTCAAAAATAAAATTAAAAACTGCTGCATTTGCTGGTTTGCTACTTTTTCAGTTAAGCATGCCATAAGAGAAAGTAGCCAGGAACACGGCTTTTGTGCTTTTGAGAAAAAAAAACTGAATTTAACATGATTTATGGAATAAGTAGTTAAAGGGTCACACTAAGCTCCGAAAAATACTACAAAATATTGATGTAGTGAGTTTTGTGCAAATCCCCAGTCTGGCAAATGAAAAGAGACGTTTCTAAGAAACCATTGCTACTGGAGAAGCTTCTTTATCAAGCCTTTCATTTGAAAGTCTCCAGGTTTGGTGTCCCCGAACCCTTTAAATGCTTCTCAAAGAAAAGCATTGGATTCGGTGCTTCTTTACCAGAAACATCTGATTGGCTGAGCTTTGTTATTGTCGCACATGTTTAGTAGTAGTGCCCCAATGCTGTTTATTTAATATATTTTAACAGGGTTATTTACTAAAAATTGTTGTGTATTCAACCATGTCAAAATCAGACGTCAGACGATGGAGGGGGACCTAATGTGCAGCGAGTGCTATGAGCACATTAGCCCTTCCCCATAGGAAAACTTTGGATCTGTGCTTTCCTGTGGGGTTTTGCTTAACATTGGGTGTTTTTACTTGACGTGAAGTGTCGATTCACAAGGTCAAACTCCTTTAAACTGCAGGAAGCACCACTAGTGGCTGTCTGGTAGAAAGCTGCTAGAGGTGGTCTTAGCACTGAAATGTAAACATTGCAGTTTCTCTAAAAATAGACACATGGGGCGGAGCCAAGCACACCGGACGCACATTACATGGGCTCCGTGTGAAACCGAGAAATTTCTAAAGAAAAAACACCCACAGAGACATAAAAACAGTGGCAGGCTTACCTATGGGGCGCAAAAGTAAGAAGCTTAAGCCGGATAAGCCCAAAACGAACATGCACATTGGGGAACTCCTGCGACGAGCGCATGGCTCACATCAAGGTACGAGGGGTTCCGGACGAAATCCCAGCAGGAGAACTACCGCACATGATGCGGAGACTGCTCTGCGCCCTTCTGACCCCCAAACAGGCCAAGAATGTCCACATTGATGGGACTTTTAAAATCCCAAAGCCACACCAAACACCTGCAACCACCACTGGAGACATAGTGGTACGACTAACCTGCAACAGAGATAAAGCAGCAATAATGGCGGCACTAAAAGGACTATCGCCTTATAGTTTCGAAAATGTCGCTGACATTTTACAATGACCTTTCAGGGGACACACTCAAATGGAGACACTCCCTGCGACCCTTCACAACAGCACTCAGAAACGGAGACATTCCGTATAGATGGCGTACCCCTCGGAAACTACAAATCACACAGGGAAACATCACTCACGAGATCCGAGATGTGGATGAAGCAGCTGCCATGCTGGCAACACTGGGTCTCCCGAAGGACTCACTTACCGGGCCTAGCACAAGAGGGGCCACCAAGCCGTCGCATGTCTGGGACCCAGCAAGAATCACCCCCTTTATCCCGGCGGATGGACGTGCCACAGAAGCAACCTGAGCAGATCGTTTATATTTTTAATTACTTGCTTTATTAGTTAAACCTGTTCATGCATATATGTTTAAGTTTACGATGACTGTATAACCAACACAACCTAATAGCCACTGACGGGGGCCAATATGGCCCGACAACAGAGAACCCATAATCTCTCCCCCCCCCAGCCTCTGCACCCCAAGACAATCCCAAACCCACTCAAGCTACACCCAGAGGCGTAAAATCTTTACGACCCAGCTAACCACCCAGATATTGATGACGCACCAACTCAAAACAAGCGCTCCGGAATTTGCGCAGTCTCCAACCTATACACTATGCTATCCCCTAACATTGACCTCCTACATGACTTAAGGAGCGTAGTGATGCCCACACAGAGGCCACAATCCAGCCGGCATAGGAGACACAGGACCAATCACTTCCATAGCCCTGACAGACCACACCACCTAGAGTACGCTAGGGCCTAAGCCATCATATTATGCATAACCCTGTAGAACCTTTTTGATAACTAAAGTTATTTACGTCACTTATGCTACTAAGCAGTAAAATACAAGCCCCAAGTTCCTCAGCCGAGCACAAGCTCTCTGTCCAACATATACGTTGTAACCTCAGCTGCGGATATACACTACACAGCTATGTTTCTACTTTAATGTTATATTCGTTTTAAAAAACTAAAATGTGCAACTCAATCCAGTCACGATATTGTACCTGTTGCTAAGCCTGTCCTGCTATCGTGGCACTTCAGGCCTGTATGTACATCCTATTGCACGAAAAATAAAGAATAAAAAAAAAAAAAAAATAGACACATAACCTGTAAAGTGGCAAGTCACTCTATAGGGTGTGTTTTTTTAGTACTTCGCACTAAGCTATGGGTCTGCATGGATGGATGTTTGGGATTTGTAGAACATGTCGTATGAGCTTTTGGCGGGACAGAGGAGTAATTATGGCTTCCTCTTCTAACGTTGGTTATTGATGGGTTGGGGTTTAAAGCTGCAGAGATCTTTACAAATGGCTGTAGTTAGAAGTTACTATGCCAAGGGAGACAAAGGAGACCACTTTATTCCTTAGCCTATGCAAGAACTATAGGCTGTTGCTCTGTGAAACATTATATAACCATCAGGTGCTACACCTTCAAAGCATACTTCTGATTTATTTACTTACTCACTTTTGTTTTATTCCACCATGTCTCGTACTGAGGCCGCAGCCATGCATTTGTTGTTGTTGTTGTTGTTGTTTTTTTTTTTGTTTTTTTTTTACTAAACCTGTATCCTGTATTTGTTCTTTCCTAGTTTCTCAATGGAGACCTGTATAAGAGACCCTTCAATGAGTCGTTTGAGGAGACCCCTATGTTTGTGGCTGTTCTCACTTACATGGGCTATGGAATCCTTACTCTGTTTGGCTACCTGCGGGATTTCCTCAGGGCATGGAAGATAGAAAAATGTCACAATGCCACAGAGAGGGATGATCAAAAGGTGAATACACACTCCAAAGCCTATAGTCATATATATATATAATTTTTTTGTTATTATTTTTTTTTTTTGGAAGTCTTCTAAATATCAGACATTCAGAGTGGCTTTTGTTGGACTACATTGACGCATGATGGGGCACTCAGTAGAGAGATCTTTTGGTTTTCCGCACGCGGGGAATTAGCATGAGGGGAGTGGGTTGCTCTGTATAACTGTATCTGGCTTCTTGTATGTGGTACACTGCTCATCAAACCATGGGATTCTATTTAACTCTTGATCTGTTTGAATTTGTGTTGCAGGATTTTGTGCCCCTTTATCAGGACTTTGAGAATTTCTACACACGCAATCTGTATATGAGGATCCGTGATAACTGGAACAGGCCTGTGTGCAGTGTCCCAGGAGAACGGGTTGATGTTTTAGAACGATATACAGATGATTACAACTGGACGTTTAAGTAAGTCTTGTAGCAATTGGAGCATATAAGGGTAATCCTCTAACACTAGAATGGCTAAGCGAAATTTCCTAGTGTCGAATGAATGTGTGCATTATAATTGGATATTGGTTCTGCAACCACCGTCCCCTCTACATGAATCTTTGTCTGCAATCATCGTGGACTCTGTTTATATTCTAGGAGCTGAGAATCTAAATAGAATGACTTAAAAAGGACCGTCAGAGCGCAATAACTGCTACTGTAGTGATAATGATGCCAGGAGTCCCTGTTGACATATTGCATGTTGTCATCAGGTCCAATTAGAGATATTGCTAAACTAGAAATTTATCAATTTTTTCCCCCCAAGTTTTAATGGAATTGAGACTGTCAACCAACACTCAGAATTTATGAATTTCATCCAAAAACAATGGAATATAATATTGCTAATGAAAAAAAGGGAGCTTCCTATTTAGAGATACCTCTAACAAGATGCCAGACCATGGACATCCGAGGGACTCACGGTTTGTTCTAACCTATGTAAAAACTGTGTGACACATAGCCATTACAACAAGCAGTAGTGGGTATGGTACTTATAGTCCTCCTTTATGTAGAACACCCACACTCAATGCCTTGAACATTGTCTTATTGCCATTGTTAGTAGTGTGTGGGTGAAGTTTTTCAAATGAATTGGTTTTAAGACTAACTGTTAAGGAACAGGTGCCTTGTGAGAAAGCTGTCTGAAAACTAAGAACTGCAGGAGACACTGCTGTTTTTATATCTTGCCTTCACACCAAGCCTAAATGTTGAGCTTCACAAAGCCCACAGTGTGTCCAATTTCAGCCAGAACTTGTGTGTTCTGTGAACAAATATGGTCCCCGATTTGTCTGTGATTGTTGTCTGTAAGCCCCAGTTGGCAATGGTCTATTTAGTATGTAACTGTTTTAAAACGTTCACACGGTTTGCTTTGTAAAAAGCACATCACTTGATGCATGGCTGGTTTTTCTTTAATATTAATATTCATTATTGGTGTAACTCTATAATATTGGATTATTGATCACTTTCTCCACCCACAACTTCTAGTGGTGCCAGCAGTAAGTTTCAAGTATTAATATTGAAATCAAGGGGAGAAGTCCGTGTGAGAGTTATCCCTGTGTTAAAATAATAACAATAATGAGTTTTATTGAGCAGTAAATTCTGATTTTTTTTTTTTTTTTTTTTGTTTGAAGAGTGTGCGATTTGTTTTAGGGAATGTTCTAGATTGGACTGTTTAACATTGCTTGCCCCTTCAGGTTCACAGGCCGGGTGATAAAGGGCGTGATTAACATGGGCTCCTATAATTACTTGGGCTTTGCACAGAACCAAGGTGTCTGTGCGGAAAGATCGGCGCAGGTACTGCATCAGTACGGTGGTGGAGTGTGCAGCACCCGGCAGGAAATGGGTGAGTTTGGTTGGAGCACAAAAGTCATTTTTGTTTAACTTACTCCTTTTTCAGTTTGAACCCTTCCTGTCTACTCTTATTCAGTTCGTCTCGTTTATGAAGATATCTTTTACCTTTTGTTTGTCCATTCTCATCTTTAGCTCTTCCATTTTACAGGAAACTTGGATAAGCACGAGGAATTAGAGGCCCTTGTTGCTCGGTTCCTGGGCGTCGAAGCTGCCATGACATACGGCATGGGCTTTGCCACAAATTCAATGAACATTCCAGCCTTGGCAGGCAAGGTGTGTGGTTATCCACCAGTGGGAGGATTGGCATGGATATTTGTTGTGACCTCTCTTTTTATTTAAGAGGACTACTGTTACCTATAGTTTAAACCACCTATTATCCTTTACAGAACACCCTGGTGGTGCTGGTTTTATTACTTCATTTTGAAAATTACGTGTTAGAGTAAAATAATATAATACAGAATGCACACTATAAACAACCACGATTACCAAGTACAAAACTTTAATAAGTAGGCAAATTACAATGAATAACAAACACTAAACTAAGTAACAAAATGAGGTAAATAGTAATCAAGAGTAATTTACCCACATTTTCCAAGCCTCAAGGCAGAAACACAAGTAACCAACTCCCCCCAACGTTTTGGCACCAAATGGTACCCTTGATAACATTTTGTATTTGATAATTGTGGTTGTTATAGTGTGCATTCTGTATTATATATAGATCTTTGTATTTAAGCACTTGAGGTAGTGTTTATATGGTTTCCACCTGGCTTTTTGTGACTATTAATTTGTGTCTCCGTGTGATTTTGGTTTATATAGAGTAAAATTAAATATCATTTGTCACCTATTGCAGGGCTTGAACAATTTGCTTTCAATCTAGGAGCCAGCTAAAAAAGTTAGGAGCCAGTTTCTGCGCCCTCCCCACCATGACAAAAATACAATTCTTAAAGTTACACTATAGTCACCAGAACCACTATAGCTTAATGTAATGGCTCTGTTGTATATAGCCTGTCCTTGTAGACTTTTCAATGTAAAAGCTGCCTTTTCGGAGAAAAGGCAGTTTTTACATTGCTGCCCAGTAACACTTCTAGTGGCTGTCACTCAGATGGCCACTAAAGTGTCTCCTATCTTAATCCACAATGAGCAGCACCTACATTCAGCGTTTCCATGCTCTGCATGGAGGCGCTGAACGTTACCCATAGAGATGCTTTTAATGAATTGATTTAATGCATCTCTATGAGGAGATGCTGATTGGTAATTGATGATCTGAGCTACAAAGGTGGGCCAGCTACAGCGAGACCAGTACGGCGCTGGGTAAAAAAGGTAAAAACATAATTCCCATTGCGATCGGAGGGGGCTGGTGACCTAAACCTACACATTCATTGACAGACTTCCGGACTGACACACTGAGAGAGACAGTCACAGAGAGAGACAGAAACACTGACAGATGCAGACACACACACACACACACACACACACACTGACAGAGTCACTGAGACTGACACACACAAAGTATTATTATTGATACACTCAAATATATACACACACACACTCATACATAAGCACAGACAAATACACATACAGACATGATAAATACACAGAAATTAGAAAAGAAAAATACATATGTTTAGCAACCCTCCTACCTTTTCAGCTCAGGAGGGTGGTTCCCCTGGGGTCCAGTGGGACTGGGCAGCTGCAGGTGAAAACTGGTTAGTGGGGCTGGCTGCGGCTAATGGGAGTAGGCAGCCGCTGTTTCAGACTCCCTGCTTCCGCCTCCTCCTGTCTCTCCAGCCCCGTGTGAGCCGAGAGGAAGTGAAGGGAGCTTTAATAACTTCCTCTCGGTGCTGAGGTCACACAGGGTAAAGGGTGGCTGGTCGGCTCTGCGGCGTGGGGGAGGGAGGCGGCCAGGGAACAGGATCGGCTCTGCAGCATGCCGGCGGGAGGCGAGCAGGGTTGGCTTTGCTTTACCTGGTGTCCTGCCAGGTTAGCTTGTCATGCCCCTGTGCTGCCTCTGCACCTGGAGGAAGTAATTACAGTTCTTTACTTCCTCCCGGCGCACACAGCGCTGCACGGGGATCGAGACAGGAGGAGGAGGAGGGAATGGGCTGACCAATCCCAGGTGCCAGGACAAAATATTGAGTCGCCATGGCGACCTGGCGCCTGGGATTTGTTGAGCCCTGACCTATTAAACTTTGAATTCTTGCAAAAACTACTAATCACACCATAAACTCCAATTTACTCATTACACAGGAAATAGTCTGATTATTTTATTGGTAGGAGGCCTAGATATTTGAACAGAAAATTAACTTGCTGAGTTCAATTGCAGCATTAGAAGATGACATGCTTGACAGTTTTTTTTTAATTAATCACTGCACAATTCTAGAACTCGTTGACTGGATTAAGTGAATCCAATATTGGTTTATAATGTTTATATCTCCTTTTATTTCAGGGCTGCCTAATTTTGAGTGATGAGCTAAACCATGCTTCTCTGGTTCTGGGAGCTCGGCTCTCAGGGGCCACAATACGGATTTTCAAGCACAACAGTAAGTAGAAGAAGGCACCCCCTAGAGCTGCATCCGTTATGTTTCTTGAAATGCAAGAATTCTGTGGACAATGCTTTATTATTATTATTAAAACCAAAGAAAAAAGTTAGTTGTGCACTATTCCAAATCCCCATGCATATTTATATAAATGGATGTTTTTTGTTTAACTCCAGTGGCCATTAGATGTAAGCCCACCTGCCACGTCAAGGCAAACCTCTTAGGTGGGTCCTACACTAACAATTTACCTTGCTTCCTTCAGCTTCAGGCATAGAAATCTGAGACAGAAAGGAGTCTATAATGAGGCAAATCATGACCGCAAAACTAATAATTGTTCTGATTTGTTTAAACATTTTGTTATTGAAATTATTTTTGTCACATTTAAGACTGTTACAGCAAACTTTGGCTTTAAGTCTGAGCCAGCGATCAGGCTATATCAGTGTATGAGATTTCTGATCACACTGTCTTTTTGCACAGACATGCAGAGTCTAGAGAAGTTACTTAGAGATGCCATTGTGCAGGGACAGCCACGCACTCACAGACCCTGGAAGAAAATCCTGATTGTGGTGGAAGGAATTTACAGGTAGAAACTGATTTTTGCAGTGTTCTTAGTATATTTGTCTGGAGAGAAGATTGATAGTAGTTCTTGTGTGAAAAAGTAGCAGTTTCCATTAGACAAGAAAGAGTCCAAATAAAATTCCGGTCAATCGTCGGAACAAATCCATCCTGAAAATTTGGTTCATTCACAAACTAACCGAATCAGTCACCCAAATTAAAATGTGTTTGTGTTTTTTTTTTTTGTTTGTTTGTTTGTTTTTGTTTTGTTTTTATTTGGTTGATTTGATTCTGATTCAGTTCACTTTTGAAGGAACCAAATTTTCAGAACAGATCAGTTCAGCTATTTCCAGGAATTGTAGATTCAGTGTATATGATATAGGGAAATAGACTGGCTTTCTCTCTGTTTCTGGGAAAGGAAGCAATCAGCTTTTTTATTGGAATTTTTGTGCAGGGAAGATGTAAGCATTTCGCAATGTTTGCGTGGGGTGGGTGTTAAGTGTTTCTCAATGGAATACATTCACTAAATTATGTAATATTGTACATTTGAATAAATTTTTTTTTTTGTTTGTTTCTAAAAGCTTCCAGCTTGGTTATACATTACCCATAATTCACTCTTAAACCTAAATGACCGGCTCAATTACTAAATTGTATATTTTGTAAAATTAACAACTCTCCTAAAATTGGGCTATGTTACAGCTCAAGTATGTTGGCCTCATGTTTTCTGTACTTATGTGAAGTCCTTATAATGTACAGTTTAGCGAATAACCCAAGGGTTTTTTTTTTGGTTTTTTTAAATGAAATCTTAACGAATTTTATCCAGAGTTGAAGCCAACATAGGCAAATTTGTCAAATTCTCCAACGTTGCTGTGGTCATTGCTTGGCTATTTTAACCTCATTTTTATCATTTGGATTTATTTTGCTAATTTTTTTTAATTTTTAGCTAATAATCCTGCGTGTGTGTGTGTGTGTGTGTGTGTGTGTGTGTATATATATATATATATATATATATATATATATATATATATATATATATATATATATATATATATATATATATATATATATATATTGGGGGTTGGTGGAGGGGAGCGTGTTTTATTTATAGAAAGTCTTTCATTGGGGTTCACTTTTTAACTATACCAAACTGAAATACGAAGTTCAGTATTCAGGCTAAGATATTCAAACTGTGAGATTTTATTTTATATTTTTTTTGGTCTAAATTTTGCAATTCCCAGTATAGTAAATCCCATTGTATGGCATTGTAAGGGTTTGCATATATCTACATGCTCAGCATACGCACTTGTTAGATCTCATTTGGTGGAAGATGTGTATGTGGAAGAGTTGTTTGTTGTGTTGAGGGATCGTTTGGGAATGGAGTTGGTGCTATATGTTGTCTATGCTGGCAGTGGACATTAATGGCCCTTTTTATATCTGTGTTTCTTCTTAGCATGGAGGGTTCCATTGTCAGACTTCCCGAAGTAATTGACCTGAAGAAGAAGTATAAAGCCTACCTTTATCTGGACGAGGCACACAGTATTGGGGCATTGGGTCCAACTGGGCGAGGTGTTGTCGACTACTTTGGTTTGGACCCCAGAGATGTTGACATCATGATGGGAACATTCACCAAGAGCTTCGGTGGCGCAGGTGGATACATTGGAGGCAGCAAGGTATTGCAGCTTTACTGAAGGTTCTTCAGTGACCTCACTTTCTACTGACTAATGCCATATACACAAGCTGGTTGAGGTTTATTGGCCATCTTCTTGCTGAGTGAAGACAAGAAGCAAGATAGCTTTTGGAAAATCGTAAATCCTCTGGTGCTGTTGCATGAGTGTCCCAGCAGAGGGCACCATACGTACATTACCTGCACACACACACACTGTAGTTAATGAGAACTCAATTTTCTGTTGCTCGTTCGTCCTATTTAAGTGTTACCTTGTTGATAGTGTGTACTCTTGAGAAATGCTGTTTAACAAAACAAACAAGTTACATAATGGAAACTGTGCCAGTACATGGCATTAAACTAATGTTCTAATTTAACACCTTCCCGATGTGGGGTGGTTACTTGTATAAAATGAAAAAAAACTTGCTCCAGTTTAATTTTTTTTAAATGTATTACTATTTGGGAACTTGAATTCAGTGAAGGCTTGGTATGGACAGTGGTGTCAGCCTTAATGGTAGAAAGTTAAGAAAAAATAGTAATGTTTTGCATGAATTGTTCCACTCCACATTGGATGAAGAGATCTGGTTAAATTGTTGCTCAAAGGAACATCACAGCTATGTATGATTAGAATGTGCATCCTACACCTGAGCGAGGCTTAGAATTTCCAGCATTTTATGAAACTCTAAGCCAGCCCTTTTTGAGCGTCCAGTTTCTGCTAGCAGTCTTCCCATATGCACTCTCAAGTCATTAAAGTGACGGTTGCTCTCAATTAAAAATTTTTGGATAAATAGCCAAACTAGAAATTAATTCCGTTCTGATTTCATTGTGGTTATTGTGGCCTACGTTTTAAATACACTTTTAACTCCCATCTGTTTTTACTTTAGTGAAAAACCCTGTTAATATACAGACTCTTGATTATTTTAGTTTTTGTTTTTAAATTAATTATAGAAAACCATAGAAGTAGGGTATGTTTACACATTTAGAGATACTGTATGTTCTAATTGTGATATTTGTGAACCTGCATAAAATTAATCTAACCTCCCCTTCCCCCCCCCCCAAAAAAAATAAATGCATAAATAAATTCAGTATAGAAAACACTAAAAATAGCGTGTAAAACACTCAATATAGTGGGTCAGTTTACATCTTACTACTTACAAAAATGTCAGCTGAGCAGTACAAGATCTCTAAATTATTGGGACCCAGTCCCATCGACTGATCTCAACAACTCAAAAACTTTCCTATGGTTTGTAAGGGATGATATGTGGTGAAAGTAAGCTAACTAATAGTGAAATTAATAGTAGCCATGTTTTGTCAGGCTCTTGTGGATATCAAATGAAAGAGCAATTAAGAAAATGAAGTCCCAGTAAAACTATCAAAATAGCTCTTAAGTAATTAAAGGGGGAAAAAAGCCTCTCTTATAAAGGCGTTTATCATATTGGTCCTAAAATGCTACCAATCTGTCTGGCCATCGCTGATACAGTCTAAGTAGACTCCTGCTCGAAGGGCAAAATGTCAACATCCAGTATTTTCATGCATAAAATCTTACCTGAAATTTCAAAATTCCACTTGACCCAGGTGGAAATTTAAAATTAATTATTTTTTGTGGCTTTATGATCTATATTTTTAGATTTTAATCACTCTCTACATTTTATTAGTGCAATTTAAAAAAAATATATATACATATTTCTTATTTTTTTGGGCCAGGTTCTTATAGACTACTTACGAAAACATTCTCACAGTACGGCGTACGCTATCTCTATGTCACCACCAGTGGCAGAGCAGATCATCACTTCCATGAAGTGCATTATGGGTGAAGATGGCACCAGTCTTGGTGAGTTAAACTGCACAGAGAGGGCAAAGTTGCCCAGTTTTTGACAGATTTGCCAGCATGCTTTTCATGCCAACAACAGATGCCAAATTTCTTCAGTGAGTGTGTGTATATATAGATCTACCTTTCTATCTCTCTATCTCCAGTATCTTCATGCATAATGCACACGTATGTATGTATATAGAAAGATGTAGATATATGTTTAGATATATAGTGTGTGTGTGTTAGAATGATATAGCGAGAGAGATGTAGTCGGTGCTTAAAAGCCGTAACCTAGAAGTATAATTTACGTCGGCGGCAAGTCTGAAAATGGAAGCGGGCCTACCTTATGCAATATGTGTTTAGATATTGGGAGAGGATGGAGGGGTGACATGACACGCAGAATATGATGTGGTGACTGGAGAGAGCTGGGGATTTCTGTAAATAGCCCGACTAGCCCCTCCCATTACTCCAGCACCAAGGACACTTAGTCACTTAGACACGTAGTACTTTGAAATGTGCTATAACCTAAACTCTTATACTTTCCCTGCTGCACGTGTGTATGTATTTATTTTCTTTCATTAACTAACCTATAAATGTGTATTTGAATTGTTGACGTAAATGTCCAGTTTTTATTTTGGGGTGATCTTCTAATTTTTCATGATTTTCGTGTTTTTCGTATGTTTTTGGGGGAGGCTGATACATTTTATCTATGTTGTGGGAATGCTGTGCAAGGTCCAAATATATAGAACTGCTAATCAATGGGATGTGGCTGGATTCTGGGGTAAGCTGCGTTTGTACGGGTGGAAGCTGGTAAACATTTTGTTATACAATGAAGATTCAGATCTCTCTCCTCCTCCTATTGTTCATTAGTTTGTCTTACTAACTAGCTTAATTAAGATTTTTTTTCTCACCATGTCGTGCTAAATCTCAGGGTTTCCAAGGGTTAAAGCAAGAGATTGTAAGCTGCATAACTTCATAGTTTAAGTATTGATCGTTATTCCATATGCAAGTCAAGAAGAGATTTCAGAAAGTGTATGCCATATAGACAACCAGCCTGCTTGCAAACCATGGTAGTTGGTCGATTTTTGTTTTTATTTGCGTCTTAGCTACACAGGTTTGTCTGGTCCTGATTTAACGAATATTAGCAATCATTTCCTTCCTTTGAATTCCCTAAAATATTTTTACCTAATGATCTTAATCGTTTACACCCCACATCTCTCTGCCTTGTGTGTATAACTAGATCAGTTCCCTACAAATTGTAAGCTTACGGGCCAGACTCTCAGACTGATACTCTGGTTTGTTTCAGTTTGACAAACCATGGGCTTTCTTTATTTTTCTTCTTTATTTTCTAAGGGTTAAACCTTTAATTATTGTCATATTACAACGCACAGCCATAGTGTGTTATGCAAATATATTCATTTTAACACCATCTGGGACTCATTGAACAGAAGCAGACTGTCTTAAGACCTTTGCTATGTAGCAATAATTACTATGTCTTTAGGGAGTAAAATCTACATTTCAATTTGGAGTGTATATTAAACCTTTCGGTATGTGAGATTAGACTCTGTGCTAATAAATTGTGACAATTAGGTTAAAATAGTGCTGTCTGCCATGGTGCTTTGCATGGGTCTTGCTGAATCCCAGGCATCTTTTTAATTTTCTTTTTGTTGGCGGCATCATCATTCATAGCTGTAGTAATACATACCTTGAATTGGTGCTGTGGAATTATAGTACAATTTTGTATTCTGTAATCATTTTAGATGGACATTGAAACACTGTATAAAATACAAACGTAAACGGGATAGGTTGAGAGTCCTGCTCCAGGTAGCTTACAGTCTAGATGGAAGAATATTGGGGGTGAAAGCATGAACTAGATAGAACTTCACAATTGCCCACAAACTGGGTCTGGTTTTTGACATTGCTACAGAATTGGAGATAGCCTTTCCACTGTAGAATCACACCCGGTTGCTCAATCTCTGGATAGTCAAGAAATGTGCCCTTTTCTCAATATCTACAAAGTAAACTTGTAAATGATGCTTGTTAATAATAAGGCGGCTGTTTGCTTTTGCCTGAATGATTACAAAGTCTCCAGATTTCATATTCCTGGACTGGATTGTCAACATGTGTTTGCATATTTGTCTGTGTGTGCAACTTCCTGTTGGTTGTTGTGGTTGCGAAGTGGTACCTAATCTGATTTATATACCATGGTTAAACCCTCAGAGTCATCGTGCTCCCAGGGGGAAGTTGGGGTGAGGGGCATTCTGCATGGTCACGGAGAAGGAGGCAAAGGTGGATAATTGTAGGGAATCTCTGAAGCTTTCCCTCCCTCTTGTCTCGTCTCCCCAGAGTCTGTCTGCGATAAAGAAATGTTTGGACAAAAGGAGCAGGATATGACTCTTGCCTGTATGTCACACTTCAAGAGCCTGGGTCAAGTTAGGATAATTAAAACATTTGTGTCCTTCTGGAGTGCCCATCCCTTCTACAGTGAATTAAAGAGTTAATCTGGTCCCAATTATACAGAGTTGGCAGTGTATTAGTGAGCTGCAGTTAATGTGGCACAGTGTGAATGGGCAACTGTGCCAAGCTTTGCCATTTTGTGTAAACTGAACCTGCAGTTGTATGCCCTGTATAAATGCTTATGCCACGGCTGTCTCACCTCTTTCAGATGCCCACCCTTTTTTATTTATTTTTTGCCCTTGGATGTATAGTCCCTCTTCTACCCCCTTACTCCTCCATCCCCTGATCATTGCCCCAGGGCAGCAGAAGGGGCCCCCTTCACACAATTTAAGTCCATCATGATCACAGCAGTAAAGAAATTGATTCCAGACTCTGTGGGGGACGAATAGGAAAACATAGTATTTTGGCAGTCAGTAGAAAATGTGACCCAGAGCGGTTTGGGGAGCGGAAATGAAACTGACAGGAAAACGTCTTCGTATTTATATGATTACACTGATCTCCGGGAGCCATTTCTCCCAAACTGTACTCCCAGCCCCCGCTACCTGATACCTGACTACTGGAGGGAAACTCTTTAAACCTTCTACTCAACATTCTTATACGATGACACTGTGTGGAGCAAGTTAATATTATGTTTAATTTAAAGTCGTGCTCAAGGGGTACTGTGTAATCTGTTGTTCTAGAACAGATTTGTTATTTATTTATTTTTATTTCAATTATTATACAAGGGATATGCGGATCTGTTGTTCCATTGTATTTTTTTTAAATATATTTTTATATATATATATATATATATATATATATATATATATATATATATATTTTTCTTTTTTGATTTTTTTTTGTGTGTGTGTGTGTGTGTATATATAATATATATTATAAAAAAAAAAATGTATGTATATGCATATAATCCCCTCCAATATTGTAGTAATGTAGTACACCAGGTTCAACATCATGTAACACTTGCAGGTATGCTTCCATAGTGCACAAAGTCCGACTTCATGTGGCTGCACACCACATTTTCTTTGGCAGGGTTTCTGGTCCTGGACCCTCCATAGTCCTTTATAACAAGCGGTATACATCCACGAAGACCTTAAAATTCTCTTTTATATTGATTTGCCTCGGTAGAAGAGGGAATGGTAATTTTGAACCCTGCCTAACATCAAACTTTAGGTCAGCATGTTACCACAATACCTATTGTAATACTGGAGCAATTAACGTGCTAATTGGTTCTATTTAGCAGCATGCTGATGGGAACATGTTCATTAAATCTATGGTCATTCGGGAGAGTAGTCTATAGATACCTAGCGTTATGCTAGAGGTGAACGTGTTATTTTGATGTCCCTGACATAATGATAGAGGGAACTATATTAATCACTATATGTAGCAACATGTTAATCTGTTATAACAAACTAGAGGGGAACATTTTAATCTGTTATACTCGCCACTGTGAGGAACCATGTGTTAATCCATCATTAACAGAATCATGGTAGAAGGCAACGTGTTCATCCATTACATTTGTTTTCATGCAGGATCTTTTTTTTTTCTTTTTTTTTTCTTTTTTTTTTTGGAGTTGCTAATGTGATAAAAGCAAACTTTTTCACTCCATTGTTCTGATCATTTCCCAAATGTCCCTCAGAAGTAGACATAGCGGAAGACTTAAAGTTAAATAACCACGCAAAAATGTTTTCTGGGAACAGGACCACACTGATGCCAAATGCAATTTATTGTGTTATGATATTCATTTATTGCTCGGCTTCAGCCATTTTTTAAGTGAGTTCTTTTGGAAGCCAACTATATGTTAACCCTTTCATTACTCCACCTCCTAAGAAAGGTTGGTACTGTTTGAACCAGGCCCAGGAGATTTGTCCTGGTCTAACGCCCCTCTGTCTCCACAACTTGAAAGGATTTTGTGAAGCATTGAATTATAACATCTGGAGACACCCTCTGTCTCCTGGAGTGGCCTCCCTTCCTCCAACATCTGGAACTGGTTACTGGAAAGAGGGGGGGCAGCGGCAGAGTCCTTCATGTGGGAAGATAGTGGGTAGAGAGGCAGATTGGGTAACAGAGCCCTACCCACCATCTCTATCACTTTGTCCTGAGAGATGGATTTTACTCCCCAGTTGTACCTCCCTGTATAATGCAATTTTTTATTTTTTTATTTTTTATTTTTTTTTGGCCATTAATAATTCGATGCAAGCTTCCTCAGAACAGAAGAGGGTGTATCACAAATCGTTTATGCTGAGAACGAGTGCATTATTATGTCTGTTATACAGACCCTCTAACTTTATCACTCTGAAAAAACAAGAACGTGTTTGCTTTATTAGCACCAATTATCTCTCTGCTTAGAGGAGACATGCACTGTCCTCGCTGCAGGGTGACACAGTGACGCACACACTTGTGATCTGTGACCCCACTAATAGGATTACTAAATCTCTCTCCTACGTCATACAATAATTGGACTTGTTTGTGATTCCTCTGAATCCGTACCAACAACTACAGTAAAATATGAACTGTATCTGAAACACTTGCGACTCGGTGGCAAAGCCTTATACCCACTACCATACTGCGCATTATTTGAGACAAAAATGTAAACCTAAAAGTGTGCCTTTTTTTTTATTTATTTTTTTCTCCTCGCTTTTCTTATTCGTTTGCAGGAGTCTCCTGCCTTGCCTAATAAATGTCCCAATTAGCAGTAGTAACGGAAGGGATTCCAAGCTCTGCGTGGGGCTACTATCGCAGGGGGTTGGATTTCCCCGCTTTAAATTTCTAAGATTTAGAGGGAACACCCTATAGCCCGTTTCTTGGCGCTTTTTTTCTTCTTCTTCTTTTCTGCTTGGAGCATTGTTTATATTGCCTGTAAAGTGCACCATAGTTGGCGGCAGATGTACTGTGGTACTTGTTTTGGTTATGTATTGACTCTCTCTATTTTTATGTAGATATATCTCTGTGGTTATAAACAATAGTACTGTAGGACTGGCCAGTTATATCGGGCAGTGTTCACATTGTTGCTGTATCTTTATGATTTGTTGTATGTAATATTTATATTGTGATTACCAATTAAGCACCCTGTATTTTGAAATGTGAAAAGTTCATTTGCTAAATTTCAGTGGAGACGAAACATCTGTTCTTTGTTTCTGAATGAAGCAGGAAAACTATTTAAAACAACCATTCTTTGGGGGGTTTTTTTTCTTCATATTTTTTTTTTTTTTATTGTATTCATTTAAAAATAACAATCAAAATAATACCCTTACCATCTAGGTAAAAATGTATCCCATATTTTGAATATATTTGTATAGGTAAGGAATAAAAAATATTTGCAAACATTGGCATTTTTATTTATTTATTCCATCAAAGTGATCCTTTAGTGCCCTGCTTAGTGGATCTGTCTCTAGCTCCCAGACCATGTTTTAGTCAGAAGCGTCTCGTTCTGGTTTTTGGAGACTAATCTGACCACACAATCCCACCTCAAGCAGCGGGATTATGGGTCAAGTAGTTTATGCACAAAGAGGTGTTTCAATTATCATGTAAGTTGAGGATGACTGGAACTGCAAAATAAACTTATAAAGACAATACTACACATGCAAATAGTTTGTGCACAGCTTAGTTCACGGTTTAGTGAATATGGTGTCTTTTGCGCTCAGGAATGAACATGCTCTCATGTACAGTCTGCTGCTGAACTTTCCCTTCTATGTAGAGACTAGAGAGAGCCTTCTATATTGTTTTTGTGGAATTGACACTCACCAGAACGTGTTGTTTCTGCGCAGACTAAATGACAGCCCAAGATTTTAATTTGACAGATTATGGCCACTATTTTTCACTAAACACTGAATTGTAGTAAGTTTAAAAAAGCAAAACATACGTTGTGTGATCAAGGCTAAAATAAGTCATGGGTTTAGCTGAGCTGTAGTGTTTTCTCATCTGTTATATTGGCCTAACATTTGCAAGCTCCTGGTGAATTCATGACCATTCATGGTTTAGTGAATAACCTGTAGGTCAACACCCAAACAAACAAAACAACAAAAAAGAGCAGGGGAAGGAGGTGGGAGAGGAGGGGAATTTAGAGTGCTTGTTGGGAGAGTTGTATTTATTTTCTTATCTATTTTTTTTTTTTAATTGTCTCCATCTTTGCCACAGCATTTAGGGTTCTTACTGGTCATGAATGTAGGCAATTGTTTTTTGAAACGTTCACTATTCACCTCCTTTAGTTTATTTTCTACTGTTGATGTTGTTGGTACCACACTTGGTTTCCAAATTATGTTCTAGAGGAGTTTTTGCTTTCCATCTGACTCGACACTAAAGCAGTTCAACAAAAAGTTGTTATATTTTAGTTAAACTATTTTTGTATGGGTTTCCAAAACCCATCCTCATGAAGCACCTACTCTCCAAGATTTATGGATTTTCCAGTCTGTTTTACTAGGGCTATATCTATAAACTTGGGCTGTATTATGTTCTAGAGGATCAGGTTAATTCTCACTGACCTAGAGGTCAAACATTACGTCTACGTGTTCACTAAATAACTTTTAAATACATTCTTCATTAGGCCAAGAACGTGTGCGGCAGTTGGCAGAAAATACACGTTATTTCCGCCGAAGACTCGCTGAGATGGGATTCATCATCTATGGTAACAGCGACTCTCCAGTAGTTCCACTAATGCTGTATATGCCAGCAAAAATCGGGTGAGTAACAGGCGAGAAATATTGTATAACTTGTGTTAAAAGCAGCACTTCTAGTAATGAATTGCTGCATTGTATTCTGATATATATATTTGGCTTGGAAATGTTTGTAGCTAATGAATATTTGTTTGTTTCCAGAGCGTTCGGGCGGGAGATGTTGAAGAGAAATATTGGGGTTGTGGTAGTGGGTTTCCCAGCGACCCCAATCATAGAGTCCAGGGCTCGCTTCTGTGTCTCTGCTGCACACACTAAAGAAATGCTTGACCTGGTGAGTAGTTTGCTCATTCCTTGCTCTGACTACTTTCCTATAAGAAGAAAAGGGTCAAACATTAGATTTTCCACGAGGCCATTTCATTTTTAAAAAAAATTTTATTCTTGATATTTGAGAAGACAGCACAACTTTGTACATAACGGTAGTCATTCAGATAAACTGTATACACTTCTGTCGACAATACAATACATCACTTTCATGACTTGTTTCGCAAAGATGGCTGTCAAACTTTTATGAATGTAAAAGCAGAAATATGACAAATAGGAAAGATATGACAGGCAACAGTACCCTCTGCCACTGCTGAAAGGTGGGTTTATTCGTGGTCATACTAGTGCAACGTGGGATGCTCCAGGGTGGGTTTTGCACCTGATAGCCTCCCTGGGCATAGTATCTTTTGCATTAAATATGTGTGGTATGCAGTAGGTGGCAGAGAGATATAGAAAGGTAGTAGCAGTTATAAGTCTAAGTAGGAGTATGAGCAGGTCAGCAGATCCAGAGGTGTGTTGCGTACTTCTCTCATTGTCTGGAGGGAGTGTCTGGCCACAGCCCCCCTAGTATGAGGCCATTTCTTGTATGCCGTATGGGGCTTCAGTTCAACACAAAGACTAAGATGTCTTCTATATTTTTCTCCTCTTTCTTCAAAGATCAAGTTTCTTTCCTTTTGTTTTCTTCTCTCCCTAAATAACAACTTTTCCCCAATGCGCATTATGTTACTAGATTTTTGTTTATGCCAATTATTGTTATCTTCCGATTATCTTTTCATTATTACCAGGATATAGATTTTAAAGGGTTTAAAAGTTTTTGTGTTCTTTCAGGCTCTACGAGAAATCAGTGAAGTTGGGGACTTGCTGCAGCTAAAATATTCTCGGCATCATTTTGTGCCATTGCTTGATCGGCCCTTTGATGAGACCACATATGAGGAAACAGAGGACTGATACCTGCAGGATGCAATATAGTGTAATCATACACCCTTATGATTGCAGCTGGAGAGAGACACCTTTCTGGGGGATGTTTTATATATGTATTATTTCTTTTTTTTTTTTTTTATATATTTATATATTTTCATTTATTTTCAACGCGACCTGTGACGACTCCAAATTTTCAAGTCTGAGGCTACGTTCCCCATCTAATCTCTTGCAAGAAAATGGAACTTTCTTCACCGCACTTAAACATAGCTGTTACTGGTCACAGTGTGTAGAATGGGTTTGTCCAAGGAATAAATGTTAGTAACAGCACAGGTGCTATTTAATGTGCTGTGTACAAGGGAGGCTGATGCTGTGAACGTGTGCTCAGGGAGAGGCTGAAACTGTTTGTGTGTGAGGCTGGCAAGTTGAGAGAGACAAAGGGTTTGCTGGTGGCTCTCAAAAGCTTTCTGTGTCGGAAGATTTTTGTCTTCCGCACTTCATATCAAGGTCTATGTTTCCACAGCATATGCCACTTTCGGACCCTATACACGATGATATTCATTTGTTAATTTCCAGGACCTTCTCATTTCATTGTCCCTAAAACATTGCCCACCTGTCTTGGAGAATAGGGTTACTAGGAATATATCTTTAAAATTAAATAGATTAAGTCAATAAAGCCAAGTTGGAAAAAGAATCTCATTCCTGATCAAATTGTTGTTTTTTGCTAACCTTTAATCGTCTCACAACTTGAGTCAATCCTGTCCATTTATTTCTTGGATAAATTCTAACATGGGGCACGAACTTCAATCTGTCAATTACTAAATTATCTTAAGGAAGAGCTGAAGGTTCTCCAAGTGATGGCTGTTTTTAGGGTTTAGAGATCTGTATGGAGGGCCAACCAGACGAATTTTAAGAAAACAAGATTTTGCTCTACACATGTGAGATTTTCAGGGTATCTCTCTCTATCTGCGCATGGCAGTCTATTCTAAGAGTGACCATTATAATAGTCATCCATCTTTTACTGAACTGTTTTTAACATGTCTGCACATGCATTTGCTGGTGTGTGATCTAGGATGAGTGGTACAGCAGTAAGCCTGGGAATAGGGACCAATATTTTAGTCACATGATGAGTGGAAGGATAATAGATTTAACTGGATACTAGTTTCCAATCAAAATTCTAACGTTTTAAATAAAACAAATATGCTGCCCTGGCTTTACATTAATGTACAATCCTTTTCTTTTGAGTAAATCCACTCTGTGCAGACAAAAGGGTGGCCAACGGGTGCCATGCAGGCTGGATAGAGTGACTGGAAGGCACTGTGATGTTCAGCTTCCTTTGCCTCATTTGAGTCTAGTTTTATTCTGTGCGCCAAACCTATATGGTAAATGGTCTTAAATTGTGATTCTTTTTGGCATGAAGTATGAACAAACTGACCGGAAAGAATACAGACTTTGTAAAATGTATTAATTCTCTTTACAACATTTTTGTTACTGTTTTTGAAAAACACACTGTGTAAACTCCACCATCTGCTTGGGAGCGAGTTAAATTGTCCACTGCTAATAAATAAAATCCATTTATTTTCATTTTCCTGCCCTGTGTTTCATCTTTACAGTGCTCAGATCACACTGAACCCTTCCCAGATCTGGATACACGTGTACACCAACAGCTGTCCGTGTATTGTGTCTTACATTGTTATTGTCACACGGGTGCATAGAACAGCAAGGTGTATAAATCTATTAATATTAAAAATATATATATATATTTATATATATGATGTGTATTATGGTTGTGCTGCATAACTGCTTTGTATTGCTTAGTATTTAGAGCTTTAAGAACCTCTGACTGGTCACATCACCAGTTGATTTATGTTACTACTCAGTAGAGCCTATGAAATGGGAAATCTTATAAAACATCCAAGGTTGACATTGGTCGGTGGATTTCCAGCAGAGTGTGGGGGTGGCCAATGGCTAACACTATCAACAACACAAAAAAATGCACATCCAATCATAAAAAATTGCTGTATTTTGCTGCTCTTTAATATGGCATGCCCATAATTATGCTAAACAAAATGTCTGCTAGTGTTGCTCATTATTGGCACACGTGTAAAAATGTATTGCTGCTCTTCATTAGTGCTTTGACATTCACTGTTCTTGCGCTATGATGGGCCGTGTGTGTGTTTTTATTTTACAGCTCTTGTGTTCAAATTTCCTGGTCTTTAGTATAGCCGGCATGTTACATATTTCTTGACTATGCGTTCTCTTTGTTCCCGGTTTTAAATGGCTGCTCCAACCACCATGACCAGTTCATTGATTTGAAGTGGTCATGGTGGTTGGCGTTTATATGTGCCACATTTCTACAGTAAACACTGCACATGCAGAGTAATTTAAATTATGTGCTGGGGCAAGTTGCGCAGGTAACAGACCTAAAACTCTTCCACCTTGCAGACATATTGCCTTCAAGAGGAAGATAGATTTCCCCTCCCTTGCCTTGGTGGATCAGACTGAGCTCTGATAAACTTGAGATTATGTCAGGACGGGGCGTGGAAAATGGTGCCGGAAGCTGTGCAAAACATAAGGGTGATCATTGGTGAGTGCAAGACCTTTTTATTCTCTTTGTTTCAATAAAACTCAACCATCCGTATCAAAAGGTTGTGGTTTTTGGTGTTTTGTTTTGTATTTTTGCATAGAGATCTGATTTACAATGATAAATTACATTCTTGAATCTGATATTTTAAACTGGCACATATGTATCTGCAGGCAGGGATATAAGCGGACAGTATGGAAAATTGCACACCCCTTGTGCATACACATGCCTGTAATGGAACCCACTTCTACTGCCATTTCGCAAACTCATTGAAGTAATGTGAGAAACCGTACCTGGTGTTGAAATAAAGATGAAATTGATTTTGCCAATGTGGAAATAGAACAACTGCATAAGTGATGATGGTGAGCAGGGTGTTTGGGTGTGGCTGCCATGGGGACCCTATTGTTTTTGGTAAATCACTCAAACTGTGCAACCAAGAATACCATTGTCATGCAGTGATTATAGTGCTTAGAGCTATGCTTTGATTAGCCATTTGGATTGCAGTTTACTACATATGCAGAGAACAGAATAATTTATATATATATATATATATAAAATGTGTGGAATTTAGCACAGTATTGACTGCTTTTATTTACACTTTGATGTTTCTCTTTTACTGGATTAAAAAGTAATTCTACTTATGTTGCTGTGGAAGCTGGGGTCTCCTGTATACTACTAGTAAATTTAAAGCCAAGCTGAATAAGACGTAGTCACATGGAAACCAATGGAACGTTCCTGCTGATCGTTCCAGCTTTAGAACGTTGACCCAGAAGAATCCTCTGTATACAGAACTAGTATGAACACATGAACTATATGCACTCAGCAGCCCCCAGGACACGCCCCTCCCAGCTCGGCTTCATTCATGGAAGTGCAGCTCCACCCCGTGATGTCACGGCTCCGCCCCTCGAAGAGAGGGAAGCGGGATCTGGGGGACTCTGGAAAGAGATGGGGAGAACTCCCCATAGGCAGCCGCCAGTCTGTGGGTGTCCATGAGGTGACAGTGACCCGCACGGTTGTGAGGGGGCCCAGTCATGCCCGGGATTTCAACCCTGCTGCTAATCACCTGCTACCTGGAGTTACTCAGGGGGGCCCCTACTGCACTTCAACAGAGCCCCCAGGTGAGATCCCATACTAGATTGCAAGCTCTGGGGACAAGCTATCCTGTATAGTGACTAGCACTAGGTACAATCTCTGTTATATCGACATGTGGGACATTTCAGGTTATGGGTAAAGATTTCATATCTTGTGTTAGCTGCTTATATCATACTTGTGTTAGATTGCAAGCTCTGGGGACAAGCATTCATGGGCCTGTGTTTAGCAGTTGCATAGTAAGTTCTGTGAACAAACACTCGTGTTGCATACATTGTATCCAAAGAGTGCAGGATCTAAGTATGCTTCCTAGTGCATGTTAAACTGAGAGCCCTGGGGACTAATTCTCATCTATCTGAACTGACCATGTGTTGGAGTGCAAGCTTTCATCATATGTCTGTATTGTCCGTGTTCTCAACTGGAAACTAGGAAGGCATACTCTCGTCAGTCTAAACTATTTACTATAGTGAAAACTGTAGCGGTGACAACATAGATGAAATTTTAATGTCTAAATAGCCAAGTTGTAGAATTTTTACATTTAATTTTTTTTACCTTTTAATTTTCAGTTCCTTTGCCCATTACCTATAATTCCATGTTTAGTAGATACCACTGTGATTAGATTGCAAGCGCAGGGAGTAAGCTAACATGTGCTTCTTTTACCCATCTGTTAGATTGCCAGCTCTTTGGGCAAGCTGTTGTGTGAGCTATTATCTGTGTATATATGTCGTGCATGAAATTGCATAGATTGAGGGCAAACTCTCTTGTGCCTGCACTGCATTCGATACCATGTGCTAGATTTGAGGTTCTGGACACAATATGTAAAATCCATACCATGTTCATGAATGTTTTATTACTGAATATGATCTATGTCAGATGTCAAACTCTACACACAGATGCTTCTGTTTCGGACTTTTCCATGTTAGATTGCAAGCCTTAAAGACAAGGTCTCATGTGTCTGCACTATATGTGTGCTGGATTTTAAGTTCTGGTCAGCAGCTTTAAACTCTATGCTTACTCTAAAAAAACAGTTTGGAATTGGTTCACTTTAAAGTGTTTTTTTTTTTTTTTGTTTTTTTTTTTAGTCATTTTAGACATAACCTAGAATGTAAGCTCTTGGATCAAGATATTAATTGTGTATAACACTATCCATATATTTATCTGAAACCTTGTGAACACTGAAGACTTTGTACCATTTGCTAAGTTCTTTTGGCATGATTCCTGTCCCTGATATCCTTATTGTCTGTTTTTTAAACTGTGCAGGAGTTGTAAATGCATGGGATTGCCTTCCATCAGGGGTAGCAAAGACCATATGTCATAGGCAGGAAATACATGAAAATAACTTGTGCTTTTAGTTAGATTGGCCTGTTGGTGTTTTCCCAATGCCCACGTTTTCCCAATGCCCACGTTTTCCCAATGCCCAACACAAGTTACAAGTGTATATTCCAAGTGTAAGCAGTGTCAAGATACTAATTTTGCAATCATACAGAGATTTTATACCTCTCCTTTATGCCTTCCATACACCAGGGAGTTGGGACATCTGAGTCTGTCACTACAGAAAGCACACTATCAAAGAGACCATCTAATTACCAGAGCACCCTACCTGGGTTTAAAGGTCAGTTCCTCCCTACCCAGAGTTCTTCTGGAGCAGAGACATCTTCCTTTATTCTGGATTTGCAGAGTCTGTCTGAAGCTAATCTGAGCTCTGAAAACCCAAATATTCAGGTAAGAATCTCATTATTTTCTTAACTAAACATTAACCTCATCTCCTCGCCCACATTCCCCAACAAAACATGCTCACTATCTTTCCTACATTATCAGCTGCCTAATTAATGTAAGTACATGTTATATAACCCCAAATTTTTATCTGCCACCCCTAGATCTGTTATAAGGCAGTCATTCATCCACTTCTGGAGGGGCCAATATAAGCACTCTGTGTTAGATTTACACTTATGTGTACATTTTTAATGTTTAATTTTCAGTCTGTGATTGTCTTGTTTCTAGCAGTTGATACTGTGTGTGGTGAGCCTCTTGTCTGCTCTGTTCCCAACAGGTCACTATCGAAGTTGATCCCAACTCTCAGACAGAGTTCGAGTTGGACCTGTCAGATTCCCGTACAGACTGGACTGATACAAACTGGGCGTCTCAGCATGAATTGTTCTGGCCCCTGTTCTGGGAGTATAACGATGTTGCGGAGGAAGGTATCTTAGTGCCTGCTACCGTGGACCCAGAAAATGTGGGAGACTATTCCTCCCAGTATGATTGGGAAGACAATGTCTTGAGTGGAGTTGAAGGAGAGTCAGATCAACATCCTACAGGAAATAACTGGATCTCTGAAGACAAATATCAGTATGGTGAGATACATTATTTTCTAAAGCTGCTTTAATAAGAAGTTCATGACAGCAAAGAAATCATTTTGTAAAGTATACAAAATATGACTTCCCACTACTGGCACAGACACAAGACCGGTATGAGACATGGTGTATGTCCCTACCAGCGCTGGGTGATACGAGAACAAGGGGCACATGGAGTCTGCCCCGACCACAACAGTGTCACACAAGCGGATGGAAGCGACGGGACATGAAATCTGTCTCTTCCATTGTAGGATAACAACGGGCACAAGGGAGCCGTGGGATGGGAGTGTGTCTCTTCCACTGTAACTAAAAATATGTGAGATGCTAGACAGTAATTTTTTATTTCTGTTTTTGGGGGTCTTCCCACAGATTATGAAGAGGAAGATTGGAGCCCTTGGTCTCCTTGCAGCGCCACATGTGGCCGTCCTAGCCAAAAACGTACCCGCTCCTGTGGTTATTCATGCACAGCCACAGAGTCCAGAATCTGTGACCTTCCTCTGTGCCCAGGTGAGGCTCCAGAAACATGTGATCTGTTGTAGATTGTGAGCACCGCAGGAGGTGGGTTAACACTCTTAATTGGAGCTCACTCGTGATAGGACACATTATCGCGCATGCTGATCTCAACAATCTGCCAAACTTCAACCACAGAACTCATTCAGTAGAACTAATTCATCATCCAGGACTATAACTAGTCCACCTCTAATCTATGTAACAAATTCATTGCTTACTTTTTCTGCTCCACCTCGGTTAGATTGTCAGTGATCTGTTCACTATTTTGCAACAGGTGAAAAATTGTGAGCACTTGGTCTGATATCTGACAATCTAACCAAAGGTTTATAAAGATTGCTGTCAGAAAGGGAGAATGGGTAGGTGGTTTGTTTATAAAAAAAAAAAAAAAAATTCAACGTACATTAGTAATAATAAAACAAAAATGAGATGGTATATAATAACACAAAGAAAACATTAAGTTCTTACATTTTAATGACAGGGTTACTTTAAACTGCCATCAATAAATGCCTTATTTTGGACTTTCGACGACGCAGCAAGAAGGGCTACATACACCTCTATTCACATAAATGGAGATAAGGTTGAATGCGTCACGAATTACGTTTTTGGGAGTGCATCTTTCAGATGATCTGCAGTAGTCAAGAAATTTAAATTTAAGAACTGAGGAAAGCCTGTTTATCACCACAATTAATGATTAAGTACTTTATTTGCACTAGATTGTGTTTATTTTATGGTAGTTAGGAACACTTTATTTGCACAAGGTATGGTGGTTTAAGTAGGATAGATTGGTTTTTAATTGGACTGGGGCTATAGGCTATATTTGTTGAATTTGTAGAATATTATACTCTTGTCTATATGTATTACGCTGTTCAGTTTGTTTTTTTTTATTATTATTAATGAAGAATAGAATGTATTTTTTCGGTACTAGATATTTTATGGCATTAGGTAATGACTGCTAAAGTTTACAGAGTACATTTTTATTCCTATTACAGTTTATTGCTTGGTGCTGAATTTCTGATCAGAGGCCAACTGTGTTTCTTCATCCTTGTATGTACTC